GCCTGGACGGATGAAGGAAGTGGACCGGTGTACACCATAGCACTCTCACCGGACGGCAAGACAGTAGCAAGCGGGAGTGATGATTGCACAGTGAGATCGTGGGATATCGATACGGGCAAGGTTGTCAAAAAATGGACGGGGCACACAGAGAGAGTGAAGTGTGTCTGCTGGAGTCCAGACGGTGGGCGAGTCGTGAGCGGAGGCGGTAATGAAGCACTCAGAGTATGGGATGTCAAGAGCGGCAACACCATCCTGGGACCAATCGAGGCAGGGAATATTGACTGGGTGTACGCGGTTAGCTACTCACCTGATGGCACGATGATTGCGACGACCGCGAACACACTGAAAATCTGGAACGCCAATACAGGCGAACTACTCAAAACCCTCGAGGAATGGGCTACGTGCCTGGCATGGACCTCCGAAGGAAAGACCCTGTTCGCCGGGTCACATGTAATCAGAAAATTCGACACCGCCACTTGGACAGAAACCGCTGTTTTTGACTCACTTGGAGATATCGACAGCATTTCACTATCTCCGAATGAGCGCATCCTTGCCACAAGCTCATTTTTTGACACGACAGTGCGACTGTGGAACTTCAAAACCAATCAACCCATCGGACAACCCCTTCACCACGAAGGCGAGGTCAATTGTGCTGCCTTTTCTGCGGATGGAAAGATTCTCGCTACTGGCTGCCACGACAATCACGTATACGCATGGGATGTTTCTACGATCGTCAAAGAGGCCGGCCTAGACGACCTTTTGTCAGACAATGTAAGCTTGGGTTCATTTCATTCTCAATAATCAATGTGCCTAATCATCCTTGCAGATCAACACTATTAACAAGCCGTTTAACGTGCATGTATGCTATGTGTTTCTTGACCTTTTGCGTGATTTTGAGGATCTATATCTTAGGTTGATGCTACACGACCACAGGCCCCGCAAAGACCAGTTCCGCGAATCGAAGGTACTCGTCGACTACCCCGAGGGTTCTTTGATGGTGTACGTGGTCTCCATCTATATTTTAACAGTTCTCTTTACCAATATTTTATCAGTCCTCTACCTCGCGTGGGCGACGCACCACAGAACAGCCTCAACGGACTCTTTTCGATCACTTACCTTCCTTCTGGCGTAGATGCTCCAATCCACACGGAGAAACTGAGTGCGACATCCGCTTGCAAAACCTACCGGTGGTCGACGTTCCGTGCACAGCGGTCAAGCCTGTACGCTATTTCCTTCTCGGTTCTTCTCTGCCACTGACTCGCTTCTATGCAGAGAGATTATCACGCGAGAGGGAAAACTGCCAGCTCCTCTCGACCATCCAAGCCTCAAACCACGCAACAACATATCGGAACGACCCAGAGCCAACAGTCATCGTCCCAGCCACAACCCACTGCGGCCATGTCATCCACGACACCTCCTCCAGTCACTACCTCCGCAGGGGCAGTGGGATCAACTTTGCATCCTCATCTCACCATAAGAGACGGATGGCGCACTTTCATGGCCTGTGTTTGTTGCTTGCCTATTCAACACACCGATGGGCAACATTAGGGATCCAACATGTCATCTTCAGGGCTTCATTGACATCTTTTGCTATCTCTTATAGTAGTTTTCCATCGCTCTCCTGTATCCCATCATTAACATTGTGCTGTTTCAAGTCCACAAAGGTACGCAAACAGCGATCAGGTGGAGATTAGGTATGGCACTGAATGTGGGGTCCGATCACAAAATATATGCTAGTGTTTCTTCACAACAATACTATATGTGGAAACGAGTACAAGTCCTACAATTCTGTGCCTTGAGTTTGATTGCACGAACAGTTAATGGAAGGACCTGCTGCTCACACCGAGATAACCTCGCAGGAAAACGACAAAATCTGACGCTACAAGACCCACTACACAAGATAGCGGGAAAAATACGTACGACTCCAGTATGACCAACATACATTCGCGTATAAGATATGCACATCCACTGCCGGTGACAAAGCCCGCAATAAGGCCTGCAGACCAGCTGAGCGCTATCAAGTAACAAACGTAGCATTTGGAAGCGAGTCCTCTATTCTAAGATCTTCATTGCTCAAGCGACAGTAGAATATGTCCAGAAGCAAACCCGTTGATCGGCTCGGCAAAAACTACTAATAACTCACGCATCGTGCCATTAACATACCACACCAATGTGAAAGCAGAACCACGACTCACTGCCACACTAGAAGCATATAAACATGATCTGCCACGCCAGTGAGTCATGTGGTTCAATCCAGAACGCAAACCACTCATACTCACGCAATTTCCTTCAGGGCAGCGTCTACAATTTGCATCGCGTACACAAAAGAGAGGACATACAGCGTCACTGGCATATATTGATGTTGTCAAAGTGTAAGAATTACCAAACGTTTATCGCCGGAACATGCCGATACTCCTCTCACCGCAACCACCACGTCAACGCCTGGACCGTTTGTCAAGCACGATACCCGACCCCTTTTATTAGTACCTATCCTTTCAATTCCTATCGCTCGCTAAACCCTTCCTGTCGTTACTGTTCCTCCATTCGTAATACCGCCGTCTTCACCTTGTCAACAACTCTTATATCATTCTCTCGCTACACTATCAAATACAAACGCCACTCCCTTCAGCTACCGCTTTCACCGACCGTACACCGAGCCCTTGCCTTTAACTATTCTAGGACGACCCTTCCTCATCCTACAGTATAAGTAGCCCATGTACATTCCTAATAAGGAGCAGAATAGAACAGTATATCCCCCAGAAGAACGCCCCGAAGAACCCGTCTCATTACCTTCTCTTATCATCGCTATAACGCGGTCACTCTCGTTTACCGATTCACGATATCTCTCGCATCCGTCATCCGTCATTTGAAGCTAACACTAATCATTATCATTCCTTCAGCGGTCTATCTACCCCCTTCGCACTCGCATCGCCTCTAGCTACGCACGTCGTAGCTAACTTACAAAAGCAGCAGCAGCAATGGCGAGGACACAGGAGAAACGCATTGTTTGTGAGGATGTGATATGGGATTAAATAAATCAGAAGGGGGCAGTAGGAAGACGGCTTGTTTTTATGTGCTGAGTATTGTTCTTCACAGCGGCGATGTGGGAAGAATATATCCACCGGGATCTCCTTTCGAACAGATGATATCTGCCATGCCAGCAGATTGCCACCTAAGATCTACCTTGTTAAGCAATTAAAATATCCACCTGCGACTCCCACATAAGAAAGTCAGTACTCGTCAGTCGGTGAACGTTATAGTCGAACCAGCCCTGTACATTGAAATGGTATCACCAGGATTCAAACTCCGCACTCAAGATCTCGGTGTGAGCGCCATGTTTCAAATACACCCGGTTGTTTGGATTCAAGGCTTTTGCCAAACAACTTGTCATCGCGTTTTGAAATTTGCGTCATACAGTGCACTCGAGCTAAGTTGTTGACAGGACAATCAGGTGAGTACCCAAATTACTTTTGCTAATAAATGTACCACGGTACCACCTAGCGTGATGTTCATTTTTTTGCTGTTCCACGTAATAGTCAACGTTCTGATAAGCGTTTAGCATAGATGAGCTATGTCAGACCACGCCCAAGCTTTGATAGTGTCTCCGAAGGTGAGAATCACGACGCTTCGCATTTTACGTTTTACTATTCAGCTGATTGTTGTCTGTGTTTACAGGTTCACTCTATCTCGCTGATGCTCGCCGGTTCGGCACGTATCACTGAGGTTTGTCACCACCGTCCTCACCCGGATCGGATGCATCTCCACTGGATGATGATGATTCAGAGCACGCGCTGGCACGTTCTGCGCCAAACGATACCCGTGTTACTACGAAAACAAATCCCGGTCGGGTATTCAGGCACTTGCTACCGTTTGTGAGTATCATCCCTCAACGATTGTTGTGAGATTATTTATCGCGATGTCTACTAGCTGCTAGTTGCCTCTGGGTATCGGACATTGAAGTTCCCTTTTGGCCACGGTGATCGCATATCATTCAACACGTGTATCAGATGAAGCACTTCCTGTTGTGCCCGCAACCTCTTTTCACGAGTTATGCGTCCCACTGGCAAATCACCAAACACCACGATCCTAGCTGGGACGTCGGTCCGACTGCATGCTTCGCGTGCGACTCTCAAAGAGCTTCGTCGTACCGATTCTCTCTACCCTATCGTTCCTTATTGGCACCGCTGACTATGTCCGCACACAGCCTCCCAAGGCTCGACTTTCTCGGTACAGATCCTTACACAAATATCGACGTCTACGACACAGCCAATGAATAGTTCGCCTCAAAACGACGTCAATGCAATCCTCCACATATATCAAGTGGATCCTCGCGCAGCCGCTCACTTGGGATCTCCTCGGAAGACCCACCGTCGAACGTCTTTTGAGCGCTAGGCTACATAGCAGAAACTGCAAGATAAAGATGCACCTACTACATCAAAGCGGTCTATTTGTTCCTGATTCATCTCCTATGCCCATACCGCGTCTGTACTTCGAGTTCGAGACAAAAGTTAGAGAAGGCCTAGGGGCTGGAGTCCCCTATCTCATCCTTCTTCCACGCCTGAGCGGAGAGCAGAATATGTTACGCGTCTCGAAGCACTCGCTGATCTTCCCGAGCATGCATTTGTTTGATTGGGATTTTTTTTCGTTCTGCATTTTTAGGAACGCTGAGGTGACCGCTAGGCGATGGGATCTTTATCAATGATGCGAATTGGGATGCCATTTTGGACGAGTGTCAACGCTGCTACCAGACCTGCTGGCCCAGCGCCTACCTAAGAAAGCGGAATTCAACTGAGGCGCGAAATTTCATCATAGGGAAGTCACTTACTATTAGCACAGGAGGATGAGTAGAGTTCGTCCGTAGAGGCTGTTAGTTTCGCGCCGTCGTGTGGCACGTGCAACTTTCCTCGGAGTTACTAATTTGCCCAGGACCAAAACTAATAACGCACTAGTGAGAGTGTGCACTTCAGCTAATCAAGCGTCTGGTCGGCATAAAAGCCATCAGTATCAGCGCGGCCGTCCAATCAGGGTCATGAAATATTTGGTGAGCACTGTGACAAATCATCTAATGGGATGTACTGGGATGTGTAACGTCGGCAATTGCAGGTCATTTTAGTAAGGATATTCATTTACAGTTCCCACTTTTCCGGATTGATCGGCTTTTCCCCTGTATTAAAACGACCCCATTTCCCTCTATGCCGATCCAAAAACCTCTGAACTCATCAGCTTCTACGTATGAACTCTACTCATCCTCCTGTGCTAATAGTAAGTGACTTGTCTATGATGAAATTTCGCTCCTCGGTTTAATTCCGCTTTCTTAGGTAGGCGCTGGGCCAGCAGGTCTGGTAGCAGCGTTGACACTCGTCCAAAACGGCATCCCAGTTCGCATCATTGATAAAGATCCCAAGCCTCACATCGGACAGCGTGGACCCACAATATGGGTTCGTCATACATTCATTTCTCGGATACCGTGTGATCTTATTGAACGCACAATCTAGCCACGCTCCCTCGAGCTCTTTAACTTCCTGAACGTTCCGGACGTCAACATTCTAGGGAAACCAATCCCTGACATCCGTTCATACAAGTCCGGGACGTTGGAACCTCTGAAAGACTATTCGATCGTTCCGCACATGGAGCCTACATCAACGGTGCCATTTGTGTGCACCACCGTCGTCTGCTCAATACTTCATGCTGATGAGTTTATTTTCTAGCACATCCCCAAGACGATAGGGCAACAGCTCCTAGATGTGGTTCTGCGGCGCCACCTAGAGAAGTTCTCTTGCTCTGTCGAGATGAGCACCGAACTGCGTTCATTCGAACAGTCCGACCAGGGTGTTACCGCCGTTCTCGCGAAGAACGGTATCTTAGAGACTTTTAATACCAAGTGGATGATTGGTGCTGACGGTGCTAAAGGTGAGATGCGGTTGAATGCACTGGGATGAATGGGACTGAAGGTTTTTCAGGCGTCGTGCGCAAACAGCTTGGGCTCACGTTTTTTGGCGAGACTAGAGACGATTTCTGCGTTGTTACTGGAGATATTCGTTTCAAGGGAGTTGGTCTTGATAGAGTGGTGAGTCAGTTTTCTATTATTCGATTGAGGACTGCCCTGATCCAGTCTCGAAGCACCTTCACCAATTTGGAAGCTTGGGTGGACAATCGTATGTGCAATTTCTACTCTTGCGGTTTGGTATTCACGATCCATAGCCTCTCATTGCGTCCGACAGACGAAATCGGCGAGGATGGCTGGCAATTTTTCATCTCCGATCGCGAAGTAGAGTTGGCGAAGATTGTTCAGAGCGAGGAACTCCTCTTCGAGACCATCGCGTCGTTCATCCCCACTGAGATTACATTCAACAAGCTGGTTTGGGTGAGCGAGTACCGGTGCGTTCTTGTCTTTTCTCTACGTCTCGACGCACATTCATCAATTTGTTGTAGGGCCAATATCCGTATGGTAAACAAGTTTAGCGACGGTCAAGTGTTCGTTGTGGGTGGTATGTTATTTTATTCTAGGTATGTGTAGTTGTGCTGATCGAAGCCGTCATAGATGCTGCACAGTATGTCTATTTTTGAGTGCCTTGTTCGCAAACAGCGGCTGACGCGGCATGTTCAGTGTTCACAGTCCTGCCGGTGGTCAGGTATGGACGACCCCAACAAATGCTGATGCTTGCTCACTTCTCTATGAACAGGGACTCAATGCAAGTGTCCAAGATGCCGTGAGTGGTAGTAAATACAGCGTGTATGGCACGACTGACGCCACAGACACCAGTTTAATCTAGGATGGAAACTTGCGCTCGTCGAAAAAGGACTTGCGGACAAGTCTCTTCTCGAGACATACAGCGCAGAGCGTCTCCCTGTCATCTCCGAGATGCTCGAGATGACCACCTCTATTCTTAACAAGGCCGTAACCACAGGAGATCTGACGCACCACCAAAGTCCCATCCTTTTCATGCTTGGTATCAACTGTCGGTTCAGCAGCATCGTACTCGATGAATTTGCAACTCCAGTCGAGGGGAAGCCTATCAACGCATACGGGGTGTTTGATGAGGGGCATCTCGCAGCTGGAGACAGGGCACCCGATGCACCCAACATGCTACAGGTAGGGCACGGAGAGTCTGAAGTGAAGACGCTTTTCGGTCTGTACAGACCCTGGTATCACACGGTGCTTGTGTTCGCGCCGAGTCTTGCAGATACTTCCCCGATCTTGGGCGCGCTTGGGGCATGCAACAAAAGTGTGGTGCGATCGGCAGTCATTTTGCCTTCATCGGCACCAGCGATACCTGTCGCATCTCCTGCTGATCTCGTTCTCGTTGATCAGGAGGGCTATGCGTATTCAGCTTATCTTGTCAAAGCTAACCAAACGAAGGTGTTTGTGATACGGCCGGACGGAGTGATTGGGGCGATCGTTCATGGTGAAGAAGGCGTGAAGAAATATTTCTCAAACATCTTTTTGGACCTTTAGTTGTCTGTTCTTTTTACACTTTTACAATCATAACCAAATCATAACTCATTTATATCACCGTGTTGTAGATATCATGTTTGTAACTGAAATTATGCGTCGTCGAGTATCACATCATTTTCTCGAAGGATGGCGGAGCTGACAGCCTGACCAGCCGATTTGTTTTGCGTCGTCCGCGAGATTGATGTTTCCTTTACCGTCCTGTTCCTCGCAATCGGCGCCCCCCAGAGATCGGCAGGTTACACAATTTTGCAGGAGGTCATACAATTTTGCGAGAAATCAATGTTCATCGAGTTTCCTGTTGAACCGAAGCGAACAGGACACCCCACAGGAAGCGCCACCTGATTAATAAGTATGCTACAAGTAACATGGGGGGCAACGTACATATTTTCACTGGTTAGTCCCGATGTCTTCGGAGCTAGAACGCTTTAAGACCTTCCTCGTACCGGTACCCTATCATCCCTTTCTACTTATCTGAATAGGCAATGGCGACGTGCCCCAGGCCAGCTTGATGGGGTTAGTAATCGAGTGATGTTCGAGGCCACTACATGGAAAGTACCAACCAGCATAGGTATAGCGGCATGGTCGATAAACGAACTTATGCTGATTCCCGATATTTCAATCCTCCCCTCGGGGCACAAAGCGGTTCTAAGACTCCCAAGTGTCAGTACGGAACTGATCACACTTCGATGAGTATGCAACAGCCGTAGGAACCAAGGGGTCACGAAACGTGGGTGCAGCTCATCCTCCTTGATATCACCTGGATAGTTGATGGCACTGTTTTCTTCTTCTTTTGAGGGCAAGGGCAATGCATCATCAGATTGTGTTCGCCAGTGCTGCGTCGGGTACAGATCTCAACGAGCTGAGAGCGAAAGTTCGAGAAAACCCGCACCTTGGCCGCAATGAAATTCAGTTACCATCACATCACTAAGTCACGCCAAAGCAGCTACAGGACAACGGCCCCGCATTCCCTATCACCCTGCTAGACCCTTGAAACTTTAATTCAGGATGTACGTTTACGCTGGTGGTATCGTACTTCCGGGACGGATGTGCTTCGATCGTCGCAGGTCGATGTCGAAGTTTAATAGTAAATGTCTGGCTCTGCGTGAGTGCTTGAGTGGCAGTGCATATCGATACCAAGGCGATTGAGGAAAGTATCTTGAAAAGGTTGTTCTTCATGTGTGATCGCGTGTAGCTCTGAGCCTTGTAAATATCTTGTTTTAGGTAGTCAAATCGAATGTATTTGCTACCCAGCTACTCGCCTTGTCTCGTCAGTCCTCGTCTTTCGGCGTTGGTTGAGTGATACCAGCTCACTCCTGAAGGGTAGTTGCCATCAACAATCGGAAGAATGACCAATTTCTCCTTGTCCCACTTCCCCAAAGACGATCAACTCGTCCGAAAGAAAATGCAAACAAGCACTACTCACAACGCCTTCCGTCCAATACAAATCCGCCTCGACAAGCCTCCTTACATCCTCCAAGCTCTCGGCTTCATAGATAAGCGCAGACCCCATGAACTTTCTATTATGAGGCTCTGCATCCTGTGATTCGCGCGTCAAGAGACCACCGGCGACTTCTGAATGTTGGGATGTTCGTGAGACCACACGACGATGAATTTAAATGACTGACTAATGATTCCTTGGCTTATGAGCTTGTTAGCTCCTAGCATGTGCTTGGGACGGATGGTCATGCGACGCGCTAGGGTACCTTTCTCGGTGTAGTCTGGTGCCCATACTATGTATTGGTGCAGCTTTGTAGATGTGGAAGATATGAAGCGAGCACAGTCCCATTTGAATATGGAAGGAGGTGGGTGGGTGCAACGTATGCAGCTCAAAGCGGAGGAGTGGATGGAACGGGGCAGCATGACTGTCACGGTGAGGGTTTAGAGCTATGAATATCAATGTACATCAGTTGGTCGGGACGCCCGAGTTAGTCACGGTTATTTTCAGTTATAACCAACGATATGCCTGTGAACGCGAGACGGACCAGAATGGTTGTAGACAGACAGCTCAAGGACAGATCTCGTATTTAGTACCAGTTGCCCTCATGCATTGACAAGTCAATTGGTGCATGGCGCGTATGTATGAGACCATGAGTGCAGAGCCAGCTCGAGACCTTTGTTTGGTCAATATTTGGTACTACAGAATTTCGGTCCGCGATCGGTCCGAACGTGGACCGCTGTTGGACCAATCGACTGGTCACGACCATGACCGGCTCGTGAAATGGCACGAGCTCTCAAGATTTCCTTTATCATCCCACACAGGAACATCTGCATTAATCCACAGCGAAGTATCTCCATCCATCAGAGAAACATGTCTTCGACACAATCCCTTCCAAAGTTTGTCGTGTGGGCACCCGACTACACCGATGACGGCGCTCTACAACGGAGAATGGCAGTGAGGCCTTCCCACCTCGAGAACATTAAGACACTCGCTGGTCAAGGTACTCTGCGTAAGTCCCCACAAAACATAGAACCTATCGCATGCACGCACACTAAAGCACGACGCATTAAAAATTGACAGGGCTCGGTGGAGGCTACATGACGCCTGAATCCGTCGACGCAGCCGCAGCTGACAAGAAGTTTGTCGGGTCGTGCATGATTTACGAGGGCGAGAACATCGATGTCGTGCGTAAGCTCGTGGAGGAGGATGTGTATTATAAGAGCGATGTGGTATGTGCCTTGGTTGTTACGGATGGTGTTAATGTTAGGACGCTGACTTGGAGATTGTCGTGGTGTGCAGTGGGACAAGGAGAAACTTGTTATTCTCCCAATCGCATTGGCAACGGCCCTTCCGCCTGTTCCTTCAACTTGATACCTGTGTATATTGAGATACCGAAGATACTACTTATGAACGGAAGATATCAGCAGCCAACGTGACAATAACACAATCGCAATCTAAAATACGGTCTTGACAATGTCACAGAGTACCGCAACCTTGATAAAGCACTCAAATCCAAGGTTCTCCGATGTTCTCTGCCGGCTGCCCAGCAATATCCGAGTCTCCAAGACATCCATATCTCATTGTCCTTTCGAAGCCACAGAATCACCTCGAATACAGGAACCCTAGAATCACTTCAACGAGGCATTGAATGAGCACCTGGTCATCTGTGGCATTAATCCGTGGCAAATGTTGGAATGCGATAGAAAGAACTGGGGGACCAGAGTCCTTGCGAGGGCAGTCAGGCGATCAGTCGACCTGTCATCGTTGCAGCTGATCTAATGTACTATCGTCTCAGGAAAGTATGCGAAGAGATGATTTGACTAACTTGCCTGTGTTTCTCCTAGTATGCCTAGTGGCGCTTTCGTATCCCGAAGTTTGCAGGGCCTGCTCATTACTTAGAGTGCTGAGTAACCGATCCGATTCTAGGCAGCTCTACAAGCATTTGGTTTTGTCCCGAGATTCTGCGCCTTGGTATTCGGGCGTCAAGAGACCACCGGCTGTGAATGTATGTGGAAAGATATTTGAACGCTCTTGGAAGACTGACTTATGACTCCTTGGACCTTAGCTGATGAGCTTGTTAGTTCCTAGCATGTGCTTTGGACACACGCCCATGTGACGCGCTAGGGTACCTTTTTCGGTGTAGTCTGGTGCCCAAACCATGTAGTGGTGCATCTTTGTGGATGTTGAGGATATGAAGCGAGCGCAGTGCCATGTCAATCTGGGAGGAGGTAGGCGGGTACGGCGTATACAGCTCAGGGCGGAGGACTGGATGGACTGAGGCAGCATGACTGTCGCGGTGAGGGTTTAAAGCTGTGAATGTGCATGGTCAGTCGGGGTTGCACAGACTTCAAGTCTTACACTATTGTCGGTTCATCCCATGAACTTACCACGGTGGTAGACAGGACAGATCTCCGAGTCGTATATTATGGAATCAGTTCCAGTTGCCCTCACTGTGCCTTTGATTTGGTTGATTGTGTTACGCTTATATATAACAGTAGGATAGAGGCGTACTTGCGTCCAGCGTCCAGAACTTCCTTCGGTCCGAATTAAGCCTCAATCGATCGGTCCCGGAACTTGTTCCGCTGTTCGATCAATATTCGACTAGAATCGACTCGTCACGACCATCGACTGTAATGACACGAGATCTCAGCTCTCAAGATCTCACTTGTCATTCCACACAGACATATGTATATACATCACACATGGCAAAGGATTTTCACCTATCAGAGAAATATGTCGTCAATACGATCCCTTCCAAAGTTCGTCGTATGGGCACCCGACTACACCGATGACGGCGCTCTACAACGGAGAATGGCAGCAAGACCTTCCCATCTCGAGAAGGTCAAGAAACTCGCTGGCCAAGGTACCCTGCGCAGTGCGTAAGTTCTCACAAAACATAGAACCTATCACGCGCGTACACGCTAAAGCACGACGCATTGAACTTTGACAGGGTTCGGTGAGGCTGCTATATGACGCCCGAATTCGTCGACGCAGCCACAGCACACATAAGGTTTGTCAGGTCGTGCATGATTGACGAGGGCGAGAACATCGATGTCGTGCGCGAGCTCGAAGTTTGTTATAAAAACGATGTGGTATGTGTCTTGGTTGCTACCATGGGATTAAATGCTGTGACGCTGACTTGTAGATTGTCATGGTGTGCAGCGGGACCAGGAGAAACATTTTTCTCCCGATTGCATTGGTTCCGCCTGTGCCTTCTCGATACTTGTGTACGTTGAGATTCTATCTGAAGATGCTACATATGAACGGAATACCAGCAGCCAATGGGATAATACAACACAATTCAAAATGAGATCTTGACAGGGTACCGCAACCTTGATCAAGGACTCAACCCAAGGTTCTCCGTTATTCTCTGCCCGCTCTTGGTCCCCAGCAATATCTGAGTCTCCGAGCCACCTATCTCATTGTCCTTACGAAGTTACGAAATCACTCGAACGCACAAACCTTAGAAATCACTCTAACGAGGCGTTTGAACGGGGTGCTTGGTTCAACAATGGTGTCCTCGCATCGATGGTGAACCTGCAGTTAGTGCCACGCATCTGAACAAGGCCTGGCTGGCTCACCACTTTTCGAGCCTGGAGATACGTTCAGGCATAATATCTATGGTGCGATATGGTCATGTATCGCCTTATCAGTGGCAAATGTTAGTATTATGATAGAAAGAACTGGAGTCGTTGCGGGTGCAGTCAAGCGATTGGTCGATCGGTCACTGATCAGCGTTCGGGCTGCTTTGGCGTGCAGATCTGATGAGGAATTTATGCGTGGAGATGGTCTCCCTAACTTGACTAAGTTTCTCCTGGTATGTCTTGTGGCGCTTTCATATTGCCTTCGAGGTTTGCAGGACCTGCTCATTTGTTAGATTGCTGAGTGATCTATCTGATTATAGGGAGCAACTCTGCATTTGGGCCTAGCGCTCTCGAATAACGAGCCAATTGGATTATATTCCTTCACATTGTCCTACCCAATACTTCTTTCCTCGGCACTTGACGGCTTTAGTCAGTTATACTGGGCTGCACTGGCAGGCTGTATTGTTTGGAGTTCGACCCCCCTCCAAGGTGTCTTGTGGCGGCAGGTGGCACAGTTTTTTATCATTACAAAACTCAATTTACTTATTGTCTTATTGGGGTGTACAACCATATGTATGTAGGTCATTTCTATCTAGGAAGGGGGACGAAGGGGGACGCCCGTGTCCCCCGCCGCATCTCGGAGTCTACAAATGCCCCTAATGGAGGGTAGTGGCACAGCGGAGCACGTCAGGTCACTATTGTCAACCAGAAGACGCGCTGACGATCATGGGAGTCATGACATGCGCGCCAAGTAGCATCACATGATGTGACGACGGCCCCCGGCTCTAGTACTGTCAGGCTGGAGTTCGAATTTCCTTCGGTCTTGAGTTATACTTAGGCACTGCGTGGACACCGATATGGAGTTATGCTGCGCAGTTTCTCACCCTACACTTGACTCGAAGCAGGCGGAGGTGCGCATTCCATCACAGTAACGCTCTTCCACAGACTCAAGCGATGTTATCCAATGGCGAACCTGGAGTCGTACGGTCTAAAAACCCGAAGGCAAGAAGACACATCGAGATATCATCGAACATCATTAAACTCTGATATAGAACGACCCAAATGCTAAGCAATCCTCTGAAACCAAAGAGTCCCAGGACGACAATATGATTCAACTGCTATCCTTCACTATATCGGCCATCAATCTTACGAAAGAGGCTATTCCTATCGCCCTTGCGAAAGGTGTCCTTGGAACAATCGCAAATTTCCTCACTCTTGCGGAGGTGCGTTGGCTTAATATTCAAAATCTTTTATGAAGGGATCCTTAAGTCTGTACAGACAGTGATCAAGAACAAGTCTGATTTCCTGGCGATAGTCAAGAAGTGTGAAACTATTGGGAAAGTCCTTGAAAGAGCAACCCAGGATGCTACCAAAGATGATCTGCAAGGATCCTTTTGGTATGCCTTGTCGGACCTTAACGTGTAAGTGTGAGCCAAGCCAATTTCACTGTATCTGTTAGCTGATGACATCGTGCAGATCAGTAAACCGCATCAATAGTGAAGTAGCCTCAAAGAAGGAGCAAGGATTTTGGAAAAGACTCTTCTCTGTCACGATTGATCACGACCGGATTGTTGGATGGGAAAATGACTTAGATCGCTTCCTCGCACTTTTCAATGTACGTCTCTATAATTTCACCCAAACTTCTACTGCTGAATCACATCTCAAGGCTGAAGCGATCGCTGGCATCGCGATCGACGTGAAGAATATGAAGAAGATGGCATCAGAACTCAAGGGCAAAGCTGCCGATATCAATGTTGTAACGTAAGTTGTCTTTTGGTCGGGCGATGGCATGTCTTTCAGACGCAATCAGGTATCGCCCACCGATGCTGCCACCACGACCTTCCATGTTTTATGGGCGAGGGGATCTCGTGGCAGAGTTGACAGATCTTGTCGTTAACGATGAGCATATTGCGTTGGTCGGTCCAGGAGGCATGGGGAAGAGTTCTCTTGCCAAAGCTATCCTCCACGAGCCACTTATCACAGAGAAATTTGCTGATAGGCGCTTCTTCGTGACCTACGACGGCCTGGATCCGTCAACCATCACTTTTGAAACCTTTATGACTCGTTTTGCGGGAGCCCTTGGCATAGAGTTTGCAGGCGCTGATCTTGTGCGTCAAATATCAACAATTCTTGGTTCCGCCAGCGCCCTCGTTGTCCTCGATAATGCCGAGACCTTCGAGGAGGCCAGTGGATCTTCGGCGCTCGGAGAAATACCACCTGCCATTGCCGAAATTGCAGACATCCCTGGTGTCATCCTGATCCTCACGTCACGTAGTAGAAGGAATGCACCAAACGTGCTATGGATAACGAAGGATATTCCACCACTGGACTTGAGCTCCGCTCAAGCAGTGTTCTTTCAGATATATCACCACGCTAGTCGCAGCGATGCCGAGGAAGACATAAAGAACCTGCTCGGGGAATTGGAATTTCACCCTCTTTCCATCAACCTACTCGCAAATGCCGCGCAGCAAAATGGCTGGTCTCCAGCGACATTGCTGAAGAGATGGGGCAAAAAGGGCAGCAAGGTTCTCGACCATGGCAAGGGAAAGCTGCAAAGCTTGTCAGACACCATGCGGTTGTCGCTCAGCTCGCCATCGATCCAGGATCTCGGCGAGGACGGTCTTCATGCTCTGACCGTCATCGCTTTTTTGCCCCAGGGTCTCAATGACACCCTGGCTAGCGACTTATTGCCGTCGCTCCTGCAAATTGATCATGTATGTGATGTCCTATGCAGGCAATCTCTCGTTTACCATCAAGACGGCTTCGTCAAGATGCTCGCGCCTATTCGGCATTATGTGCGAGATTCGTTGCCACCACCAGGCCCCACTTGTTTGCAAGAGATACGCGACTTCTATTATGACATTGTCCAACAGTGGTCAAAAAAGCGAGACGGTCATGCTGGTATTATTATCTCGGATCACCTAAACATTGAGCGTATAGTTGCCCTCGACCTCGCCCACGCCCCTGAAGAGACTTATTGTGTTTGCTGGCAATTTTTGAGGTGCTTGCAGTGGCATCTTCCCCGCCCAACTACCCTTGCCCCAGCTATTTTCAACATCGTCGAGAACTCCTCCACACGGACACTACAAGCACGTTGCCTCCAGCATCTCGGTTGGCTCTTCGTCGAACTTTCTCAATACGCCGAAGCCATAAAGGCCTTTCACGCTGCTCAGGGTCTTTATCTCACCGCCGACGACCACGAGAATGTGGCAAGCTGTGTTGTCGAATTTGCAGAAATATACAGATGTCAAGGTCGCTTCACTCAATCCCAACAGGTCCTACAGGACCTCCAACTCTCTGAGTCATGGAAATATCTCAGCGACACGGGGAAAGCCCGTGTGTGGTATTTCCTGGACCTCACCAGGTTATTCACATTCGCACCATCTGCGGACGAATTGTTTATGAAGTCCTTGGAAGATCGTAACTGGGGCTTGTCGTCCAAGATTTCGCACCAGGCCGCCAAATTGTATTACGGGGGGACATCGTCCAGGTCAAGATGCAGTTAGAAGACATTCTCCTGCAATGCGCGATGTGTGACCGCGAGTTCGCACTCCAGGTGCTTGCAGAAGTTGCATTTTTGGAAGGCAGGTTATCCGACGCCATGGATTTCCTACAGAAAATTATAGTGATGTTTGAGGGACGCCAGCCAAGACAAGTCCTTTGGTACACCGTCTCGAAAGGTGTCGTGGCGAGCAATCAGGGGGATCACGACCTTGCGAGGGAGCTCATTCACGAAGCCTCTGGAGCGCATGAATTATTTGCGCTGCACAGTACGCGCACATTTCTCCACAGATCTTATGGCTCTGCATGCATCGAGCTCACTGCAGGCGAGTATGACAGGGCTGAGTTCCATTTCCTTCGCTACGATCGAAGGTTGCCATATACAAGGTGACCTGCTGGCCAAGTCATTCAGCGTCCGTGGACTGGGCGAGGTTGCCTTTGCGCGCGGTAACTTCGCTTTAGCTGCACGGCGCTTCGCGGAAACACGGGATTTTTGCGCTGACATGGGAGTGCCTCCCCGAAACTTGTACAGCTGTACACCATTCGATGTGCTGCCAGAGAGATTTAATGGATGGGCGTTGTTTTTGGAGGATCAGTCACCGTTTGCAAATGTTATGCAAACATAATACTCGGTAGCCTGCAATGCATAGTATCTTGTATGATTAGGCAACTCGGATCGCGTAGGTAACCTACTTGAATTTATAATAAAGTTGATCGATTGATCAAGTGAACAACGACGTCAGACGAATCTCAATTGACAAAGTTGATAAGGCTTACCAAGCGGTGAGTGGAAACACACATAAGTATTCTACTAGTACGTACTGTACATCAGTACCTACTTACCACTGGAATGGTTGCTGATCAATTCGAACCAGCTCGGCAATTTTTGCCACTCCTCGAACCGCGAACTAGATCAACGGTCCGGTTCCCCCATTGGACTGTCTGAACTTTGAACCGAACTCGAACGGTCGAGTTCATAAAGGTTCAGGTTCGAACCGTGGTTCTGAACTAGACCCAGCCACCACTAGTCTGTATTGTTGGGAATTCATCTTCCAAGGCGTCTTCAAGTGGGAAGGTTAACATTGAGTACATGCCATCCACCAGATTCCAGAAGGCACGCTGGCGCATCAACAAAAGAGCCTGAATCATATATGTGAATATATGCTGCCCGAAGCATATATTCACATATATGTCGCAATGTAAGACCTTGTGTACAGCTTGTGTATGTCTGAAAAGTTAGATCACAGCACGCATGCTCATGTAAGCTTCACAAGGCCTTGCATGCTTCGGGCTCTTTTGTTGATGCGATGTGTGACATGCGCGTTTCACATGACGTGACGATAGCAGCCTGGACTCTGGAGTTCTTTGCCCCTTGAAATTACAGCATGATAGACGCTGGTATGGTATGCCAGCTGTCCATTTTCTCACCTTCCAGTGGCTTAAAGCAGGCGGAGGCGCGCATTCAGTCACTGTAACGCTCTTCCATACGGACTCCAGCGATGTTATCCAATGGCAACCCTAAAGCTACAAGCTCTAAAAAACCAAAGGAAAGAAGGCTCATATCGAGGGATCATGTGTGTATTTACATCTGAAACAACGCAATCCAAATGCTAAGCAACCCTCCTCTGAGGCCAAGGAGTCCCAGGACGACTACGTGACTCAACTGCTAGGCGTCACTATATCGGCCATCAATGTTACGAAAGACCTTGTTCCTATCGACCTCGCGAAAGGGATTCTCGGAACGATTGCAAACATCTTCGCTCTTGCGCAGGTACGTTCGCGGAATCCTTGAAAGTCTCATGAAAGGATCCCTAAGTCTGTATAGTCAGTGATTAAGAATAAGTCCGATTTCCTGGCGATAGTCAACAAGTGTGAAAGTATCAGGAAGATCCTGGAAAGAGCAACCAAGGATGCTACCGAAGATGATCTGCGAGGATCCTTTGGGGATGCCTTGTCGGACCTTAACATGTGAGCCAATGCAATTTCACCGTCCCTAGAAACTGATGACCACCGTGTAGATCTGTGAATCGCATCAATAGTGAAATAGCCTCAAAGAAGGAGCAAGGGTTTTGGAGCAGACTCTTCTCTGTCACAATTGATCGCGACCGGATTGTTGGATGGGAAAAAGACTTGGATCGCTTCCTCGCACTTTTCAATGTACGTACCTGTAACTTCACCCGAACTTTTCCTCCTGAATCACGTCTCAAGACTGAAGCAATCGCTGGAATCGCGTTCGATATGAAGATTATGAAGAAGATGACATCAGAACTCAAGGGCAAAGCTGCCGATATCAATGTTGTAACGTAAGTTGTCTTTTGGTCGGGCGATGGCATGTCTTTCAAACGCAATCAGGTATTGCCCATCGGTGCCGCCACCACGACCTTCCATGTTTTATGGGCGTCAGGATCTCGTGGCAGAGTTGACAAACCTCGTCGTCAATAATGAGCATATCGCGTTGATCGGTCCGGGAGGCATGGGGAAGAGTTCTCTTGCCAAAGCTATCCTCCACGAGCCACTTATCACAGAGAAATTTGCTGATAGGCGCTTCTTCGTGACCTACGACGGCCTGGATCCGTCGACCATCACTTTTGAAACTTTCATGGCTCGTTTTTCAGGAGCCCTTGGCATAGAGTTTGCAGGCGCTGATCCTGTACGTCAAATATCAATATTTCTTCGTTCCGCCAGTGCCCTCGTTGTCCTTGATAATGCCGAGACCTTCGAGGAGGCCAGTGGATCGTCGGCGCTCGGAGAAATACCACCTGCCATTGCCGAAATTGCAGACATCCCTGGTGTCATCCTGATCCTCACGTCACGTAGTAGAAGGAATGCACCAAACGTGACTATGGATAACGAAGGATATTCCACCACTGGACTTGAGCTCCGCTCAAGCAGTGTTCTTTCAGATATATCACCACGCTAGTCGCAGCGATGCCGAGGAAGACATAAAGAACCTGCTCGGGGAATTGGAATTTCACCCTCTTTCCATCAACCTACTCGCAAATGCCGCGCAGCAAAATGGCTGGTCCCCAGCGACATTGCTGAAGAGATGGGGCAAAAAGGGCAGCAAGGTTCTAGACCCTGGCAAGGGAAAGCTCCACAGCTTGTCAGACACCATGCAGCTGTCACTCAGCTCGCCATCAATCAAGGATCTCGGCGAGGATGGTCTTCATGCTCTGACCGTCATTGCTTTCTTTGCCCCAGGGTCTCAATGACACCCTGGCTAGCGACTTATTGCCGTCGCTCCTGCAAATTGATCATATATGTGATGTCCTGTGCAGGCAATCTCTCGTTTACCGTCAAGACAGACTTCATCAAGATGCTCGCGCCCTATTCGGCATTATGTACGAGAGTCGTTGCCACCACCAGACTCCACTTGTTTGCAAGAGATACGCGACTTCTATTATAACATTGTCCACAGTTGTGTTCAAAAGAACAAGATGCTGATGCTGATATCATTATCTCGGATCACCTAAACATTGAGCATGTATAGTTGCCCTCGACCTCGCCCACGCCCCTGAAGAGACTTATTGTGTTTGCTGGCAATTTTTGAGGTGCTTGCAGTGGCATCTTCCCCGCCCAACTACCCTTGCCCCAGCTATTTTCAACATCGTCGAGAACTCCTCCACACGGACACTACAAGCACGTTGCCTCCAGCATCTCGGTTGGCTCTTCGTCGAACTTTCTCAATACGCCGAAGCCATAAAGGCCTTTCACGCTGCTCAGGGTCTTTATCTCACCGCCGACGACCACGAGAATGTGGCAAGCTGTGTTGTCGAATTTGCAGAAATATACAGATGTCAAGGTCGCTTCACTCAATCCCAACAGGTCCTACAGGACCTCCAACATCTCTGAGTCATGGAAATATCTCAGCGACACGGGGAAAGCCCGTGTGTGGTATTTCCTGGACCTCACCAGGTTATTCACATTCGCACCATCTGCGGACGAATTGTTTATGAAGTCCTTGGAAGATCGTAACTGGGGCTTGTCGTCCAAGATTTCGCACCAGGCCGCCAAATTGTATTACGGGGGGACATCGTCCAGGTCAAGATGCAGTTAGAAGACATTCTCCTGCAATGCGCGATGTGTGACCGCGAGTTCGCACTCCAGGTGCTTGCAGAAGTTGCATTTTTGGAAGGCAGGTTATCCGACGCCATAGATTTCCTACAGAAAATTAGTAGTGATGTTTGAGGGACGCCAGCCAAGACAAGTCCTTTGGTACACCGTCTCGAAAGGTGTCGTGGCGAGCGATCAGGGGGATCACGACCTTGCGAGGGAGCTCATTCACGAAGCCTCTGGAGCGCATGAATTATTTGCGCTGCACAGTACGCGCACATTTCTCCACAGATCTTATGGCTCTGCATGCATCGAGCTCACTGCAGGCGAGTATGACAGGGCTGAGTTCCATTCCTTCGCTACGATCGAAGGTTGCCATATACAAGGTGACCTGCTGGCCAAGTCATTCAGCGTCCGTGGACTGGGCGAGGTTGCCTTTGCGCGCGGTAACTTCGCTTTAGCTGCACGGCGCTTCGCGGAAACACGGGATTTTTGCGCTGACATGGGAGTGCCTCCCCGAAACTTATACAGCTGTACACCATTCGATGTGCTGCCAGAGAGATTTAATGGATGGGCGTTGTTTTTGGAGGATCAGTCACCGTTTGCAAATGTTATGCAAACATAATACTCGGTAGCCTGCAATGCATAGTATCTTGTATGATTAGGCAACTCGGATCGCGTAGGTAACCTACTTGAATTTATAATAAAGTTGATCGATTGATCAAGTGAACAACGACGTCAGACGAATCTCAATTGACAAAGTTGATAAGGCTTACCAAGCGGTGAGTGGAAACACACATAAGTATTCTACTAGTACGTACTGTACATCAGTACCTACTTACCACTGGAATGGTTGCTGATCAATTCGAACCAGCTCGGCAATTTTTGCCACTCCTCGAACCGCGAACTAGATCAACGGTCCGGTTCCCCCATTGGACTGTCTGAACTTTGAACCGAACTCGAACGGTCGAGTTCATAAAGGTTCAGGTTCGAACCGTGGTTCTGAACTAGACCCAGCCACCACTAGTCTGTGTTGTTGGGAATTCATCTTCCAAGGCGTCTTCAAGTGGGAAGGTTAACATTGAGTACATGCCATCCACCAGATTCCAGAAGGCACGCTGGCGCATCAACAAAAGAGCCTGAATCATATATGTGAATATATGCTGCCCGAAGCATATATTCACATATATGTCGCAATGTAAGACCTTGTGTACAGCTTGTGTATGTCTGAAAAGTTAGATCACAGCACGCATGCTCATGTAAGCTTCACAAGGCCTTGCATGCTTCGGGCTCTTTTGTTGATGCGATGTGTGACATGCGCGTTTCACATGACGTGACGATAGCAGCCTGGACTCTGGAGTTCTTTGCCCCTTGAAATTACAGCATGATAGACGCTGGTATGGTATGCCAGCTGTCCATTTTCTCACCTTCCAGTGGCTTAAAGCAGGCGGAGGCGCGCATTCAGTCACTGTAACGCTCTTCCATACGGACTCCAGCGATGTTATCCAATGGCAACCCTAAAGCTACAAGCTCTAAAAAACCAAAGGAAAGAAGGCTCATATCGAGGGATCATGTGTGTATTTACATCTGAAACAACGCAATCCAAATGCTAAGCAACCCTCCTCTGAGGCCAAGGAGTCCCAGGACGACTACGTGACTCAACTGCTAGGCGTCACTATATCGGCCATCAATGTTACGAAAGACCTTGTTCCTATCGACCTCGCGAAAGGGATTCTCGGAACGATTGCAAACATCTTCGCTCTTGCGCAGGTACGTTCGCGGAATCCTTGAAAGTCTCATGAAAGGATCCCTAAGTCTGTATAGTCAGTGATTAAGAATAAGTCCGATTTCCTGGCGATAGTCAACAAGTGTGAAAGTATCAGGAAGATCCTGGAAAGAGCAACCAAGGATGCTACCGAAGATGATCTGCGAGGATCCTTTGGGGATGCCTTGTCGGACCTTAACATGTGAGCCAATGCAATTTCACCGTCCCTAGAAACTGATGACCACCGTGTAGATCTGTGAATCGCATCAATAGTGAAATAGCCTCAAAGAAGGAGCAAGGGTTTTGGAGCAGACTCTTCTCTGTCACAATTGATCGCGACCGGATTGTTGGATGGGAAAAAGACTTGGATCGCTTCCTCGCACTTTTCAATGTACGTACCTGTAACTTCACCCGAACTTTTCCTCCTGAATCACGTCTCAAGACTGAAGCAATCGCTGGAATCGCGTTCGATATGAAGATTATGAAGAAGATGACATCAGAACTCAAGGGCAAAGCTGCCGATATCAATGTTGTAACGTAAGTTGTCTTTTGGTCGGGCGATGGCATGTCTTTCAAACGCAATCAGGTATTGCCCATCGGTGCCGCCACCACGACCTTCCATGTTTTATGGGCGTCAGGATCTCGTGGCAGAGTTGACAAACCTCGTCGTCAATAATGAGCATATCGCGTTGATCGGTCCGGGAGGCATGGGGAAGAGTTCTCTTGCCAAAGCTATCCTCCACGAGCCACTTATCACAGAGAAATTTGCTGATAGGCGCTTCTTCGTGACCTACGACGGCCTGGATCCGTCGACCATCACTTTTGAAACTTTCATGGCTCGTTTTTCAGGAGCCCTTGGCATAGAGTTTGCAGGCGCTGATCCTGTACGTCAAATATCAATATTTCTTCGTTCCGCCAGTGCCCTCGTTGTCCTTGATAATGCCGAGACCTTCGAGGAGGCCAGTGGATCGTCGGCGCTCGGAGAAATACCACCAGCCATTGCCGAAATTGCAGACATCCCTGGTGTCATCCTGATCCTCACGTCACGTAGTAGAAGGAATGCACCAAATGTACTATGGATAACGAAGGATATTCCACCACTGGACTTGAGCTCCGCTCAAGCAGTGTTCTTTCAGATATATCACCACGCTAGTCGCAGCGATGCCGAGGAAGACATAAAGAACCTGCTCGGGGAATTGGAATTTCACCCTCTTTCCATCAACCTACTCGCAAATGCCGCGCAGCAAAATGGCTGGTCCCCAGCGACATTGCTGAAGAGATGGGGCAAAAAGGGCAGCAAGGTTCTAGACCCTGGGAAGGGAAAGCTCCACAGCTTGTCAGACACCATGCAGCTGTCACTCAGCTCGCCATCAATCAAGGATCTCGGCGAGGATGGTCTTCATGCTCTGACTGTCATTGCTTTCTTGCCCCAGGGTCTCAATGACACCCTGGCTAGCGACTTATTGCCGTCGCTCCTGCAAATTGATCATATATGTGATGTCCTGTGCAGGCAATCTCTCGTTTACCGTCAAGACAACTTCATCAAGATGCTCGCGCCCATTCGGCATTATGTACGAGAGTCGTTGCCACCACCAGACTCCACTTGTTTGCAAGAGATACGCGACTTCTATTATAACACTGTCCAGTTGTGTTCAAAAGAACAAGATGCTGATGCTGATATCATTATCTCGGATCACCTAAACATTGAGCATGTAATCGCCTTCGACCTCGCCCACATCCCTGAAGTGACTTATCACACTTGCTCGAAATTTTTGAGGTGCTTGCAGTGGCATCTTCCCCGCCCAACTACCCTGGCCCCTGCTACTTTCAATATCGTCGAGAACTCCTCCACGTGGACGCCAAAAGCACGTTGCCTCCAGCGTCTCGCCTGGCTCTCCGTCGAACTTTCTCAATGCGCCGAAGCCATAAAGGCCTTTGATGCTGCTCAGGCTCTTCATCTCATCGCCGACGACCACGAGAACGTGGCAATCTGTGTTGTCGAATTTGCAGAAATATACAGATGTCAAGGTCGCTTCACTCAATCCCAACAGGTCCTACAGGACCTCCAACTCTCTGAGTCATGGAAATATCTCAGCGACACGGGGAAAGCCCGTGTGTGGTATTTCCTGGACCTCACCCGGTTATATGCATTCACGGCATCTGCCGACGAATTATTTTTGAACTCCTTGGAAGATCATACCTGGGGCTTGTCGTCCAAGATTTCGCACCAGGCTGCCAAATTGTATTACGGGAGGGATATCGTCCAGGTCAAGATGCAGTTAGAAGACATTCTCCTGCAATGCGCAGATAGATATGAGCGCCTGGATGCACTTCAGATTCTTGCAGAAGTTGCATTTTTGGAAGGCAGGTTATCCGATGCTATGGATATCCTACAGACAATTGTAATGGTGTCTGAGGGATTCTATCCTGGACGGGTCCTTTGGTCCACAGTCTTGAAAGGTGTTGTGGCGAGCAATCAGGGGAATCATGACCTTGCGAGGGAACTCATTCGCAAAGCCTCTGGATCACACGAATCGCTTACCCTGCACAGCGCATCCTCATTTCTCCACAGATCTTATGGCTCTGCATACATCGAGCTCACCGCAGGCGAGTATGACAGGGCCGAGTCGCATTTCACCGCTACGATTGAAGGTTGCAATATGCAAGGCGACCCGTTCTCCAAGTCAATTAGCACCCGTGGACTGGGCGAGATTGCCTTTGCGCGTGGTGACTTCACTTTAGCTGCACAACGCTTCGCAGAAACAGAGGCATTGTGCATTGAGATGGGAATTCCTCCCCAAAAATTGTACAACTGTGGCCCATTCTTTGCGCTGCCGGAGAGATTTAATGGATGGGCGTTATTTTTGGAGGGTCAGTCGCCATTTGCAAACGTTATGCAAACATAATACTTGGTAGCCTGCCATGCATAGTATCTTGTATGATTAGGCAACTCGGATCGCGTAGGTGACCTACTTGAATTTATAATAAAGTTGATCAAGTGAACAACGACGTCAGACGAATCCTCACACCTGTTCGTGGCAGACTTATGCATAATAATGGCTGATTGTAGACGAGTCGTTATGTATGGTTCATGCTTATCCCTCGTCGTTATACATAATGCCCTCGAGGCCGCTGGTCATACATAATGCCCTCGAGGCCATCAGTCTCCCAATATAATGCCCTCAAGGCCATCAGTCTCCCGATGTTTCTGAATCTGGACTTGATCTGATCTCGATAATCGAGGCCACTGATTTCATTTCTATCGCGAGTCTTCTGATGTGGTTCCTGGATCTAGGAGAAACACCAAATTTGAATCGACATATTATTACAGGTGGTATATGTCACATATACCACCTGTAGCTGTGGTAGTAATGTATTACTTGCTAGCAGTGTAGCGTAATTGTTATACATTAATTGCTAGTCTGCATAGCTCCGCGTGATACATCATTCTATTATGGCCATAGCCCCCTACTATAGCCTAGCCATCTGCACCAAGCCTATGTGGCTGAGATCTGCTATGACCAAGATCTGTCCAACATACTATCTGAGATCTCTGTCCGACATACAATCTGAGATTTGGGTATTACCATTGCTTCTCCAGGACTTCTTCCCCATCATTTCCCCCTCATTATTAATCACGCCAATTATTGCCCCTCAATGATATCATTATCGTGCTAATTATACATCGGAGGAGTATCAATCAATGGTAGGGGCGTCTGCCTCTCTGCTCTCCATCATATCCACGCCGTCAGAGACCAATGCAGGGACCCCACTCCATAAGTTTTGAAATGAGGCAATCAATGACCCACGCAATGCAGACTGGCGACACACATACGCTGTCAGTCCTTCTTGTGTGGGCACTGAGTCAACCGTTCGGAGAGTCTCGCGCTCCTTCCACCAGGCTGCTTGCCATTTCAAAAACACTATCACACATCTCATCTCCTCCAGCAATAGCTCCACCTCCTCCGACCACCGGTGCGCACGAGCACGAGCCTTGCACCACTCCAAGCGGACACCTATCCAAACATATAATGAGATACGAGTGAGTTCGACAAAGATATACTCACAATCCTGCACCCATTCGTTCTCTGTACAGCTGTTGTCAGCACGTGAGTCCAACCAAATCCAGGATATAGTTCCTGTCCCTTGCCGCTCCATGTCGCCCATAGGTTTGACATCAGAATCCAAAAGCGGGTGCACAATCATCTCCCACCCGCACTTCTCAAGACGGCTGCTAAGGAACAACAGGGCGTTCCGCGCCCGTCTATACTTGAGAACGCTAGCTTGTTTCCTTGACTCTACAGTGTCAATGATTTTTTTTGCACGGGTAGAACCCGCTTGACCGTGAATGTTCTTATCCTTGTACTTGTACATGTGGGATTGAAGGCGCAGGTGCGAGCAAACGTCATTGAGGGCATCAAGAGCCTGTGCATAGCGTAAGTCCCACTTGTGCCCAGCAAGCCTCTGGTCCGTAGGCGTGTCAATTGGGAGTTGTGATGGGAGCCAGAGTTCAAAGTCTTGGGGCTTCAGTTCCTCCATCCTCGCACTAGCTTCAGATGATTGATGACGGAGTTGACAAACCACTGGCATGTACAACTCCTGGACGCGAACCCAGGCATTGAGCCGTCGCTGGAGGGAGGTGATTTGAGTCTGCAGGGTTGCCTTCTGCTTATTAGTGTCATGGAGGGAGACATCGGCAAGCTTGGATCTCAGACGCGCTCTGTGTTCATATGAGAACAACGCAGTAAAAAAGCATAGAACAAAACGTACTGTTGATCTTCGAGATCCATGCCCGAAGTAATCAATCCGCTCGGGGAAATGTCAGTGTGAAGTGAGACATTAATTCCAGCTTGAAGGTCCTGAGCTTCGAGCTTGGCGAGTTCCAATCTTACGGCCGCCTGTGTGACTGCTACTGTGTCTCAGAATAGCAAAGGAGTGACAGATAATACAACTTACGAGCAAACCGACTTTCAAAGGGATTGGGAGAAGAGTTGTCCTCCTCCCAGGCTTCGACTTCTGCCTTCCATTGAGCAATGAGAGCTGGCTGGATGGTCTTCTCCAGCTCCGCGAGAGCTTCAGAATGCTCTCTCGCCCACTTCACAGCTTCAACCATCTTCTTCAGTAATGTTCGCCCTAAGTCTATGTCAGAACTGGCGAGCGCATAGAGAAAGAAGACACCACCTAACACTGTGACTTTTTCCAGTTCCAATCTCCGAAATGATCGTCGAGAGTGTCTCGACGTGTCCCCAGTCCCATCTCTTTTGTGCTTGATGCTACGCGGTTGATATTTGCCCAGCCACGTTCGGGTGCTTCACCATCTGTTTGGCCGACATATCTTGACCAGTTGAAAGAGAAGTTCATGCGACACTTATTGATGTGTGCTTGGATGTGGAACTTCGGCACAAAGAAGCGGATAAGGGAGGATTCACTGGGAAGGTGAAGCTGTTCAGGCATTGTTTCCATTCGACTCCATAGTTTCTTGTGCCACTGACAGGCAATGTCATAGGATATGTTGATCATGGAGACAGCGAGTGCGAGGAGTGCAGAACATACAATATAATCCATGTTAATGTATCTAATATAACATCTCATCAGTTGTCGTCAGGGGATAGAAATATGACGATACATACCGCTCCCCCTTCTGGAGGTCCCCAATGCCATTCGGAAGTTTCATGTCGTGTCTTGCACAGTCGATTGTCCCAACGCCAGTGGCTGCTAGTCCACGAGAGGATTTCGTGTCTGCTGCGTTGACTGCATTGTGGCTCACACACGTACTTCGCTACATAAAAAAACTGAGTTAGGTCTAGAGGAATCACCAGAATCATCTTACTTACTTCTTGCTTTTCTGTGGCATGGTCCGCAAGATAAGACTTGTATGCACTGTCCCGCACAAAATATCCCCATCCAACATTGAGGCTAGGATCGGCAGTGTCAGAGGACACTGCCTTTCGCTTCAGCCTGAAATTCGCGTCGATTGCCACAAATAACGCATACTTCCATCTGCGATGACATGTGAGCATCAAAATGAAGGAATGACACAATATCTTACCTAGCGAGGAGCGGCTCTTTCTCCCAGTCTGGCAGGTAAATTCTTCCCAGGCTGTGGGCATGTGGGGCAGAGAACTGCTAGCTCCCCTTCGCCTGTAGCGTCCACTCCAGCAGGATCGTGTCCCCTTCCTGCACGGCCAAGTTGCTTGAGATTGTGCCATTGGCATACCATCCGCATAAAAGAAGAGTAGCGATCCTATGTTGTAATTAGATAAATGCAGAGACAAGGAAATGATACTCACCCTGATCTTTGATAAGCCAGAATTGTCGGTACGTCTTGCAAGCGAATGATAAAACTCATACACTGACACTTTGCTCTCGAAGGATAGAAGGTGAAAATGCTGCAGAACTGAGAATGTTGCTGCAGTTCGAGGCTCTGAGATGGTTGCCAGGTACCTGTTATGACCGACGTCCAACAATAATGTTGAAGGTGAGCACACAACCACTAGGACTTGATTTGAGATGACAATGAGCAACAGGATAGATTTGAGCTGTTGACGTCTAGGTCACTACAACAGTAGAAACGAAGAGGTTAAGTCTAAGGAACTCTTACGCTAACTAGCCTACTCTTATACATAACATTGAATAGGAGTCTGAAAGAAATCAGCCAATAAGAAAAGAGTCGTACGACTACTGCGGATGACTAAAGATGACTCATGATATATAAGCAATGAGTAAGATGGCAACTAAACAGGAACCCAAGTTCCGACCAGTTCTTCATTGGGAAGCGAGATTGTTCTAGCCCGTGGAGTAGGGGAACCAATCGGAGAAACCACGGGTGATATGTGAAGAGGTGAAGATGTGACAGGGTGAGAAGTCACGTGACCGGTTTGGGTACTGGAAGTAGCCGAAGGAAAACCGAGAAATGAAAAATGGTTCGTATTGGGAATTCGTGACAGTACCACCGCGTGCGTAGTAACTGTTTGTACCAGACCTGAGCTGAAGCACAGCCACAGAAGTCCAGTGCGATCTCATGAACACCATCAAGTCCAATGACGACAAAGTCATCACCAGCAGAGGGAATAGGATTGTAACACTTTTCTCCAGGGTTATGGCCAAGTTGGATGCGAACTCCGAGGCTTTTGAGCACGATGCATTGAAAAAAAGACCCATTCCACATCTGAATATGATCAGTGAGACATCAGCGCTGAAGCGTGAGACATACCTTGATCCTATGCAAAGGGAGATAAGTGTGGTTGCATAGCATGCATGCATGGCAGAACATTTGAATTCCAAAACAGTCGCAACACTGGAATTGAGGTGATACATCACCACACTGACAAGCGATGCCCTCCGATCCACATCCATTGAGGCGCATCATTTCATCCAGAAAACATTGACGTTCTGGAATACATGCGAGCAAAGGTGCGTCCTTGAGTCTACTGAGTTATCACAACTCAAAGAAAGGGAAGGAGAATACTCACTGCTGCAGTGCGTTTGCGTTTTCCCAAAGGAGTGTCACTGACAATATCTTCTGTGATGGCTCCAGCATCAAAGCCCGAGTCACCAGCACACCTGACCTCATCATCTATGAAATATGTGTTGTTAGTAGGCAAGTTGTCAGGAAGTCTCCCTTCAATGTAGCTTGTGTGTAAACGTGTGCTACCTTCATTGGTAATTTCTGCCACACGAAATTGTAAAAGGGGTCGTTCGGGGTCAGTAGAGGGAGGGACAAAGGGCTCGTGCGAAATCGCCAGCCTCCTGGGGGGGCGACCACGGCGCATGTGTACTGTAGTTCAATGTATTAGCTCATACTGTTTGGGCAGTAATACAATCCCAATCCCGCGTTTGGAAAACCTCCCCCTGCTGGCCACCATTGAATACACAGTGGGATCGAATGTTCACATTCAGTTGACCTGATTGCTAAACTCATGGTGGAGATGCTGATACTTCGTGCGGTAAGTAAGCGCCCCACCTAATATGCACAGAGACTGACCTTCCTTTATGCTGATGCAGAATCAAAGGCCACATGTTTTGGGCGACATGATGTAAACTGAGCCGCGAGAAGGGCGAAACAGGGAAAGAACCCCAGAAGTGGTTCTGGTACTGGGGTGTCGGCCACCAAACTTAGTAGTAGGCTAGCTGATTTAGTAACTGAACAATGTCAGCAGCTCAGAGCACAAATTCATTTACTTACCTGAGACCATCCATACTTGAACGTTTTCAGGCTTGAAGCTTGAGATCTGAGAGCTTTGAATGGTGCCCTCTGAGATTAGTCAAGCCAATTTTGCACTTGCTCAGATTAGTCAGCAGGTTTGCACTGGGAAAATTCGTCTGGTCCAAGTCTCACTCACAATCAGTGACGGTTAATTCCAAGGACTTGTCTGCAACTCTCGAAGGTAGTTACATCTCTCAAATTCTCAAATGATGGAGTGATCCTCCATATCGCGAATCCCCGACCCTACCGGCCCTCCAGGAGCTAGATAAATTCTCTTGTGGTGAGTGATACATCACCCATATTACTTGAAATCCAGCTGAACTCACCGTCATGACCCAGAACTTATTTTTGTCCATTCAGACAGACACCATGGTGTCTGTCCGACTGGACGGTCTCATCGAATTTCTCCAATGTCTCTCCCTTGAGGATAGGAATGCATTGTCCAGGGGATTGGGCATTGGCATTAACACTAGCAGAGAGACGCCTGATGGTGAATCACTTCCATTTGGTTCCTTGAGACTACCATGACTCACATACCTTTTGCAATGATGTAGATACCGTCACCACTGAAACGCCCCTGCCCACTCCCCCCACGGCTTCCGATAATTCCCCTGCTGTTACTGTGACCAGTATGGAAGTTCCCATTCCTACTCCCTCTACCCCTACTGCAGCTGCTCCTGCTATTCCTGCTGCCTCTGATCCTACCATTCCTACTACCCCGGCTCCTACTGCGGCTGCTCCCACAGGCCATACCACCATCTTGGTTGAGTTCGACGAATATGACGACTCTGATGATGAGGATTCGGCCATGGCAGCCGCTGCACTTGCGGATAACTCCATATTACATTTTTACCATGGAACATACTTCAATGTGCCTGCCGCCAAGGCCCAGGCACCCTTCTATTGTATCACCAGGGGTCGATACATTGGCGTCTTTTCAGGCTGGTGAATTTTTTATTTCGCATTCTGTGTTCTAATACTAATTTCTTCATTGCAGGGATGCTACCGGTTCAAAGGTGCTTGGCATCTCCCGTGGTATCTTTCACAAGGTGGACAGTATTGAGAAGGGCATGAACATCATGAAGGCCGCAATAGAGCGTCGTGATGCCATCCAGGTATTGTAATTGTAGTGCGTAGTTTTTCAGAGGATGTGTTATGTTATAGCTGTCAGAGGGAATCTGCGTGGAGGTCCAGTGCACGAGTATCTCTCTGCTTCAGGACCTCGAGAGCGATAGTCTGTATTGACAAATATGTATTATATGCATAAATAAATGAACCTAAGCAGCGGCCTCTGCAACAATAGCCTCCCGTCTTGACTTCGCTTCCTGTCTCGACTTCACCTCCTGCATGTGAAGTAGCAACCGAGCTCTTGCAGTCTTGACAAGCTCTAAGAGGGTCGGCATATTGGGCTGCCAGTGGTGAATTAGCATAAAGACTGGTCCGAAGGATTCAAACCTACTCTGTTGTAGTAGTAATACTCTACAGACACTGGGGAAGGAGGTAGTGGTGGAGGGATTACTGGAGCAGGCCTGGATGGCATGTTTGTTGAGCTATACAATGGTTGATTTTAGCGATCGACATGTTCTGCAATGAAGACTCACCTGCAAGTATGTAGTAGTTGTTGGGTAATGGTTGAAAACTGTAAGAGGACGGTTAGTTGAGGTTAAATCAAGGAAAGGTGGGATAAAATCGCATAAAACTCCAAATTAAACTCCTACATGAAACGGTTCAAAACTCCTACACACAAATTGAGTATCTGAACCCACTTACGTTCAACCCACATTCTCGCACATGGCACGACCATGTCTATACAACACTGAAGAAGAAAAAGTGGAGGCCGCATGGGGTCATCAGCGCACTTACTATGCACAGTACACTTCACTTTATTGTCATATTGTCGATGGCAGAACTAAATTCAACATTCAGTAACCGTGATAGGTTATGTGCGCAAAAATGGCAAAAAATGGAGGAAACATGCGAGGGAAAGGAATACAAGTAAGACACTTACCGCTTGAAATCACGACATCACCTAACTTCTGGCCTGCACAGTGACAGTCAAGCGCGGTGTGTAGGAAGGCCACATTTGCATCAAACCCCTGAGCAGAAAGTCGAAGCTGCATGCAATTACCGGAAAGAATATTATGATCGGTATGTCATCTTTCGCTTACCGGGTTTGAATGAAGTATATCCACTCATTTCACATCTAGTCATCATGAAGAAATCTGTACCAAATATCGGATCAAATCAGATTTAAATCAGTAGGTCGCCCAATTGTATATTCTCACCTACTCAATCAATCACTTACTACTTGGGCAGTATGAGTCTCAAACCGGCAAAGCGGGATACAAACAAGATGAACAAGATGAACAAGACACGCTCTCACAAAAATAAATGGTATGTCACATTCATCTCGGCAGCTTTTAATAATGTTAAATGATCTTAAGGGCCAGGCTTTGTGATGATATTGATGCGAGCCTGCAGGTCTTGATTGGGTCTTCTGAATCAAGCACAGTGTTGGTAGAGGGCCTATGCACCCACTTCATAGCAAACCCAGATCAGCCTGATTCATTGAATGTCCTGCGGTCCACTCATGATGGGTTGGAAGACCTCCTTCAACGTGCGCAGTCTTTGGAAAACAATGTTATTGACAAATGTGGGATAGGCCAAGACCTTAGTTGTGTGCAGGGTTCTGTGACTCGTGTTTGAAGGGTTCTGGTGGACTTGAATGATGTGTTTACTCACGCTATGCTTGGTGTAGACTACCTAGTGGAAGCACACGCGAACCGCAGACTGAAGCATCAAGTTACCCAAGACTCAAACAAAGACATTATTCCTTAGAGTCTTAGTAGACGGTCAAAATTATGATAACATCCCATATCTGCTATCCTCATCGATCCACCTATTGCACATTCAATCACGCATCATCGTGCATAACGGAAAAGGCCAAACTGAACTTGAAAACACACCTGTGGCTACGCATCATTGGTGTCTACTTGGCAATTTTCATTTGCCGCGAGCTCAAAGGTATGTTGTTAATTATAGATATACATATGAGGCTGAATATTAAATGTTGGATGGCACCACGTACCTGGGTAACTGCCAACCAACAATCTTTCATCATGACATATCGTGATGAATACCTCAAATGCCAGAAAAAAGGCAACTACTCTAACTTTTGGCAACTGTTCTTTGAAAAATGGGAGGAGCAGTGGCCTCCAAGGGCTTCCCTGGATCCAACTGTCCCTGTGGGTCAGGCGCTGACAGCAGAACAGTTGAAGCAGGAGGCTGAAATCAGGGCAGCAGTTCAGACAGTTAGTTTCTTCTTTTACATGCATTATTTGTTGACTTACACTGTGTTCAGCATTTGATGGTCAAATTGCGTAATGACAATGGTCATTCAAAGGTTGCCTGCAAGGCAAATGCTGCAGGGAATTCAGTTGTCAACAAACTTCTCAAGAATATTGTCAAAGGCCCGACAACGACCCAAACACGTCCCCTTAAGGAAAGCGAAGTCTATACCAAAAAATATTACGCATCTCGAGTCCAGCCTTGCGTAAAAGATGAGCTAAGTGCCATGAAAGAACAACCCGATGCCCCCAATCTGAAGAAGACAAACCTTTGCATGATTTGAAAACATATTGTGCAATGCTGGGAGAGTGAGTCTGCTGATGTGAAGGAGGAAATATCGCAACTTGCCAGAGAGATGAGGGAAGCGAGACGTGAGGCAGTGAAGGGGAGAGAATCATCCGAGGCAACCAATGAAATGTAAGTGTCCTTCTCTTCCCGTCCCACACTTTACTGATTTAAGACAGAATTGTACTGAGACTTACGGAAATTCTATCGATGTTCTTCGGAGAGCTTCATGAGGCTACAGGATGGACTTTCAGTGTCCTGCTCGGTGGGCCTGACCCATCCAATGGAGGCACAATTGATGTCAGCAGCTTGCATGTAGGATCAACGAAGCTCGGTAATCGCTTCAACCAGGTGTTCGCAAAGTTCAACGACAATGTTATGGTACCCTACTATGAATTTGTTTCTCATGTTTTTTGTATGTTTTTCCATGTTATACTCTCTATATTGTGCTGACAATGTTTAGCTGAGGCTGGGATTCTGAAAGAAACGGTTGCCCAGAGTCTTGAGGGTGAAGATCTACTCCGCTTTTCCACCACTCCAGACGATATTCCCACAATGGAGGATTTCTCTACGACCATACCATCTGATATATCATGTCCCCCATCCTTACAACTAGAATTAACGCCAATCATCCCTTCTGCGCCACCTGAAGTGGATTTCTTCAGCAACTTGCCTCCCACTCCTCAACATAATGAGACCAGCCATGAATCGAAATTGCCCGTTCTCCCTATGCCGGAGGGGTACATTCCCTCCCCTCCTCCATCTCTACCATATCTAGAGGGCGTGTTTCCCTCTACTTCTATGTTTTTTAATCTGAATTCAAATCTTGACTCTTTCGACAATGCTTTTCGTGAGATGCAGTCCCAGGATGCCATGGCGGAGATGCTGTGTTCCCCTCCCCATATTCATTATCAGTTTGACCATTCTTCCCCTGCTCATATTGGGTATCAGTTCGACCACTCCATCAGGTCCTCGTCACCCACGCTGACCGCTTCCTCTGCGCCTATTATATCAAGCTCCACCACGCCAGCTACGAGTCCCTCTAGGACGGTAGTTACAACTCCCTTGGTAACACCTACTCTGACACCCGTTATGTCAAGCTCCACCATGCCAAACTCCACCATACCAGCTATCACCCCCTCCAGGACGATGGCTACCATGACGCCTAGCCAAACCACGCCAGCTACTTCTGCTACAACCAATGTTGTCCTCACTCCCGGTCCGACCCTCTCACCAGCTCATGCGCTACCACCGACTCCGCCGATTTTCAAGCAAAGTTCTGGGATGACGGGCTGATCCAGTTGTCCCTATGGATTCCAGCAACATAGATGACGCACCTCCCACTAAGTGTCAGAAAAAGAGTCAATATGCTCGTGCATGTGTAAATGCAGTTGAGCCACAGACTCTCACTGTCATGGGCTGAGGTAAACATCAACAATTCAAGTCAACTCGAGCTGCCGCTGCCAACACTATTGGTTGAATATATCAGTGTGTTGATATATTATGTTTTGAATAATGCACAAGCATACATATATAATTACATATTGCGAAATTTAATTTTTGATTATCTTGGGATTGTGTTTCACACTTAAGACTTGCCTTTGAATGCAAACACGCGAATTGCCAAAGAACTGTCAATGTAGAGTTGCGTGAGGGGACAAGCACTTCAAAGTCAAGTCTGTTTGCCTATTTAGGACACACAGGAAAACATATTAGCCCCACTGAATTTTATTTTGTTTCGCCCATTTTTTTACAAGTAATTTACGGGTAACAGACTGACAATGAGCGAAATGAAATAAGCTCACCAGGTGATCTTGCACTGACACCAGCGGGAATTCCTGTATGAGAAGGACCAGGACGAGAGTACAAACACGTGGATGAACGGAGGCGTTCTGCACGTTGAAGGCAGAAGTCGGGGGAACACGTGTTGTCGAAGACGCGTCGAATTCAGACTCTGTCTTGGCTCTGTGGCGCTTGTGCCTCACACCTAGAGTGCCCACGGGAATTCCCGCATGACGGGGTCGGACAACAAGCCAGGCCAAAGTCAGCATAGCACTAATAAGTAGTGCTACAGACTCTGATAATGAGAGAAATAAAATGAGAGAATAAAATGAGCTCACCAGGTGATCTTATGGCAGACCCACCAACCAATACACAGCGACACCATCATAATCCCGTGCAGCCCCAACAACAACAACCAACCAGGTAGTAATCCCCCCTGTCAAAAATTCACACCATAATCGGATGGCTCATCTAGTGATACGGATACAATTATGTGTACACCTCTGAGGAAGTATAGGGCTGCTGGAAGTGCTGGGAGTGTGTATACTGCTACTGCTGGGGGAACGCCAAGGGTTGAGTATAGGAGTGGGAGTGCTGCGGGTGGTAGGAGTGTAGGTGGTGGAGGGGAGGGGTATGTGAGTATGGGTATGAGTATGAGTGCGGGTAGTGGAGGTGGTGCTAACAAGTGGCGCTTGAACGCAAACTCGCGAGTTGCCGAAGAACTGTACAGGTGCTGAAAATAACATGCTGACAAATATAAAGAAGGGGAACAGTGCACCTGTACCTGCATGAGGCGATAAAAATACCGCAGCGTTGGAAATAAAGGGCTGACAAATACAGAGAAGCAAGGATCCGAATCAAAGTACCAGCTGACAAATATGAAGAATCAAGGTACAACCAAAAGAACGGAGGGAACAATCAAAAAGAACCAAGAAAGGATAGTGAGAACCAGGAACGGGCTAGATGAAGGCATCACTTTTAGATTCACCAGTGATACATCACTGATACATCAGCTACTACTGCTGTAAGGACGCTATGTAATGTAGTAATTAATGTATTACAATTTCACTACTACTGTAGGTTGAGTAATGTATTATTATCACAGTATAGCCTGCATATACATACATGGAAGTACAGTACTGGCGCGCGAACAGTGGGAGAGACGTCAAGCCTATAACTGTACCTCTGCAGTCACGGAGGACTCTATCACGGCCCACATGTTGTTGAAGGCTATCTGTAAGTTTCTCCAAAGAGATGCTTGGCGTTTGGCGTAAGCTTTGATGCCCTCGCTTGCAGCATCAGGTAAGCCCGTTCTTTGCCCTGCCTGCTCATCCCACCATGTAGCATGCCACGAGAGGAATTCTCTGACACGTCACATCTCCTCCAGTAAAAGCTGCACTTCTTCTGTCCAGCGGTGCACACGTGCTCTGGCTTTACACCACTCAATGCGTAGTGCTGACGACAGGATTAAAAAACATCAGAAAGAAATGGGGAACAGCTCACCATCCACAAGAACCTCCCTGGTTGCTGAGACGCCCTGCATCTTCCAGATCCAAGAAAGAGTCTGGTTGCCTTCGGATTGACCTGCCTCGCCTTCTGACATTCCGCGCACGTGAGCTGGCTCCAGTATTGGAAAGATGGTCTGCCAGCCATCCTCTGCAAGTGTTCCACATAGGTAGTTTAATGCGGTTCGCATGCGACGGTACCTTTCACCAGCCTCTGTGACATTGCGCTCGACCTTTCCTAACACAGTAGCGGTGCGTGTGTTGGCTCGCTGACCCCAGATATTGACATTCTTGAATTTATAGAGGTGGGTACAAAGAAGGAGATGCTGGCAGAGGTCGTTCAACACATCGAATGCTTGCGCATGGCGCAGTTCCCATTCGAACCGGCAAAGTTGTTTGTCACAGATAGCATCTGGTGCGTGCTCCTTGAGCTGAGAAGGGAGGAATAACCTGATTTGATGTGCCTTCTCCTCAATCAATGTGTCGGTACTTTGGGCAGCTCTGATGGGGGCCACAGAGGGCATGTACAGAACCTGAACTTGACACCACTGATCGACCTTGCGCTGCAGTACATTTGTGCGATCTTGCAGCTTCGAACACTGAAGATCAGTCGCATGGTCACAAAGTGCTAGAAGGTCTCATAGAAGTTGATGTCTGGGGAGTGGTTTGTTAATGATTGACTGAGGTGGGTGAATTTAAAAATCTTACTGTTTGTCTTCAATGCCAATGCCGGATGAGATAAGGACGGCTGGCGATATTTCATTGTGGAGGGAATTGTTGATGCCGTGCTCGAGCTCCTCACTCTCTTCCTGAGAGAGGGTCAACCTGACTGATGCCTGTGTCATGTCTAAAGAATCAGTAGAGGTTTACATGTAGATACTATGGACAACTTACTTGCTGTTGTTGGGCTGAAAGGGTTTGTTGCTGACATGTCTGCTGTTACACGAAACCTCTCGGATGAGATCCAGCGGCGCTAAACCCGCAAGGGGTGTTCAAAGCGTGGCTTTTGGCACTAGCCAAGCAAGGAGCTTGCCTGCGCTAAGTCTGAGTAAGGGTTGAGGCCCTTACTTGCATAGAGTCGATTGGAGCTTCTCGAGGATATGATCCAAGAGACGGAATTCAACTCAAGAGTATTGTCTCAAGAGTAGATGGTTCTTTGTACAAAGGGGGTTCTCTTAGACAAGAGAAGTTCAATCCCAATGACAAGATCAGATGAGAACCGAGTAGATTCAAGTTAGAGAATCTATCTACAAAGAGAAGTAATATATATACGTAAAGCGAGATACCAGTGGAACAGTAAGGGTACAGGGTACAGAGGTAGTACCAAAGTAATGGTAAGGGTTGAGGGTATGTATGAGTCACATACTGGAAAGGGTAAGTAGTACTGGTTGAGCGGTAAGGGCAAAGGGCATGGGGAATCCCCATCAATGAGGGAACCGAAACAGTGGGAAGGGCATAGGGTTTGGTAGAAGCCAGGGCTTCTCTGATCTAGGGGTGGAAGCGAGAGCTTCCTGCGTTTCAGAACAACAGGATCAAAAAGAAAGAGATGAGAATAGAATCGTAACCATGGTTTGGGTCCAGACGAGTCCGAAGAATGAAATGACGCGTAATGCTCATGTTACTGTAACATCTGCTTCCCATTCCTCGACTCCCTGTTTCCATCTTCCTACCTCTTCCGGACGTTCAGTAATGAGTGTCTCGTTGAATTCGTCGAAGTCCTGCTGATGTTGGTAACATTCTGGTATAGCGGCCTTTAGTTTTCGTAATAGACTGGTACCTAGTAGTTGATTAGCCAGTGTCTGAAGTAATACAAATGCGAACTTACCAAGATTGGTCACCTTCTTCCAGTTGAAGTCGCCAAAATGATCGTCAAGTGTGTTGCATCGAGAACCCAGGCCCATTTCGCGTGTGGAGGTAGCAACAGGGTTAATGTTTGCCCACCTGCGCTCCGGAGCTTCACCGTCAGTACGGCCCATGCTTTTAACCAGATTGTGTGAGTAGGTAATTTGACATGAAAAAATATGAGCGGGCAAGTGAAACTTCAGAACCAGAAATGTCGTGATTTTGCCGCCATGTTCAACATGCATCCAATTGGGGTACTGAGCCATGCATTCCCACAAATGTTTGCTCCATTGACAGGCTATGTCATATGAGACATTCAAGGTAACAAGGTCCTTGGCATGCTGCATCATCGAGAAGAATAAGAAATCCATGTTAATATATCTGATGGTCTTATGAGAGACGAGAAGCAATTACAAAAATAAATATGTACTTCTCTCCTTTCTGAAGATCACCAACAGCGCATGGCCGTTTGAAGTTGTGATGTGCGCAGTCAACGGTCCCGGCTCCTGTTGCTGCGAGGCCATGGGAATTCTTGGTTTCTGCTAGATTGACAGCGCTGTGGCTTACACAAGTGCTTTTCTAATTAAAGAGGTTAGTGATTAAGTCTGAAAATTGAGAGTGTGGAGCACGTACCTCTTGCGGCTCCTTGCTAACATCCTGAAGGAATGCTTTGTATCCATCTTCCTCAACAAAATATGCCCACCCCTTGCTAAGACTGGGGTCAATGTTGTCCGAGGACACGTTCTTCCGCGCTAAACGGAAGTTCACATCGATTGCGAGGAAAAGTCCATAGAGCCATCTGTACGAATGTTGGTAAGTAAGACACATCACAAGGTAATTCACTCACCGAACTTCTGGAGGGGCGTCTTCCCAACCCTGCGGTAAGTTTTTACTGGCTTGAGGACATGCTGGACAAATGACTGCGCAAGATCCTTCCAGGGTGGCACCAACACCTGCAGGGTCATGTCCTCACCCAAACCGCTTGAGAAGCGTCAAATTTCACCACTCTCTAACCATTCTCAATAATGCTTCATAGCGATCCTGTCCATCCATCATGAGCAAGGCAATCTATACTCGAGGGAATTGTTTGCTTACCTTCGGAGCACTGAGACCCGTATTATCCGTAAGCCTGGAGAGTGTCTGCCAGACTTCAAAGGCAGATGCCTTCGATTCGAAAGTGAGAATGTGAAAATGGTGAAGTAGGCGGAAAGTGGCGGCAGTTCTGGGGTCTATAGTTGTCGCTGGGAACCAACGGGTGCGGAGAAGCTGGGTGGTAGAAGACTGAGCAGTTTCACAGGCGCAGAAGTCAATAGCGACCGGGTGAACACCATTCACATCCAGAACAACAAAATCGTCATGAAACACTGGCGATGGGTTGCAACATCTCCCCCAAACTGGATGGCCAAGTTGTATCCTGGAGACCGAGGTCTTTCAGGCTAGTGCATTTAAAATGCCCGTCATCCCAGTGCTTCATAATTACCTGGTCATCAGTATATAATACACAATCAATCACATAAATGACTAACCTGGATTCTGTGTAGTGGACTTTCTCGGTGCCTTGAAACTGTGCAGTCCTTGCAATAGAGAGCTGTGCCAAAACAATCCCAACACCGATACTTAGGGCAACCATTGCATTCACTGCTGCCCAGACAGACTTCAGTGAACATGTAGTCGCCATGGCCTTCCAACCGGAGAAGTTCTAGGAGGTAAGCTTTGAGTTCCTTGAGCCAGAGCCCAATAGGATTATCCTGAATAAGCCGTGTCGGTAAGTCAGCAAATATAATCAATGTAAATACATACTGCAGCAGTGCGCCCGCGCTTTTTGGGCTCTGTCGTCATTTCGGCCACATGTTCGTTGTAGATCACGTATGTGATGTCCTTGTTGTCATTGAAATCAAAAAAGAAATCACTTGACCTGGAGTCTGTTATATTTGAAGTCACTTGAGAGGGTATGGGTGCACTGCTGATATATGCTGTTGAGGTAGACAGACGACTAGGTCCTCTGATGGTATATGATTGATGTTTATGGCGAAGAATTTGGTTGTTGCCTGTTTCTTCGGCCAATCGTGCATCTGTAGCATGTTGACGTCCGGCCTGCTGCCTAGTGTGATACTCCTGAGTATAATTATACCATTTTTTTTGCAGCTTCGCCAGCTCCTTTTGCTGCTGGCTTTTGCCCATGGTTAGTTGTTGGTTGGTTGAAGTGTACCAATCAAGCATATGAGGTCACGTGCACTGATCTGTACTGCACTAGTACGCCCGCTCCATGTCAACTTATTTCATTGTGGTTCATGTGCATGAAGGCGAGTCCTGATTATTAAATATTCTTAGAGAGCGAGACTGTATCTATTTAGTTTTAAATTTGCAGGATGCCATAATATCTAGTCTACTTTGTATGCTCATTTTTGTCCGACCACAGAAGTGGGTTTTCATCTGATCAAGATCAATTTCATTGAAAGAGAATTCAAGCTACTAGTACATTGAATCATCCAGCGGTAATACAATGAGACCATGTTTGCGAAGTAGATACATTCTATATAAATACCAACTAAGACCCTTGCATGAAGGGACTTAACATTCTTGTAGTAGCTATGAATGCACGAGTTATTGTCCGACCACACTCCAAAAGCAATCTGTACTTCTTTTCAACCAAAACATCCCCAACCTCCCAACCAACACCATCATGGCACATCCTCCCATTTACAAGACAGATCAGGCCAAACTAGAGGCATCTCGTGAAAGATGCTGGCATCACTATGCAAAGTAAGTTATTATACATATTATGGCCTCGCTAGTTCCTGACCAAGTAAATAAAAGAAACAGGGACAGTATACTGCAAAGGTGGCGAGAGCTTCACATCAGCAAGCCGTCACAGGAGATATTTAAACTTCAAAAAGCTCTTGCCGAGGCCTTGGGTTATGAAGATGATGCTACTACATCCGAGACGGAGGCAGACGATGACGAGAATGACCAACTGTATGTGTTGACATCATATTTTATAAATAGATGAAATGAAACATAATTAATGACCCACAGATTTGATCTCCAAGCGTCCCTCATTGCTATCAAAAACATCAAGGATGAGATGCTGGCATTAGTCCCAGAACCCTGCGCATTTATGGAGGGTGTCGTCCTTCAATATGTCAAAAGCCTTCCGGATGATGGGAATGGCAAGGGTGACACCTCAATCATCAACAGTCCAAAACTTAAGGTTGAAGTCTTACTCCGCCGTGCAATTCCTGTGCAGGACCAGATCATGAATTTCTATGGAGTATCAGCTCAGTCTCGCGCCACTGAATCAGTCTCGCGTTACTTAAACACTGTGCTTGGTTATCTGGAGGACATTCAGTATTTTTTGAACATTGAAGGGGTTTCCGAGTTGACGATTGCCCACTCAATGGGAGAGTTGATGTACCAGAAGGGCATCCATATCTAAATTTATGTATTTCATTCAATTGGTTCATACTTGTAATGCAGAATACAGTTTGCTGTTTGTTCACGCACCGAACCCAAGTACTGGGAGATGATTGGTCTATAAACGTCGAGAAGTTATTTGTGTGGTTAGCACAGCGAACCTTAAGCTTAGAACTGGTTGAAATCTCATGTACACCAACATTTTCAAAAAATCAACCCATAAGCTGTGCGTCATTTTGTTCTATTAATGTTACTTATGAGGCAATGCGGCTAGATGGTGGGGACAGAATGGGTGACAGCTGAACAAAAGGAATTTCTGCAGGGATTGTACAATTATTTCCTTAAGGTGCAGCTCGAAGCAACCTTGGCAGCCTTCTGGACTGAGGTTTATTGCACCTGGTTTGAAAAATGGCCCGAAATCAGCATCATGTACCCTGGTGTTCCAGACCATGAATCCTTAACAGAAGAGCAGAATGAATTGTTAGGGATCGCGGTCAAAAAAAGGCATCAGGTAGGCATAATTCGGAGTCTTGGACTAAAATTCACAAATGATCACCCACCACGCAGCAACTTAGGACATGGTTTAACTACCGATCACAAAGGGGTGGTCGTGCATCAGTCAACGCGATGATGAAATCAATCCATAAGATGCTTGGAAACAGGGCGAAGGGAACTCGAGTTCACACAGCAGCAGAGATATTTGCCAAATCAAGCCACGGTGCTGATGTTCACATCAAGCTGTGAAATGCTATTGATTCCAGTAGTATTGTCACTAAAGGAGAAAAGCTTAACGCCATGAGGAAATTAGCTCAAGAAGCTTACACAGCTGCCAGTCCCGATGTTCAGGCATCTTGCATCGCCACAGTGCAAGCAGAATGTGATGTGAAAGCAAGCGAGGTGCTTAAGCAGAAGCGTGCCCCAGAAGAAAGGACAAACACAGAGCTCGCAAAGTAAGTAGCTGTTATTTGATAGTGATCGCAAATTTGACTTACTGATTGTTGATTTTGCAGGGCACTTGAGGAGTTCCCAGGTCCTATCGCGCATTTCCTGCAAGCAATTCATGAGATGACAGGGTTCCACTGGTCAATTATGGGTGCAGGACCTGACCCTCACTATAATGGTGACATCAATGTCATCAGGTGAGTTTGAATCGCACCGCTGTGTCAAATGTCTGCTAATAAATTTCTTTTTTTTTAAGTTACCATACTGGAGTGAATGAGCAGGGTCAAAACTGGATGCAAGCAACTCCCGAGTTCAATGAAAGACACCTTAAGCCATTCACTGCGTTTGTCTCGCGTCTTTTCCATAAGCTTCGCTTCCCTTGGCCATTCATACTGCATACTGATTAATAAATAAGCGGAACATATGAGGAAGACACGGGCACTCAGCTATGTCCCCCCAATGCCCTCTCAACAAGATACATTGGTGCTTGGAGCTGAGCAAGGAGTCCCTGAGCCCGGGATGCAGGTATTCAGTCATGTGCCGTTACCCCCTGCATCTGCCCCGATTGCGTCTTCACTGCTCTCTTTTGATACTCCCGACTTTGCTAGTTCGTGTGCCAGTGGAAGCAGCGGTTACATGGAGTTACTGACCTTTGATATGTACGACAATAACTTGAATGTTCCACCCTCATCTTCGACCTCTCTCATGCCATACCTCAACTCACCATCCTCTTCACCAATCTCATCATGGAACTGCGGTGCACATGATTCACAAAACTACACTTCTCCTCCTCATGTTTGATCTCGTGATATACTTGACAGCTTTCTTGACCAGACAGCTCCATCTGACGTAAGTCAGCCTTCTCTGCCGCCTTTCATCACCTCTGAGGCTCCCAAATTCAACTTCCCTCTGATTTCTGCTCCAGCCAGCGCCTTTTTGGATGTCCTGCAACCATTGGGCATGGAATCTGGGGGCAATGCAGCTGCAGCTACTGCAGACCTTGCCCTTGCGTCTTCAGCCGGTGAAGACGCAATCACTGAAGCCTCCAATGACCCTCAGCCTCTGTTAGGCACGGACTTGGAATCTGTGGATGCAATTGTCGCTGACGCTCCTCCGACGGTTGGTGCAACAATTGTTGCTGATGTGGCAGCTCCCCAAACGCTCACTCCAATGGCAGCTCCTCAAATGCTCGCTCCAACGATTGTCACTGACGTGGTGGTTCCTCCAGCAGTCAGGAAGACTGGGTGCGTCCGCATGGAGACAACACGACTTGTACAGGCCAACAACATTGGCCAAAATATGAAGTGAGCGAGGCCTGCTGCCGGACATTCCATTGCAAGCGGACCACCAAAGAAGTATGTGTTTCTTTTCCACTCTTTGCTCATCTCATGTCTTTTGAGCAGGAGGTTGAAGTAAATTGATTTATTGACTACATTACTCGTACTTGTAGTAGCATTCACTTAGTACAAAATCATGTATATATTGAGACACTGCGCATGATGAATCACAATCTTGATCATACTCTGAAATCATAGACTCGATGTTGTAAACACGACGGACTTAGGACAATCACACGATGGACTTAGAAAAATCTGGGCAAGCAGAAGGCACGTGATGGTTTGAACCACTAGGAACCAGCCAAGGGACAAATTTGGCCGCAGAAGAGCCAGAAGGAGCGGAAGTCCAGAGGGAAGGAACAGGCCTAGATATTTCATCCAAATGAGGCCAGATTTGTTGATTGAGAAGCAAGATCAACAATCAGAAATGACCCAAAACGAGCTACTGAAGCATCTCGACACCGTTATGCATAACAGGACCTGATCAGAGCAACCAAAACGAGCTACCGAAGCATCTCGACACCATTATGCATAACGGGACCTGTCATGCATAAAGGCAGTAGCGGTCGAGGGTAAGCGTCAACCATACATAACCATAACGTCCCTTAACAGCCATCTTTATGCATAAATATGACACTATAGCCTGATCCTCAATTGACAAAGTTGATAAGGCTTACTGGCAAGCAGTGAGTGGAAACACACATAAGTATTCTACGTACTGTACATCAGTACCTACTCACCACTGGAATGGTTGCTGATCAATTCGAACCAGCTCGGCAATTTCTGCCACTCCTCGAACTGCGAACTAGATCAACGGTTCGGTTCCCCCATTGGACTGTCTAAACTTTGTGTTGAAGCCCGAGTCGAAGGCTGAGCAGGAGATGTCAAAGTGAGACATTGCGAGTGCTAACCGATTGAGGAACTTACAACCAAGTGACGTTGGTCACAGAATCTAATAAGTCGTCATTTATTTCCTATGCTACAGTTTATTACTTATCACTATGCTAACTACCTTAAAACTACGAGTTGTCAGACCGAACATCTCAGTCCGTTTCCCGAGACTGAGATGTGAGTCAAAGTTCCCGCTTTACGTTACAACAAGAACTAACAGATACTTAGATATATTCTCTTATCAGGTACTACTATAGTTATTACCGAGTCCGTTTCCTGAGACTGAGATATCTATTCTCTTATCAGCTCACCGTTCTCGCTCCCTCTAAGCCTCTCATCACTAGAGGTTATGAGCCCTGACTTGACTATGGATACCGCTCTCCCCAACACCTCTTCTACACTCTTTAGCATCCCCAAACTTGCCGAGGATGGCTCGAATTGGATTACCTATAAGGAAAGGACATTAACGGCTATAGGTGCCCGAGGGCTGATGCGCTATACCGATGGTCGAACCCAGAAACCAGTTCCATTCGCGATCAATGAGACGATGAAGGCCTTGAAGAAGCCTGATGGCTTTAAGCCTACGCAGACTGAGATCAACGAGCTAGATGAGAAGATCGACGAGTTCTATCGAAAGAACACACTCATCAAACAGCAAGTGTTCAGCACTATAACTGATCGCCTTTTGCTGCGCATTCAAAAGCTCGATAGCGTGTCCAGCATCTGGGATGAAATCTGTCAGATTCACAAGGGTAAGACCGAATTGGTTCAAATCGACCTACGGTGCCGCATGCAGGATATGAGGTGTGACGAGAGTGCTGATGTCAAAGCTGCACTTCTTGGAACTGTTAAGGCTTCGTGAGTCGCTGGCGGGGATGGGATCACTCATAGAGGACCGAGATTTTCATGCGATACTCCTCGACTCGCTTCCTGAGTCGTATCGACCCCTCCTCTCCTCTATAAATGTGACCGCGAAGATAACTGCAGAAAGCACTCACTCCTAATGAGCTCATTACTGTCATCTCAGAGGAGTATGAGCATCAGTATGCTCATGGACCGTCGAGGGTCCAAGAAGGGAGGAAACTCGGCCCTAATGGCCAAGTCTGGTGGCGGCAGGGGCCGCAAACCAGGTGCAACACCCCAAGCAAACACGGACATTACGTGCTTCAATTGTGACAGGAAAGGTCACTATAAGTCCAATTGTTGGCATCCTGGAGGTGGAAAAGAGGGTCAGGGACCGAATCAGTGCCAGAAGAAAGGAGCGTGATCACCCAAGGAAGGAGCTAACACTGTCACCTCAGACCCCAATGCTCAAGACAACTACGCTTTCGCTACCTCGAACTTGGCAGGTATAGCCAAGCAATTGAGTGTTCCCGTCAAACACCGTGGTGCAATTATTGACTCAGGCGCCACATCGCATTTTTGCCCCGACCGCACAAAATTCATCAACTATGTCCCTATAGAACCACAGGACATACATACCACTGATGGATCGACTATTAGTGCTATTGGAAGGGGCGATGTGAAGGTAGACTTACCAAATGGGAAGGGGAGAACAGCAGTTATGCTTAAGGACGCCCTTTTCATGCTGAAGATGGTGTTTACGCTCATCTCAACGAATCAAATCACCACCGCGGGCCTAGCCATCCATTTCGAGGATCGCATGTGCAAAATCCTATCCCCCAGCCCTAAACACAATATAATCGCTACCATCCCTCAAGTGGAAGGACTGTACAGCGTTGCAGCGCGTTCTCAGCATCACGCGCACCTGGCAAAGGGTAAACTTACCGTGCATGAACTGCACAAGGTACTGGGTCATGTTTCTCAGACTGCAGTACTTGACACCATCAAGAAGGGATTAATAGAGGGTGTCGAGCTAGACTCCACCTCCCAGCCTGACTTCTGCGACACTTGTGTTAAGGCAAAGGCGTCACATCAACCATTCCCAAAGGAGACAGAGACTTGAGCGACCAGATATGGGGAGGTCGTCCATACCAACCTGTGGGGTCCCGCGCGCATGAAGAGCATTGGGGGTTGCTCCTACTATATGAGCTTCACTGATGATTACAGTCGTCAGACAATCGTCCATTTTCTCAAGCAGAAGGACGAAGCGCTCACCTCCTACAAGCAGTATGAGGCCTGGCTACTCCATCAGCGCGACAGCACTTGGGTGAAGATGCTGCGCTCTGATAGAGGCAGCGAGTACTTGAGTGGAGAATTCGAGTTGTACCTGCAAAATCAAGGTATTGAGTGACAGCTCACTGTCCATGACTCACCTCAGCAGAACGGTGTGGCTGAATGCCTCAACCGCACTCTGGTTGCCCTTGCTCGAGCAATGCTACTCGCCCATGATCTTCCGACTTTCCTCTGGGCTGAAGCCGTCAATTACGCTACATGGTTGAAAAACCGTTTACCTTCACGCGCGATACCAGGACACACTCCATTCGAACTCATCCATGGGAGACACCCCTCCTTGGAGTATGCCCATGAGTTCAGATCTCCCGTATATGTCTGCGTCACTGATGGAGGGAAGCTTGACATGCGAGCAGAGGAGGCAGTATTTGTCAGAGTCAACGACCAGAGTAAGGGTTATCGTGTCTATTGGCCGGAGAAGAGGAGGGTTTCGGTGGAGAGGAACGTGAGTTTCGTACCCCAGACTGTAAGTGTCGAGTCGGATGTACCGAACGAGGGGGAGTTGCAGCCATCGCCGCAGCCATCAGCCCCACCGACCTCACAGAACAGCATTCAGAACGTACCACCTCTCCAACCCCCTACTACCCCAACCAGACCGCAGCAGCAAGCTATAACACCGCCAGCCCCTCGAGTAACGCGTATGAGACCGCCGCTGGGATACTATATGGCACTTAACGAGGGAGAGAGAGCGAACCTTGCAGCAGAGTCCATCTTTGAGGCTACAGAGTCAGATTTTGTCAACGAAGATGCGGTAACTCACTGGCAGGAGTTTGCTCTAGCAGCCACAGAAGCGGAACCAACCCTGAGGCAGGCGTTGAATGGTCCAGACGTGGTAGAATGGCAGGAAGCAATAGACTATGAAATAAGTCAACTCGAGAAGCTGGGAACGTGGGAAGTCGCTGACAAACCTGTCAAATGCTAACATCATCCCATGCCACTTTGTACTAGCTACTAAGCGAGGCCCTGATGGCCAGAAGCTAAAGATACATGCTAGGCTCGTCGCGAACGGCCAGCGCCAGCAGTATGGCCATGACTACTTCGAGACTTTCACACCAACATCCAATATGTCTACCATAAGGACCGTCCTCACCATGGCTGCTCAGCAAGACTGGGAGATTCACCAAGTAGACATCAAGAGCACCTACCTTTATGTGGAAATCAAGGAGACCATCTATATGAGGGCGCCACCTGGATACTTGAAGAGGGGAGAGGAGGACAAGGTGCTGAGACTGCTGAGGAGCTTGCCCGGGTTAAAGCAAGCTGGTTTTGAATGGTCAGAGGAGTTGGCTGGCGCGTTTAGGAAGATGGGATTCTCTAGGTCCCAGGTTGACCAAGCGGTCTATTTCAAACGATTGCGCGACGAGCACACAGTCATCACCGTATCCATGGACAATATGGCCGTGACGTCAAGCAACCTGACGCACATCACGCATTTCAAGGCACAGCTACACAAACTGTTCGAGATTACTGACCTCGGCGAGCTGCACTGGCTCTTAGGCCTGAAGGTAACGCGAGATCGCATTGCGCGCACCATTACCCTATCACAGAACACCTATATTGAAACCATCCTCGAGCACTTTCACCTCAGTGATGCGAAGACCGCACAGACCCCGATGGACGTTGGCGCAGTACTATCAGACTCCCAATCCCCTGCCACTCACACTCAACTTGAAGATATGCGCAATGTACTATACCAGAGGGCCATAGGCTCCCTCATGTATGCAGCTACAAGCACCAGGCCCGATATTGTGTTTGCCGTCGCAACGCTCTCGCAGTTTATGCGAAACCCCGGTAGAGTTCATTGGGAAGCGGCAAAGCATGTCATACAATACCTAAAAGGTACTGCTGACCTTGGACTTACCCTAGGTGCAACAGACGCGGGTTTAGAAGCATATGTTGACACAGATTGGGCTTCCCAGCCGCATTGTCACTCTATGTTGAGATACATCGTGCTGTTGAACGGCGGACCAGTTGTGTGGAGCGCTCGCAAGCAGCCTTTGATAGCCCTTTCGACAGCTGAGGCAGAGTATATCGCTTTAACGATGGTTGCAAGAGAGATATTGTATTTGCAGCTGCTCACCGAAGAGCTGTATGAACCACCCACTCTCCCTACTCCAGTCTACTGCGATAATCAAGCCACGATCGCTCTTGCATCAAACAACAAGTTCCAGTCGCGAACTAAGCATATCGACCTATGTTATCATTTCGTACGTGCTCACGTCAAGAACGGGATGTTCACACTCACCTACTGCCCCACTGACAATAATATCGCCGACATTTTTACCAAAGCCTTACCGCGCCCCAGGATTCAGAAGCTGCGCGGATTAATGAGCCTGGATAGTGCTTGAGGGGGAGTGTTGAAGCCTGAGTCGAAGGCTGAGCAGGAGATGTCAAAGTGAGACATTGCGAGTGCTAACCGATTGAGGAACTTACAACCAAGTGACGTTGGTCACAGAATCTAATAAGTCGTCATTTATTTCCTATGCTACAGTTTATTACTTATCACTATGCTAACTACCTCACCCTTGGCACCACTTGGAAAAGGTACCGAAGGCCTTTCAGGGTAGGTTTCATTGTAGGTAGTAACCTGCCTGAAAGCCCACCTCCACAGGGAGGCCTCCCCTTAGATCCTGTTCAGGACCGTGGTGTGTTTTATAGAACCTCCAGCAAGGAGGAGTGAGGAGGAGCGAGGGGTTCATTTCATCAGTGATCCAGGTACATATCTTGGTTCCGTCGTTGAGTTTTTGTTGCTTCTTGAGGTTGTTATGGTCTTCTCCTCGCAGCTCGTGTTCATGTAGCACATTCACTAGAAGATAATGACATGGACTATGTCAGCAAACAGTGTCAAAAGTCTGTCGCACACCATGTGATTTTGACGATGGTAGTCCTGATGCGGTCAGTGGGATTAAAGCCAGATAGTGAAGGCGTCGAGGGTGATGAGAACGAGGAGGAATAGTGTGGCATCAACTTGCCTGAAACCTCCTTGAGGTGGTAAACAAGGTCATGTGATTCAGACATCGTGTCGCGTCGTGTCAAGACTCCCAAGTGCCTCTCAGTGAATGCTCATATAATGTTTGTGACTAACGAAAAACATATCCTGACATTCCTAACACACCGAAAAGTGCTGCGTGAGGTCAGATCACTACACAACTACATTACTTTCTTGCAACCCCAAAAGTTCATCAACTTCCGCTCCATCCTCGACGTCCTCAACTGTTCCATCATCTTTCGTGGCCATAGCATGCGGGCTAAGGCAGGTGATCTGCAGGACAAGATCACTAGAGTCGTTGGTACTCAGGACTGGTGAGCATTCCCTTGTTCCATTCAACCTCCAGGAGGGTGGGGGGAGTGTTACCTCTATGAAAACACGGGGTCTCCACTGACGAGATGACACGGGATGAGAGTTTGATGGTGAGGTGTCATCCAGACAAGCCAAGCCAAGCCTATCGATCCGTCCATCAGCAAACTCGCGCCTCCCACAAATGATCAGAGGATCTCCTACAGGTGCTTCTCTGATTATGACGGGAACACATGACGCCATAAGATCTTTGCGGGCGTCCAGCGTGGTGACAGATTTGATGGTGAGTGTGTCCTTCTTGAGGGCATCTGCGAGGACGGAGCGCTCATGAACAAAGAGGTCGTGTATGCCCTTGCTCCTTGCCACTGTGGCACATCTCTCACCGGGCATGAGGATATTTTCTGGGTAGTTTTGGAGGATACAGCCGTGACAGGCTAGAATAGTGGGTAGTGTCTTCCAGGGGAAGTTTCTTCCTTGCCCTTCAAGTGTCCCTGTACTAATTTCAGTACTTCTACGCATGATCTGACCATTGCACTTACCAAGAAGTGCTGTCAAGCCTCCAATGATGCAAGGTATACCATTGAGGAGCCTCCATCCGTTGGGAACATGGACTTGTCGCGTCTCTAACCATCTGTCCAACACCTCCCGCGCTGGCAGCCTGTGCTGTGATGCAATGTGTTCGAGAATGTCATCGAGTTTGGCGAAATCCATCAACACAATGGATACTTGTGTGGTTAGAGAGGGAGGAGTCCATCAATTGCAGAAGAACCCGAACATTGATGAGGTGGCAAGAAGCAAGCATTCATCAATAATCAATGAAAAAATAATCACACGGTAAGTACCCAAAAGGTTTCTATTGGTACCGATAAGTGACTTTTCTCTCGCGAACCTCTGAAGCATTTTCGTTCAACTGGACACTTCTGATTTATCAGAATAGGAAAATACAAATATACATATGTAAACTATTATCGAAGGCAGTCACACACTATCAATCAAAGCAAGCATGAGTAAGATATAAACATACGGAAACATTGAGTGCACACGATCAAAAGTAAAGATGACACCAAGAATGTGCATATATACCTGCGCTAAGATTTTCAGCAAGAAGCAAGACAAAAAAGATGTGTGGGATGAATTATGCCAAGAATTAGATGCTGCTGATGTACCGACAATCAATATTGTGGAGGCCCACTCATGTAGCCATCTTCAGAAGGAGCTGGAGATGACGAGTAAGGTAAGTTAAGAGCATTGTCAGCATAGATGGGGTAACGAGACTCTTGACAAAGGGCAGTATCTTGAGGGTACATAGGCCAAGTATCATTGCGATAGCTCCTCGAGTCCTGGTAAGAGGTTTCCGAGGCTCCAGATGGTCCACTGCCTTCATGGTACACTCCAGCTCTGCCTTCACGAGCTCCAGCACGAGCAGTATAAGGTGCGGGAGGATGTGTGTACATCATGTCTTGGCGATATTGTGGCTGGTTGCTGACATGTTGATAGTCTATCTGCTCGTGATGCTGATCATGATGAGCTGCGTTGACACCAGGCACATGATTCATGGTAGGCAGGGGACATTGAGTTGTGGGCTGATAATCTACTGCAGAACCACAAGATGGTGGCAGGGGAAGACTTCTATCACGGAGGTGTTGCTGCCCATTAGGCTGGGAGGTTGCACTGCACTGATCATGGGGCATTAGAAGGAGTGGGTGCAGAGACTGTTGACTCTGAGGGGATGGAGATGAGGGTGCTAGCGAAGGCACTTGCAAATGGTCACTGGCCTGAAATTCCTCCATGAACTCATCCTCCGCCTGCCCCCTCAAAGGTAAGTCCCATCTAGAAGATCTCAGGCCTCTAATTCCTCCTTGCAGTGCATCCTAGGAGGCATTGAGACCTCCTTGCAGCACCTCCTGGGAGGCTTGAAGACTGCCTTGTGGTGCTTTCTGGGAGGTGTTGGAGCCTCCTGGTGTCTGCAGTGGGTGTTTGCCTTCTGAGTACATCATCGTCTGGCATGCGGCTTCAGATGATCCCAGAACGATTTTTTTGGGCTTCGGGAGTCCTACGAAATGATTAGAGCTGCTCCACATAGTTATACCCATATAATACTTACCACATTGAGTGCATGGTTGCAACAAGTCCTCTGGGCCATCATAAAGGCATAAAGACTCGCGTCCTGGAACTGAAGGGAGAGTTATCAGAATGAATATATCATGCGGTGCAAAGGACTTTGCCTACCAGTCGTTTTCTCCTCTTCGGAGTCTGGTTCAGCTGTGACTGAGAGATAGTGCACTTTCTTTGTGGTCTTCTTCTCTTTGGGGGCATCCTGGTCAGTAGCTTTTCCCTTGCCCTTGACGTCTTTTCTCCTGTCATGTGGTAGTTCGATGACTTCAACGTCACTCGATGGAGCATGTCGTTTCTGTGAGTAGGAGCCTCCAGTTCCCTTGACCTTGCGTTTACGAGAGGCAGCAACTTGATCATCATACTCTGACTCAGAGTCTTCAGCCTCAAGGGGGTCCTTGAACTCATCCTCGGCATCCGACTTGGTCTGTGTATTGCTGGACATGTCAATGGGAATGACCTCATGTACTGTTGGTGTGGATTTTTGCTTTCCGCTTGGACCCTTGACGATGTTGAGTGGACATGGAGGAGGACAACGGAGCTCAACAAACGGAACAAGCTTCTGCTTGTGAGGTGGTGGAGTTGGAGACTTTTCATCAATGAGGATGGGGGATGCATGACGGCAGGAAGCTGCTTCTTTGCGCGTTGAGGGCTTTCGCTTCTTGATCCCCATGTTCACTGCACTTGGATCAAGATGAGGAATTCCCTCGCAATCAATTGTGCCATCTACAAGCATACATTGGCCATAATTGTGCATAGAGTCTGGTGGAGGGGCTTTGCCAAACACAATGGGAGATGTCTTATCTACAGAAAAATTAGCCATGCAAGCTAGAAATAAATAATATATACGAACTCAAGGCTCCATCCTTTTGTTTTTCGATGGTCAAGCGGCCCGATCGTAATGCATCTGCAAGCACTACCTGCTCCCGTTTGTCGAGGTTGCTGACACCCTTGGGTCGTGCTACTATGACATGTGGCTCCCCTGGCATCAATGTGTCTTCAGGATAACCTTTCATAACATAGCGGTGGCACGCCAGCTCACTTGGCAGCATTTTCCAGGGGAAAGTGCCTGACCAAAACTTCCCGCCAAGGTTGGCTTCAAACACGTAAGTAATGGGAGGGTGAGCAAGGGATAAACAAACTTACTAAACAGCAACATTATTCCTGCTTTGATGCATTGGATGTTGTCCAGCGTCTGCCAGTCAACACCCTCAGGAACCTCCTGTAGTTCTGTGTTGTCTTGTGTTGTCTCTGGGGCATGCACACGCCTAGACAAGGACATCCGTGTTTGTGAAGGCTTCACTTCACTTGACGAGGCTTTGCCATATGTATCCTCAACAACAGTGAGGGATGCCAGGTGACTAGCAAAATTTTATTAGAACATCAGTCAGCATTCAACAGAAAAGATTGACTTACTATACATGTGATTTAAAATGGCCGATCATTGTGTCGTCATTGGCACGACAACGTGTCGCCCAAAACTAAAGAAGTGAGCAAGAACATTAGTCTACGACATGAAGATCCGCAGATCTACTTACCTCTTCTGCACCGGGGGTCGTGTGTATGTAACCGATTGATGCATCTTGATTTACCACCTTACCACACATGAGTAGTGCTGCCTCGAAACCATGCCTTGCAGTAGCGGAATCCAACTAGAGATTTTATCAGCACAAGGAAGATTGCATGACGCAAAACATACCAAGTTGGTAACTTTCTTTGATAACTTCGCAAATTCTTGTGACCACTGTGCTACAGTCAGAGGCAGCCCTAAAGAGGTCTGCACCTCCTCAAATGTTTCAAAAATGTTTTGCCACCTCTCAGGATACGCATCCTGGAAGAGTTTGTAACATTCTCGTTGGACTGTAGATGTAACTATGACAAGCGTGAATAAGATTTGATGGAGTTGACAAGATAAAGACTTACTGATCACGTTACTGTCCCTGCCAGATCGTTTAAGCTCTTGCAGGCGGTTCAATTTGAAGCATTGACCATAGATATTCCAGTGGTTTATCGCATTTTGGATCCGACCACAAGACTTCAAAAACAGATTCAGAACTTGCTGGGTAGGAATGCCAGTCATGGAGACAAGATCATTGATGGCGCCATCAATTAATTCAAACTGCTTCTCCATGGCGGCGTTCGTCTTGTCTGACCTCCGGCCAACAAGAGCAGTGCCTGAAGACTCTCCCTCGCCATCCATTGTGCGGTCTATCATTGGGGCAGCATTGGCAGGAGTGGGAGGGATGATGCAAGTGATAGGAACATTGAGGCCAGGTGGCATTGGGACATGGAAAGATGGTGGATAGCTGATGTGCAGTGCTGAATGAGAATGATCAACCGGCTGCATGGTGTCGAATGAGCCAGAGTCCCATGGTGAGTCAAGTGACGAGAAGTTGTATTGATCGTGAATGATCGGATGAAGCGCCCCATTGTGGATGGGCGGGTGTTGAGTGCTGATCTGCATTAGAGCCTCTTGCTGTCCCTCCATAGTGGCGAGGGGTGGCTGTGGAGGAATAATATGGTCAGGTGCCTCAGGCGTGAAGTGCGGCTCCTGAGGTCCCATTGGTTGTCTCTCGCACGATACACTTCTTCTAAAATTTTCGGAATTGCCATGAGGAGGTGCCCCAAGTGACTGCAGGGCCACCTGGCCTCGGGTCAGACCTTTGGAATATCACCAATCTGATTATCAACTGATTGTCCTTGGGCACCGACTGAGAAGGTATCCTGATACGAGTCCAGCACAGACCCAGATGGTAATGTAGAACAGGATGCCTGGGTCTCAGCTTCACTGTGCCCATCAGCTGGAACTAGCTGGGCCATATGATCTTGTGCACTTCTCCAAACAAGACCAGAGTTGCGTATTGTGGGCTTGATATGCATTCGCAGTTTTGTAGGAGTCTGTATCACAGGGGGCGATTTTTAACGACCTCCCCCAAATTGCTCAGGGAGATGATTGAGAGAGGGTGCTACAGCTGAGGAATGCGGAAAATCCATCAATGGACCGGAACCCAGAGAGTAATAATTTTGAGTCATTGCTATGAATAAAAATGTGTCAGATAAATTAGTTTAGGGATGGTCATAGACTCACTTTGTAGAAGCCACAAATGTATCTGAGGACACGATGGGCCAAGACAGCACGAAAGCTATAAGCAATGTATCTTGATGTGAATGAATGAAAGAGTCTTACTTGCAATTTTTTGAGGTCTGCTAGCTGCTGAATCGCTCGTCAAGATGCAGTACAACTGAGGAAACCTGGATGTGTGCACCTTTGGCCAGGAAGGTCCAGTGACTGAGCAGGTTTTTTTGAGTGTGAGGATGACACTACTGAGGGCAAAGGTGGGAGGAAACAGGTGCACAGAATCACCTGCGACACTTTCATATGTTGGGAAGAGCACCATGATGCTCATATTGCATTGGGATCCGCTAACAGAAAATTAGTGTAGAAGTTGAAATAGTGATGGTTGTGAACCTGTGCCATGACAAGACACCACTCTCCTCCAGAGAGGAGCGAGAGGACATTGAATTAAATACCTACAGAGGGACGGGAGAGGATCAAGAGGATATTGGCACTATACGAGGTCAATGTTGCACCCGAGGCACTGCAGCAGCACGTTCTGGTTTCTGTAACCGAGTTTGATTAGCCAATTACCTATCATATAACAATGTTCACACACAAAAAACATATCCCAACAGCTATAGTCTACGCACCAACTCTTATGATGCACATAGTCAAATGCTAAGAAATGTGCCGGTTCTGATCATATCAATAAGTATGATATCTTCCAATAGGATCTGTTAGAATTAACTCACACTGAGATGTTCGCACTGGCACTAGCTTCTAATGAGTTGAGTTGAATCCTTCTCTCTGTACATATGGGTCGGAAAGCAAAATACCTCACACTCGCTGATAAAACTGCTGCGACACGTCAACACGTAACAAAGTATGCTCGATCTGAAAGGTGCACAGACCTCCTTTTTTAAATTCATGTTCTCTAAGTGCTGATACTACATGTACAGAGGTAAAAACACTTGTTGCAGTGGTCTGCCCATCTACAAGTATCTGTATCTCAATAACTACTTTACTCAGGGAAGGCCCAGGGTTCCACCATCTGAATGCGTCCTTCATCAATTGCAATCCTGACATTTTCCTCCCCAATTGCAATAGAATCAACACCATGGTAAACAGCACCAGTGACACCCAGAACGCAGTTAAGTACATTTTCCCTAGTGTAAAAATGATCAAATACGACAAGCGCCTGGAATGAATCTGCGCTCACCAGCCTGCCACTACACCGATGTGAGCCCCGCAGGTGACATAGAAGATGCTTTGAGAGGGTTTGACTTGTACTGGAATATTATAACAGTTTAGCGAGAAGGATACATTTGTTGATTGACTCACCTGGAATGTTATAGAAAACAGCCTTGTAGACATGAAGGACAGACTCGTCCGCCATCGATCTCACAGCATTCTCAAATTCTCAATGGTTCTGATTAATGATGGTGAGCTCTGGGCTTGCTGTGGAGAGTGCACGATTGACAAAGATGACTGGAGGTGAAGATGAGGTGAAGACATGCTCGATGTAAAATGGTACTGGTCGTCGACGACATGGTTTGCTGGGGGGAAAAATTGTGACCATTAGTGGAGTACGCTCAAAAGTTGAAAAGGCTCATCTTGGAAGATACCTATGATCGCATTCAACTTGCCAAAAAGGGTGGCATATGCATAGTGCTTGCTGGACGTTTCTGAAAAACAATTCAGAAGCCCTGTGTTGACCAAAAAGAGTGGAAAGGATTCTTAGAATGTGAGCTCATGTGTGTTCTTATGTAATTCGAAATACTTCGGGAGTCCCGAGTTGGACGGTAGGAAGTTTGGAATGTGCGCAATGTGTACTATCCGTCTGCTTGCGCTCCAGGTACGATACCCACTATCATCATACGGTACACTTTCGCACAGGTCACAGAAGTCAAATGCGAACTTACGATGCTTTGGTATGAGTCTAACGTTACACTACCTCTCGCCGTTGACTGCAGTGAGAAGCTCGAGGAATATCTCTGTCATTTCTGCAGCAATCATCCAAGCGCTGTATGCGACTCATTTTCTTTTTACATGCATATTATGGGGTCTAATAGTGCACAGGTAACAAATCACATGCAGATACTGTCAGTGTACTGGTAATATATCTCCCCCTTTTCATATGCCTCCTCCAATGCATCCATATCAATCCTAACCCACACAATGATATCTTGTAATGAGACCCTGACCTCTCGCACGCGTGTGAGTACTGCAGTTCCAACCTTGTGCACCTCTTGTTCTAAGTCCTCAATTATATCAAGCGCTGCAAGGATATCTATGAGTGCATTCTGCACTTCAGACTCCTCGCACTTGATCAACACGCAACATAGACCTTCTACAAACTCGTGGGATGAGTGACCGATGACTGCGAATAGTTTTTGGTCTATAGATTTCGTATTTCTAGAGATAAATTTTATGAGTAGAGTTGTAGTGGCTAGCCATTATGATGATATACCAATTTTTATAGGCCTGTCTATACTTGCGAGCAGCTTTCACCTTTTCTTCAGGTGAGTTGTATAATCGAGGTTGGGCCATAGTGGGTGTTGCAAGGGAGATTTACACACTAGTTGGTGCATGAGGGAGATTTACAGACTCATTGGTGCGCCAGGAGATTTACACACAGGTGCTTCTATCTTTGTTATCCAGAATGCGATATACTACTGTCAAGCATGTACAGATCTCTTTGTGAAGACTCCTTGGTGATTCACAACAGATTCTTCTCCGCTGTTGCCGCTAATCCCCACTTTGATCCCACGGCCTTGGACACTGCAGGGAGGGCAATCCCATGACAAGACGCTGCTCTCCTCCAGAGAGGAGCAAGAGGACATTGAATACCTACCCACCGCAGAGGGATGGGAGAGGATCAAGAGGATATTGGCACTATACGAGGTTTAATGAAGTGCACATGATGATCACAGGATTGAATCCATATACATTGGACAGTAGTATTAGCTAGCTAGAGTACTGGAATACAAAGTATGAGTGTTCATAGATAATAACGAAAGACATGCATGTCTTGCTCTCCAAGAGCCGTGCAGTGGCACCCACATAGTGTCGCTGCAATCACAGCAAGCACCCAAACACCACAATCAAAACCATTTGTCTGGACTGCTTTGGTCTGACAATGTATAAGATGAGATGGCCTCCCACACCATCGAGGTTGCAATAATACTTACCATCAGAGGACGTGCAACCCATCCATCCAAGTCCATGTCAACACAAACAGTGTGATTGTGTTGTCGAGCGATGCTCAAAAGATGAGCAATCAGCTTCATCATGTCCTGGGTGAATTGTGTCATGCTAAATATGAATAAGGGGAAGCACACAAACCTTAATATCACTTTTCCAAGGCTTCCGCTCAGCAAAGCTGTCAAATAGATGGAGCTCCTCGCTTCGGAGGTGCACAATGCATAGAACCCAGTGGCCAACATTTGAAGGTCTATGGATGGGAAGGATCCAAACTTCTTTTGCCCAGTAACATGTCCATGACATGTTCCGCCACAAAACATCATCAGGCGTGTTATATTGGATGCGTGGGAGGTCATGGGTGGAAAAGAGAGCATACTGTTTGACCGTGGGCGAAAGCTGCACTACTTCTGAGTAAAGAAGCACCATACATCCATTGATGCAACTGTCGTTGAGCAGCGCAATCGGAGAAGCGAGAAGCACAATATCCTTTGGCTCAAAAATTTGGTGAGGACATCCATGGCGAGGAGCCCATTCTCATGTCTTGATGGTCCCTGGAATGATGATGCCCACCTCTGGTAAAGGTGTTAGATCGAATGTAATGTTCTAGCAATCTAGTGAGCATAGATTATAGTGTGAACAGAAGAAAGAAAAGCCACCTCAGGGGATCGCCAGTGAAGCTCGGCATCTATTGCAATGGTGTCAGTATCATCTTCTTCACCGCCAGCAACTCCTGCAGTCAGGATGTCCACAAGGACGACATCTTCAGGTAGCAAATCATTGTGATCGGTTTCAGAGGGTACTTCAGGCTCTTCGTCCTCGGTAGGTATGATGTACAAGTGAGCAAATCCATTGATCCATTGAAATGGACGCCCTCCAGAGGTTCCCGAGAGCTTTTGAGCCAGGGATACAGCATCCGTTGCACGAGATGCAAATTGCACTGCAGATGCAAGTGAGGTCGTCCAACGGGTTTGAATATATTGAAGATGCTCCAGCCACTGGCGAAGTGGTATAAAGAACATTTTATCTGTAATTCACTGTGAGAGGACAAAAGGACATAGTTGAGGGACACTACTTACTACCAGGTGCCAAAAGGGCAAGCTCTATTGCAGCGAGCTCATCACCAAACCACCTGCAGAGATTGTCCGCCTCCAGCCCAAGACACCGTTGCTCTTCTATACAGTGGCTCAAAAAAGTGTCCGAATGTTTATGCATTTTCAAGTAATTGAACAATAGCAAGGCAGAACCAAACAATGACCAAAGGGTATAGGGACATGTCTAAAAGCCCTATATCATGGCTCAAGTCTGAGATATATAGCGTGTGAACCCGACCATATATGGGCAAGCTATGGTAATTCTAAATATATGACTCATTCGGACACTTTTTTGACTTTTTATTGAAATCACAAAATCAGACCATTCATACATAATACTCTTAATTAAAGCCATGTCATAAGGATAATATGGTCTGATTGCAATATTATTTGAATATATAAACCCACATAAGATCATGAAATTCAACATAATCATCATGAAGCCCATCTCCTCTGCTCACAAGGATAATATCCTTGTTCTCTGTACCTTTGGTTTATCTACTAGGCAAATTGCCTCAAAAACTGGTCTTGGAAAGTCTACTATTACTACAGTCATAAAGCAGCACATGCCAGAGAAGGAAAATCATCAAATGGGATGTCCTCCCAAGCTTACTCCACAGAACAAAAGAGCTATTGTTCACCAAATTCTATCTGGCAAGGCTTCAAATACTACCCAAGCTACCAAGTTCATCAATTCCATCATCACCACTCCTGTCTCCACCCAAACTGTCAGAAACACCCTCAGGGCAGCCAATCTTAAGGCTGTAACTAAGAAGACAAGACCTCCTCTCTGTAGCTCATAGGAAGAGAAGACTGGCCTTTGCTTTAAAGCACCAACATTGGAGTGTGGAAGACTGGAAGAAGGTTATTTGGTCAGATGAAATAAAAATCAATAGAATGGGGTCATATGGCCAGGAATATGTGTGGAAAAAGGCAGGAGAACCATTAGGAGAAAGAGAAGTCAAGGGTACACTGAAGTTTGGAGGAGGAAGTATGATGGTATGGGGTTGTATGGGGTGGAATGGTGTGGAGATTCTTTGTGAAGTGGAAAGATGGATGAATGCAGAGCAGTACATCTCCATTCTAGAGGAGTGTCTACTCAAAAGCATGCAGGAGTCAGGAATTGATGAAGAAGACATTATCTTTCAACAAGATAATGACCCCAAGTACACCTCAAAACTGGCTACAACATGGTTTAAAGACCATGATATCAATGTTTTATCATGGCCAGCACAGTCTCCAGACCTCAATCTCATTAAACATCTCTGTGAATTACTCAAAAGACTACTTGCTGCCTATCAAGATCCTCCACAGGGGCTATTTAAACTATGGGAGAGAGTTGCAGCAGAGTGGACAAAGGTTGCTGAAGAGGAGTATCAAAAATTGATAGAAAGTATGCTTAGAAGGATTGCAGCAGTTATTAAAGCCAAGGGGGGTCGCACCAAGTACTAGAATCATAGAATAGTCTTGGTTAAATACAAAGTCAAAAAAGTGTCCAAATGAGTCATGTATTTAGAATTACCATAGCTTGCCCATATATCGTCGGTTTCCCACGCTATATATCTCAGATTTGAACCATGATATAGGGCCTTCAGACATGTCCCTATACCCTTTGGTCATTGTTTGGTTCTGCCTTGCTATTGTTCAATTACTTGAAAATGCATAAACATCCAGATACTTTTTTGAGCCACTGTATATCTATCTCTCTTCAACATTGCACGAATTCTGTCATGAACATCTTGGTCCTCTAGCCAATGAGGAATATCACCTGTCGAAGGGCTTATCCATACATCCTCCAACAAAGATTGATCGTTGCGTAGATCATTGAGCTTCATTGGAAGTGGCATTGGAAGTGGGATGCCATAGGTTGGGTCATAGAGCTCCTCGAGGTGCTCACAATATGCATTAAACTTACGGAGCGCAGTCAACAAGGCCGGTTGACGCTTCAAGATTGCCTTGCAAGTCTGTTGATGAAGTTTGGTGCCTACCGAAGTTCATTAATGTTGTCAAGTAGAAGTATCACTAATACCACCTACCCATTGCCTGTTGTGCGCCACCCATTGCATGATCCAATTTATCCCATTCAAAGAAACTCCCAATAGCACATTTGCGAATATTGATCTTGATGTCCCGTGCTAAAAGCAGTGTCCAAACAAAGTCAAGGTTCACGCCTTTCAACTCCGGAAACTGATCATGAACGTTGAGCAATGCATATAACACCTCAACCTTGGCCATGAGACGTTGATGACCCCGTTTGAGGTTGTCAAGTGCCTCAAGCGTGTCATTTGCAGCATCAGCTTTGGTCATCGTCTCTCACATTGCCTGCAGTGCCTTTTCCGAGGCATTGTCATGAATTCCTAATATGAACCATTTTTCATTTCTCGGTTTTCCTTTGGCTACTTCCAGTACCTGAACCAGTCACGTGACTCCTCACTCTGTCACACCTTCACCTCTTCACATATCACCCGTGGTTTCTCCGATTGGCTCCCCTACTCCACAGGCTAGAACAATCTCACTTCCCAAAGAAGAACCAGTCGGAACTTGGGTTTCTGTTTAGTTGCCGTCTTACTCATTCGCTTATATATCATGATGTCATACTTAGTCATCCGCAGTATTGTACGACTCTTTTCTCATTGGCTGATTTCTTTCAGACTCCTATTCAATGTTATGTATAAAAGTAGGGTAGTTAGCAGTAAGTACTCCTTAGACTTAACTTCTTTGTTTCCTACTGTTGTAGTGACTTAGACGTTCATGCTCAATACTATCCTGTTCTCATCATCACTCTTGACCGAGTCCTAGTGGTTGTTGTCAGACTTTGCCATTTGGTGAACTCTGGTCATAACAGGCATCTAGATCTGCTTGCAAAGAAAGAACAGTATCTAACTCTCTCTTTAAGCGTGCAGGTGCATCTACAGCAAGAGGTCAGTGATGCTTGGCTCGAGAGGGCTGGGAGGGCTGGGAGGATAGTGGAAGGTACATACAAGCACGAATAGATAACTGGGATTTTCTCTGGGAGGTCCATTCGTTGTGCAGCTCATCAATGGTCACCCCACATTCCTCAAGCACACTCTGTGCCGCTGTGCCTTGCTCCTCGATCCCACATTTAAGCCAGCGCTTGATCCAATCTCCCAAATCAGTGTGCATCTCCAGTCCAATAGCAGCTAGTTGTCAATCAAGTAACCACAGTCAACGCTGATGCTGGGACAGGCTGTCAGAAATTATGTTGGTGTGTCGTCAAAGAACTTACTGAGGAGGAACACTGGATTCCTATCAGCCAAACAAGTCTCGACTACAACCTTTCAGTTCCTTCGCCATCTGACAGGCCCATTCGTGGCCATATGCGTGCATGGCCATCATGGCAAAACGCAAGCGCTTTGTGATAGTTGGCGGTAGGATGTCGTACTAGTAGAATAAATGTGAATCCGAACTCCAAGGCATGAATTGACTCACCTGATCTAATGATCGCGACAAGATGCACCCAACATCATACAGTGTGACAACAGTTGCTCTTGGAGGTAATAGTGAAAAAAGATGATCAATTAAGGCAACCAAATATTTTTGCTGCTCACCAGGAGTGTCGATGTTGGCAAGGAAGAGAGGAATATTGTGACGACATATAAGCGCCATAACTCCGGTGTCATCGAAGCTGTCCATTGAAGACTTCTGCTTCTTGCCGTCGGCAGCTTCATAAGAACTCTCACATTGGTCAATTGCCTCGTGGGGTACTGAGGACTTGTGCTGTCTAGGCGGAGATTTGCAACTTCGGAGGATATGATCACCAATAGCATTGACTTGAGCTTTTGAAAGGAAATACGAGGTATCGTAGAAGTGTGGTGAATCACCAGCTGATCGCCGATGCCAGTGATGGAAATTTCCATCAGTTGCGACATGTATATCACCTCCTTCGCTCAGGTCCCGACCAAATGCTAACCCTCCAAAGCATGCAGGACATCATTGGATAAGGACAGAGGCACAACGCTCGCATGGGATGAGCAGTTCTGATGCAGTGGCCTCAGAGGTTGAAGCGCTCCGAGACCCCGAACATTCAGCCTCTACACAATCCCAACATGCTGATAGGGCACCTTCGAGTCGACATTCAACTTCTACTTGTAGAAGGTCAAACCATTGAATGACTTGACCGAGGCTTCGTTGGAAGGGCTCTTGGATAACCTCGCCCTACAGTATCAAGATGAGTAGTTGATATGCAGCTTAGATAGGTTCCTTACCTTGGTGTTCGTGATGTAAAATCCTCGTCATACATAGTGGGTGTGCAGAGCAGAGGCAAGTGCATTAACAGCATCACAAGAGCATTTGAAAAGGGTTTGATAAAAGGCGAGTAACTCGACAGACACTGCCATGTGAGGCTGTGAGGGAGACGTTGGGAATAAGCCATGAAAAACAAGGACTTGAGCTTGTGTAGCGCATCTACAGCTCAAGACCTCAATGGAAACAAAATCTGACGGCAATTAGATGATTTAATTAAACACGTTGTATACATGAGTACTTACGGTCAAAGAAAAGACAAACAATGGATGAGCGCTTTTGTGCACACATATGGGAGCGACACAAAGATAAGGTCAGGGGTGTTCTTTGGAGAGGTGCTCCCAGTGTCCGTGCAGTGTACTCAAGCAGTACCGTGACAAGAGTGGGAATAAGGGACTTCCAACTGTCATACAAACGAGTAGACGTAAGATCAGGTTGCGTGCGACGGCTCAGTGTGGGTTGTGAACACGGAGGACAGTTGTCGGTAGATTCAGTGACTGGAAGTGCGTTGTTATCTTGAAACACGTCTTCCCAAGCATCAGCAGACCCGGTGTCTGGCTCGAGGGTGACAGTTTCTGCATGTTTCTCTTCTTGGACGGATGAAGTATCCATTAGACTGGCCATCTTAGCAAGTAGCTTGTGCTGTTTGGCCTTCTGGCCTGGCAATTCCACTATCACCTGAGTTTTTTATTTGTCTCTGGGTTTCTGTGGACTGGAAAAGTGGATGCCCAGCCCAGAGGAAGTAGGTTGAGCTGCACGTGTCTCTGCACGTGAAGTCAGTGACATGACAAGGTCTTGCAGCAGGAGAACAGAGCAGGGTAAATAGTATAGAGGGCTTCAGCGATGAAGGTAGAAAGTCACTTGCGCAATCCTATTTCTTAATCAAAGTACATATATAGTACGGGAAAATCCATGTTGACGTAGAGAGGTCCTTGGTGCTCAAGGACAGCACGAGGTATCCAGGCAACCTGGAGCACGCGAGCAACCTGGCAGGAGGGCAACGAGGTAGTAGCGGGAGGGCAACGAGGTATGATATTATTTTTAGAACAGATCCTAAATTACATTGGAGAATCATGGGCCTTTCAGGCTGGTTTCCCATAACATAGAAACCCGGCCTGAAAGCCTACCTTTTGCCTCCGAAAACTGCTGCCTGAGGTGAACTACCTTAAAACTACGAGTTGTCAGACCGAACATCTCAGTCCGTTTCCCGAGACTGAGATGTGAGTCGAAGTTCCCGCTTTACGTTACAACTAGAACTAACAGATACTTAGATATATTCTCTTATCAGGTACTACTATAGTTATTACCGAGTCCGTTTCCCGAGACTGAGATATATATTCTCTTATCAGCTCACCGTTCTCGCTCCCTCTAAGCCTCTCATCGCTAGACTTTGAACCGAACTCGAACGGTCGAGTTCATAAAGGTTCAGGTTCGAACCGTGGTTCTGAACTGGACCCAGCCACCACTAGTCTGTATTGTTGGGAATTCATCTTCCAAGGCGTCTTCAAGTCGGAAGGTTAACATTGAGTACATGCCATCCACCAGACTCCAGAAGGCGCGCTGGCGATGTGGACATGCGCGTTTCACATGACGTGACGATGGCAGCCTGGACTCTGGACTCTGGAGTTCTTTGCCCCTGGAAACTACAGCATGATAGACGCTGGTATGCTGTCCATTTTCTCACCCTCTAGTGGCTTAAAGCAGGCGGAGGCGCGCATTCGATCACTGTAACGCTCTTCCATACGGACTCCGGCGATGTTATCCAATGCCAACCCCAAAGCTATAAGCTCTAAAAAACCAAAGGCAAGAAGGCTCATATCGAGGGATCATGTGTGTATTTACATCTGAAACAACACAATCCAAATGCTAAGCAACCCTCCTCTGAGGCCAAGGAGTCCCAGGACGACTACGTGACTCAACTGCTAGGCATCACTATATCTGCCATCAATGTTACGAAAGACCTTGTTCCTATCGCCCTCGCGAAAGGGATTCTCGGAACGATTGCAAACATCTTCGTTCTTGCGCAGGTACGTTCGCGGAATCCTTGGAAGTTTCATGAAAGGATCCCTAAGTCTGTATAGTCAGTGATTAAGAATAAGTCCGATTTCCTGGCGATAGTCAACAAGTGTGAAACTATCAGGAAAGTCCTGGAAAGGGCAACCAAGGATGCTACCGAAGACGATCTGCGAGGATCCCTTGGGGATGCCTTGTCGGACCTTAACATGTGAGCCAATGCAATTTCACCGTCCCTAGAAACTGATGACCACCGTGTAGATCTGTGAACCGCATCAATAGTGAAATAGCCTCAAAGAAGGAGCAAGGGTTTTGGAGCAGACTCTTCTCTGTCACAATTGATCACGACCGGATTGTTGGATGGGAAAAAGACTTGGATCGCTTCCTCGCACTTTTCAATGTACGTACCTGTAACTTCACCCGAACTTTTCCTCCTGAATCACGTCTCAAGACTGAAGCAATCGCTGGAATCGCGTTCGATATGAAGATTATGAAGAAGATGACATCAGAACTCAAGGGCAAAGCTGCGGATATCAATGTTGTAACGTAAGTTGTCTTTTGGTCGGGCGACGGCATGTCTTTCAAACGCAATCAGGTATTGCCCACCGGTGCCGCCACCACGACCTTCCATGTTTTATGGGCGTCAGGATCTCGTGGCAGAGTTGACAAACCTCGTCGTCAATAATGAGCATATCGCGTTGATCGGTCCGGGAGGCATGGGGAAGAGTTCCCTTGCCAAAGCTATCCTGCACGAGTCACTTATCACAGAGAAATTTACTGATAGGCGCTTCTTCGTGACCTACGATGGCTTGGATCCGTCGACCATCACTTTTGAAACTTTTATGGCTCGTTTTTCGGGAGCCCTTGGCATAGAGTTTGCAGGCGCTGATCCTGTGCGTCAAATATCAACATTTCTTCGTTCCGCCAGTGCCCTCGTTGTCCTTGATAATGCCGAGACTTTCGAGGAGGCCAGCGGATCGTCGGCGCTCGGAGAAATACCACCTGCCATTGCCGAAATTGCAGACATCCCTGGCGTCATTCTGATCGTCACGTCGCGTAGTAGAAGGAATGCACCAAACGTGCTATGGATAACGAAGGATATTCCGCCACTGGACTTGAGCTCCGCTCAGGCAGTGTTCTTTCAGATATATCACCACGCTAGTCGCAGCGATGCCGAGGAAGACATAAAGAACCTGCTCGGGGAATTGGAATTTCACCCCCTTTCCATCAACCTTCTCGCAAATGCCGCGCAGCAAAATGGCTGGTCTCCAGCGACATTGCTGAAGAGATGGGGCAAAAAAGGCAGCAAGGTTCTCGACCCTGGCAAGGGAAAGCTCCAAAGCTTGTCAGACACCATGCAGCTGTCGCTCAGCTCGCCATCGATCCAGGATCTCGGCGAGGATGGTCTTCATGCTCTGACCGTCATTGCTTTCTTGCCCCAGGGTCTCAATGACACCCTGGCTAGCGACTTATTGCCGTCGCTCCTGCAAATTGATCATGTATGTGATGTCCTGTGCAGGCAATCTCTCGTTTACCGTCAAGACAACTTCATGAAGATGCTCGCGCCTGTTCGGCATTATGTGCGAGATTCGTTGCCACCACCAGACCCCACTTGTTTGCAAGAGATATGCGACTTCTATTATAACACTGTCCAACGGTGTTCAAAAGAACAAGATGCTGATGCTGATATCATTATCTCGGATCACCTAAACATTGAGCATGTAATTGCCTTCGACCTCGCCCACATCCCTGAAGTGACTTATCACACTTGCTGGAAATTTTTGTATTGCTTGCAGTGCCATCTTCCCCGCCCAACTACCCTGGCCCCCGCTACTTTCAATATCGTCGAGAACTCCTCCACGTGGACGCTAAAAGCACATTGCCTCCAGTGTCTCGCCTGGCTCTTCGACGTCCTTTTTCAATACACTGAAGTCATAAAGGCCTTGCATGCTGCTCAGGCTCTCTATCTCATCGCCGACGACCACGAGAATGTGGCAATCTGTGTTACCAAATATGCAGACATATACAGATGTCAAGGTCGCTACACTCAATCCCAACAGATCCTACAGGACTTCCAACACTCTGAGTCGTGGGAATATCTCAGCACAACAATGAAAGCCCAAATTTGGTATGTCCTGGATCTCGCCCGGTTATGGGCATTCACAGCATCTGCGGACGAATTATTTTTGAACTCCTTGGAAGATCATACCTGGGGCTTGCCGTCCAAGATTTCGCACCAGGCTGCCAAATTGTATTACGGGGGGGACATCGTCCAGGTCAAGATGCAGTTAGAAGACATTCTCCCGCAGTGCGCAGATAGTAATGACCGCCTGGATGCACTTCGGATTCTTGCAGAAGTTGCATTTTTGGAAGGCAGGTTATCCGACGCCATGGATATCCTACAGACAATTGTAGTGATGTTTGAGGGACACAATCCTGGACAGGTCCTTTGGTACACAGTCTTGAAAGGTGTTGCGGCGAGCAATCAGGGGAATCATGACCTTGCGAGGGAGCTCATTCACAAAGCCTCTGGATCACACGAATCGCTTACCCTGCACAGTGCATTCTCATTTCTCCACAGATCTTATGGCTCTGCATACATCGAGCTCACCGCAGGCGAGCACGACAGGGCCGAGTCGCATTTCACCGCCACAATTGAAGGTTGCAATATACAAGGCGACCCGATGTCCAAGTCAATGAGCACCCGTGGACTGGGCGAGATTGCCTTTGCGCGTGGTGACTTCACTTTAGCTGCAGAACGCTTCGCAGAAACAGAGGCATTGTGCATTGAGATGGGAATTCCTCCCCAAAAATTGTACAACTGTGGCCCATTCTTTGCGCTGCCGGAGAGATTTAATGGATGGACATTATTTTTGGAGGGTCAGTCGCCATTTGCAAACATTATGTGTTGAACATATACTCGATAGCCTGCAGTGCATAGTATTTTGTATGATTACCTAGCAGTTTCATCACGATTACATATCCATGGGCCCACGACCTGTACATAGCTTGTAACGTTACAATTCCGCGTGATCGCAATCCGACACCAGACCTTCAAGTTAGTACTTACCGCAACGAAGGACCGAACGCTTTTTTATCCGATGTTCCTTGTATTTCTCCACCCGCTCTCCATCCCTAGCAATATCCGAGTCTCCAAGACACCACATATCTCATTGTCCTTTCGAAGCCTCTACGCAAAAACCCAGAAAATCACTTCGACGAGGCACACCATTTCCTCGCCCCTGGATTAAATACGGACCAACAACCACACAGCCAGCGGAACAATAGCGCCGTGTATTCTGCCGTCGATTTTCATACCTTCGAACCTTATTGTCTCCCTAAAAAAGACACCACACGAGGGTTTCATTACGGAGTTTACTCGTCTGAAGAACAGGGCCCAGCCAGCGAAGAATGTTCAAGTTTATTTATACCACAATTGTATTGCGATCGTATGTATGTACATGGATGAGTCTAGTCGCTGGACCTTATGATATCGATAACTGATGATAATATACATGCAATTGCAAGAAAAAGTACAAGGCGGCGAAAGAATAAGTATTGCCATTTTCATTGATTCGTAGTTGGCCCAAGAAAGAAGAGGGTACTATATGAATATAAGCAACCGAGCACTTGAAATCAGAACCAGAATATGGTATGATATGACTGAGTGAAGATATAGAGATAGTCATTGATCAATGCGAGCAAGTGTCAGCAATGCGAAAAAGTCATGAGATGGATGGTAGATAGACGCGGAATAGATGATATGTATGGGCGGGTATGCGCGCGTGATAAGAGTGCGTGATTAGAGCGCTTGGGATATCACATGGGTAGATCTTCGAATGATGCAGCGGAGGATGCCGCAGTGACGAGATGATCTGTTGGTAAAAGCGGTGCAAGCGCGGGGAAGTGAGACAACAAAGATTTCGTGGGTGCAGTGATTCGGAAATTATGGGAGCAGCATGTGCATGACCCTAGAGGATGCGCCCCAGAAGAGATGATACAGAACAAAAGGGAACATAACAAGGAACAAAGCGATCCAGTCGGGCAATCTATAGCACAGGAAAGCAAGATTCACAACACAGTTGAAGACGGGAGGGGGGGTTGTTTTTGGATTCGTTGAGCGCAAAGCCCAGAGTAGGCAGCGATTGAGGGGGGCGTTCATTGAAAAGAGGAAACGCTCCATGGGTTCTGGACGTGTTCAATAGGAGAATCATCGGGGATTGCAAATGACGGCTTCCAGCTAGCCGCAACCCGACGGGTCGATGAATGAACGGCACCGGTGGGGGGAACATAGCCAGATTGCGCAGCAACGGGGGTATTCGTCATCTGTGTGAAGATGTGGGTCTGGATGGATTGGGGGGGCGGAGGGGGAGGCTGGCGCACCTGCGGAGCTGGAGCGTCCTGCAGTCCACCCTCAGCCGCGTCAAGGTTGATGTACTGCAATAGATCCCGAGTGAATAAACTCGGCTGGCGCTGTTGTGCTGCTGTGTAAGCCTGTAGCTCAGGGTTACTGGGCGGTTGGAACAACGATGCCAAATCGTTGTACGAGGTGGTGCTTCTGTCAATGACAATGTCTAAGGGATCCATGGTGTCGGGGTAGTTTTCCTGGATTGCAGACCCAAGTGCCGCATTGACGTCGAAATTGCCGTAAAACTGTGCTAGATCCAGCGACTGTTGATCAGGTTGCTGAGCCATATCAATTTCGAGCTCGCCCTGGGGATGAGCAATGAGGTCTGCAGGGTTGATGTTGTCTAGGTTGAACACGCCGTTCTGGCCCGTAGATGACAACATTGCCTGGAGCCCTTCAACGGTGAGATCATCCATTGCACTCAATGGTATGTCAAGATCCAATAATTCCTGAGTGGCGTATGGATAAATTAGTGACGGCGAAAATAATGACGACAAGTGGCGTACCTGTTGACTGAAGTCAAACGGCTCCTGTAATGAGCCAAAGTCATTCCATTCGGGAGCTGGCTGTTGCGCTGCTCCTGAGCCAGACGCTTGTGGGAGAATGTAGTCTTGCGGAGGGTGCCATTGAGCTTGGGCAGCCTGGTATTGCTGGGCAAGCATGGGCTGCGCGTTTTGCGGAGGTTGGGGGTATGACTGGAGGAATGGGGGTGGCAAGACAAAACCACTAGGAGGCTGCTGTGATTGCGCATCTGGAATGGGAGTGGCACGTGTGGAAGGAACTGCTTCCTGTTGCAGGAGGATCTCATCAGAAGATGGAGATTCAGATTCAGACGTGTCATTTGGTGACGACGCAGCGGACAACGGTGGCGATGGACCCGCGAATCCATACCGAACTTCTGGGTTCCATGGCATGTATGCGGTAGGAGGCATGTGCATAGGGACTGGGATTCCACCAGGGAGGTGGTAGGGTGGGGGGGCGTAGGCCACGGGAGGCATTGGTGGAGGGGGCACCTGGGAAGGACCGGCAACCGCGTTAGTGCGAGAGCGACCTTTCTCTTTCTTCTGGGCGCGAGCGCGTTCCTTCTCCTGTCGCTTCGCTTCCTTGATGCGTTCCTTCTCCTCTTTCTTCATCGGCTGAAAGCGATAACTAGGGTATTGTACCTGATGGTCGACCTTCTTCCCATCTGCAAGACGCTCGTACTCGAGCTTCACCTCACGTTTCTCATTTCGCCACATTTCCGCAACGAGCTTTGAGACATCTGCTTGTGCTCTGCGCTGCCCTTCAGGTTGGTTTTGGGCTAGGAACTTGACCTTATCAGAGCGATACAAGATCCAGGCATTGGGTGGGCGAGGTGGCTTAACGTTTGCGCGAGATTTTGCTGTGGTTGATGATCTGACTGGGCCCGTCATTGCGTATAACGGTGACCAGGGGTCAAGAGCGTAGTATAAAGCGTATAGTTTGAGATTTCGGGGATGAAAGTTCCTCAAGGAATGGATGTTGTGGTTAAGAGGAAAAGGAGGAGGAAGGTCGCGTCTTAGATGAAGGGCGGGAAAATGAGTGGATCCCATTTTAGTTGGTCCTTGTGGGTCCACACTGTTGTGGATTTGTTTGCTCTGTGGACCGTGTCAGCACAGCTTTTGAATCTACCAAGGTCTTTCCACCACCAAAGCATCGCATTTTACAAGAGCAATTGAGGTCCACTTACCATGTCGGCCATCGCTTGGGCGTTCATCAAGACAAAGCAAGCTCGGGGGTCGGCCGCTTCTTTGACAGCTGCCATAGATCAAAGCTTTCTACAAGGCAAAACCACTCGAATGTACCGAGCCCCGGTTTCAGATGACTTGCTTCAACACTGGGTTGTAAAAAAAGCAAAGAGCAGAAGACCGGCGGAAATGTCTTAAAGGCCACTAGCGTTGCCCAGGCTCGGGGTGGCACCGGGCGGCGATGATCCAGGGACCAACCCTTGGTACGGGAAACGAATTATAATTTCTTTCCATTACGAGTTGGTGCGCTTTGAGAGACGACGCGTTTTTATATGTTCTTTGCTCGTTCATGGACTACACTGAGAAGGTTGTGTCACAACGAGAGTCTTAATACTGTGTAGGTTCGTTCTTTTCAGAATCAAACCTACAGACTTGGGCCTCGAGGTTGTTGATCTACTCAACGTCAACGCTAGTATGTACTACTTAGTGCTGATCATTGCGTTACAGACGATATTCCATCCAACTTCAAGTTTTGCTTCGTAAATCGAAAACAATCTCGAGGACATGTAATTTGATACAAATTTCGACCAAGTATTTAAGTTGCGTTATGATCAACAAGATACTGTAATGCATGCGGAAATATCGTAGCTTGACGCGAGGGAACACGACCTTTGGACATCATACAGAATTGCGAGACCGACCATCTTTGAAACCGTAACCGCTCAGTAGCCGCCGCCGCCGTATCCGCCGCCACCCTGGTAGCCGCCGCCGCCGCCCTGGTAGCCGCCGCCGCCATAGCCGCCTTGACCACCGCCGCCGTAGCCGCCTCCACCGCCGCCGTAACCACCTCCACCACCGCCGTAACCGCCGCCGCCGCTTCCACCACTTGGTCTAGCGTTGGCCAGGTTAACCCTGAGCCGGCGACCGTCCAGCTCCTGTTCGTTCATTCCATTGATGGCTCCATCTGCCTCTTCGCCGGCACCGAAGGTAACGAAACCAAAACCACGAGAGCGACCGGTTTCACGGTCCTTCATGACGATGGCCTAAGTAAAGCGCAAACGTGCAAGGAACATAATAAAATCGATCAGATAAAGAAAACAAAGCCGGCGATCTGCCATCATCGATGTCTATATCTGACCACGATGGGAGATCGCCTATCAAATAGATCGCGCACATCGAGGACATTGCCAAATTCCGAGAATGCCTGTATGATGGATATCAGTCACTCGATCAGACTCTTAGTATAGGACAACTGACGTGTCTTAACGACTCATCTGTTGTGTTCCAACTCAGATTCCTGATCGATATGCCGGACATCAGTAAAATTGCTCCTAAACAAGATCGACGCAGTATTAACGTACCCAACATAAACTTTTGCCGACATGATGCTGAGCGATGACGGGTAATACCCTTCCTGAACTATTCAGAGAGAAGGGGTTGATATCGAAGACGGAATGGGCGATGGACTTTATACGGGGGCGCTCTGATTTTCAGACTCCCCTAGCTGCTTTGGGACATGTCAACGTGACTTTTGAGTTTGAGCGCCGAACTTCGCAATTGGAGTTGCCCGAATTCTCTTTGCACCTCCCGGAACTTCCGTGGTCATTTGACAAAACTTACATGCGGTGGCGCCACCGTCATTACGCTTTACAGCGAGTTGATGTATATCCATCATAGATATACGTGGCGCTCATGAAAGATAGGTCTCAACGGGGATCGTTGCTGACGAGCGAAGTGATTTATTTATCTCAGAAGATGCGGATATCACAGCAGATTGAGATACATTCATAGCAAGATGCATGGTTTCTTATCTGATGAGTATCAGATCTGCGACCTTCTTCCGAAGTTAACACCCTACCTTTCCCTTTTCGATTGGTTCTGCCTAGGTGCTCTTTCAATTAATTTCGACAAACCTCTGATAAGACCGGCTCTTCTCTTTATCGACCGCTCGTGCTTCGAATTGAACTAGCAGAACCCTAACTTCGAGTCGCGTGGCTTGCAGTCAGGTGGGTGCGGTACCCCCGATTTTCACTACCAAACCAGGTTGGTCTCCAGGTGATATCTATAGAATTGATCCCCCAGATCACAAGTTGTATGTGTCATTTATAGTGTCATCTCGAGCTTCCGAATACTGAAGCAAGAAGCATCACGATTGCCTCGCGAACACTATGTTATTACAGCAAACCTAAATGCGCCACGTCGGGTATGACTCGTGCTAGCCTATCCTTGGTAAATATCGCTTGTGTGTTGTCTCTGCATCGAACGTCATCCATCTACTCATGAGACTGGTGGTGCATTCTTCTGGCTTTCTCATCACCAACTTCCACCACCTCCACCGCCGTTGTATCCGCCGCCGCCGCCATACCCGCCTCCGCCTCCACCTCTGCCGCCATACCCGCCTCCACCACCACCTCTGTATCCGCCTCCACCCCCGCCGTAACCGCCGCCGCCTCCACCACTGGGTCTAGCATTTGCCAGGTTAACCTTGATCCGGCGACCGTCCAGCTCCTGTTCGTGCAGTCCAGCGATGGCTGCATCTGCCTCTTCGGCGCTGCTGAAGGTGACGAAACCGAAACCACGAGAGCGATCGGTTTCACGGTCCTTCATCACGATGGACTAAGTGAAGCGCAAACGTGCAAGGAGCAGGAGCGCATATAATAAAATCAATCAGACAAAGAAAGAAGCGGCGATCTGCCATCGATGATAACGATGGAAGATCGCCTCAAATAGATCGCGTACATCTGTGACACTGCCAAATTCCGAGAACGCCTGTAAGATGGATGACAGTCTCAGACACTTAATCGGATTACTGATGAAGGATAACTGACCGCATGCAAGGAGTCGTCTGTCGTGTTCCAACTCAGACCGCTGATCGATATGCCGACTCATCAGTCGAGTCGCTCCTACAAGATCAAAGCAGCATCAACGTACCCAACATAAAGTTTTGTTGCCATGATGATGTGCGATGACAAGTAATACCCTTCCTGAACTATCAGAGCTTGGAGAGAAGGGGTTGGTACCGAAAAGGCATGCGCGATGGATTTTATACTGGGGAGCTCAGATTTTCAGACTCCCCTAGCTAGGTTCTAGCTGCTTTTGGACACGTCGTGGGTTTTGAGTTTGACTTCGCGTTTGGAGTGGGACTTCTGTGGTACTTGTGTACCTCGTGACGGGACTTGCATGCGCGGATAGATTTACATCATACGTCATTCCGCTTTACGGTGAGTCATGTGTATCCTTGATACTCGTCACTGACGGGTAAAGGGATGTTTGTCGCAGGAGACGCGGGTATAACAGCGAAATGCAGCAAATTGAGATACATTAACATAGCGAATATGCACTGTGGTTTCTGATGAGTACCGGATCTCGACCTTCTTCCAAAGTTAACACCCTAACTTTCCCTTCCGATTTCTTCTTGCCTAGTGTTCTCGATCAATTCCGACAAAACTCTGATAAGACCGTCTCTTCTCTTTATCGACCGCTCGTGCTTCAGAGCTACTAACCAGGTTCGGTTTACAAACTATTATCCCCGGATGATGCAATTGGTTCCCCAGGTCACAAGTTGTATTGTTCGCGTCAATTTATAACGTCATCTCGAGCTTTCTGATGACCTGAAGCAAGAAGCCCATCACGAATGCAGTCGCGAACACTAGATGTTATTACAGTAAACCTAAATTCACTACAACTCGTACTAGCTTGACATTGGTAATGCTCATGAGTGTTGTCTGTGCAGGGAACGTAATCCATATTGCTCCTGAGAGGCTGATGCATTCTTCAGGAGTTCTCCTCACCAACGACCGCCGCCGCCGCCGCCACCGTTGTATCCACCGCCTCCGCCATATCCGCCTCCTCCGCCTCCACCATATCCGCCTCCACCGCGACCGCCTCCTCCACCACCGAAACCACCGCCTCCACCACCGGGTCTCTCGTTGGCCAAGTTAACCCTGATCCGGCGACCGTCCAGCTCCTGTTCGTTCAGTCCACTGATGGCTGCTTCTGCTTCATCGGCTGTGCTGAAGGTGACGAAAGCGAAACCACGAGAGCGACCAGTTTCACGGTCCTTCATCACGATGGACTAAGTGAAGCAACGTTAAGATTGACGTGCAAGGAGCAGGAGTGCATATAGTAAAATCAGTCAGATAAAGAAAAAGAAAAAGCGGCGATCTGCCATCGTCGATGGGAGATCGCCTCAAATAGATCGCGTACATCGGTAATATTGCCAAATTCCGAGAATGCCTGATGATGTGGATGTCAGTCTCAGACACTTGATCGGACTATTGATGCAGGACTGACCGCATGCAAGGAGTCGTCTGTCGTGTTCCAACTCAGACCGCTGATCGACTCATCAGTCAAGTCACTCCTATCAGACAAAATCAACGTAACGTACCCAACATAAACTTTTGACATGATGATGTGAGATGACGAGTAATACCCTTCCTGAACTATCAGAGTTTAGAGAGAAGGGGTTGGAACCAAAGACGGAATAGGTGATGGATTTTATACGGGTGTGCTCAGATTTTCAGACTCCCCTAGCTGCTTTGGGGCATGACAACGTGGTTTCTGAGTTTGCACCAAACTTCGCGTTTTGCCAGTGAGTGGAGTGGGTGGCTATTTGACCTTAATACGAAGGAACAATTGGTCTAGCTAGGGGGACTACCATTTGACGAGACTTGCTAGTCTCTCGTAGTCAAACCCAATAGAAAGAAGACAGTCATTCCTTCTAAGAACTGTAGATTATGTACTACAAGCCAGGACGCATCACCTTCGTCGGACACAACGATCATAGCAGATGTGTGAAGACGCACAGGTACGGTTGACGGAGACTCAGATGAAGCCGTCATGCCCGTATCAGTCGAAATACATCATAGTTATCGAGGTGTCCAGCTGGACGTCAGGGTATGCACTCTAGATCTAGGACAATCGAACGGTACAGGTTCCGGCCGCCGATTTGCCGAGCAAATGCACTTGTCGTTACATAGATCGTGGTTGCGCGACAGTACTTATGAATATTGATATATCGTGCAACGAACTGAGTCTCGACGCGATTCAGACGTGTATCATGATGTTTGCTATCTATGGTACACGTGACTTTGATGACGGTAGTAAGTACCAGGGCAGCGCCAGGCCGATACAGATTCACCACGCTTTACTTATAATTACAGTTACAGTGAAATGATGTATATCCCTCACAAACATTTCAGATAACAGCCTAAGGCCTTTCTCTTTCCATTTGTTCTGCCTACGCCCTGCTCTCTCAATTCAATTTCGATAATACTTTGATAAGACCGTGTCTTCTCTTTACCAACTTGCGCCAAGTGCTTCGGATTGAACTAGCTACTGGCAGAACCCTGACTCCGAACTGCATGACTTACTCCTGATTTTCAAGACCAACTACTACCATCACAAATGCAGTCGTGAACACTAGATGTTATTACAGCAAACCTAATTCACTACTACTATGCATGCCTTGGTAATGCTCGTGAGTGTTATCTCCGCTGCGAACGTATTCCATCTACTCCTGAGAGACTGGCGGTGCATTCTTCGGGAGTTTTCATCACCAGCTACCACCACCACCACCACCTCCATATCCGCCTCCGCCATATCCGCCTCCACCACGACCGCCTCCACCACTGGGTCTCTCATTGGCCATGTTAACCTTGACCCGGCGACCGTCCAGGTCCTGTTCGTGCAATCCAGCGATGGCTGCTTCTGCCTCTCCGGGGGAGCTGAAAGTGACGAAAGCGAAACCACGAGAGCGACCGGTTTCACGATCCTTCATTACGATGGACTAAAAGCGCAAACGTGCAAGGAGCAGGAATGCATACAGTAGAATCAATCAGAAAAAGACAAAGAAAAGCGGCGATCTGCCATCGTTGATGTCTATCTTTGACCACGATGGGAGATCGCCTCAAATAGATCGCGTACATCTGTGACATTGCCAAATTCCGAGAACGCCTGTAAGATGGATGTCAGTCTCAGACACTTGATCGGATTACTGATGAAGGACAACTGACCGCATGCAAGGAGTCATCTGTCGTGTTCCAACTCAGATTGCTGATTGATATGCCGATATCAGTAAAGAGACAAGTTCGACGCAACATCAACGTAGCAGAGTCAACGTACCCAACATAAACTTTTGACATGATGATGCGATAACGAGTAACAACCCTTCCTGAACAATCACAGAGAAGAGAGAAGAGGTTGGTACCGAAGACGGAAAGGGTGATGGATTTTATACTGTGCTCAGATTTTCAGACTCCCCTAGCTGCTTTGGGAGTTTGCACCAAACTTCGCGTTTGGAGTCACTGGGCGTGACTCCCATCACACAGCTGATCGTCATTCCGAAGTGGTGTATTCCGATGGCCTCATCAAGTAACCGACCCGAAAATGATAAAGTTTTGCAAAATGCTGGTCTGCTTTGGACAAAAGCTGCCATGTTCTTAAGCTTGTACACTCAGAAATTTATGAATAAAATCTAATTTTTTAATTAAACAAGGGGTATACATATGTAATATAACAAAGGAGAGCAACAAGAAGGCAGAATGTGACAGAGGGATAGCACAAGGTTGTTTGAGGGTGACTCGGCTCAGGAAGGGAGTACAAGAGGGAGGAGGTAAGGACCAGGACCACGAGGAAGGACCCACCACAGATCTGGGCTGGAGAGGTACCATCATGCTCGAGGGCAAAGCAAGGACCACGAGGGAGGGCCAAAGAAGTGCAACAATTCAGCATACTGAGTACTAGTAGCGGTGGTAGCGTTGAGAGGGAAGCAAGTTGAACTTGAACGAAAAAAAAATCAGATGCTGACTTACTTACATAAGCGTCCTGTAAATTGATAAGGCTTGTCGAGATCACAAACGAACGGTGACCATTCGGTCGAGAACTGCTGGTACACTTGCGAAACACATACCTTATCTTTGGATACCAATTTGCTTATCTTATATATCACTTTGTCTTACTTCGTCTTTGCATATAATCCCGTGAATTTTTGATCTAATCTTACCAGTTATAACTAGGAACACCATCTCCTCGGCGATTTTCTGATGCCGCCTATCCTCATACTCGTCACTGACGCGCAAAGGGATATTTATCGTAGGAGATGCGGGTATTACAGCGAAATGCAGCAGATTGAGATATATTCATAGCAAGATGTATGGTTTCTTATCTGATGAGTAGGTACCAGGCTTCTGATCTGTTTTGCCTTGTAGGTGCTCTTTCGATTAAATTGAACAAGAGAAGTTACCGTGACTTCGAGCTGCAATGTGCCAGGTGTACCTCCGATTTTCACGACCAACCAGGTTCGCTCTACGAACTGCCAGGAACTGCCATCTTCAGGTGATGTCACATAAAATCGGTCCCCAGATCACAAGTCGTTTGTGTCATTCATAGCGTCACATATCCTGCCTGATGCTGAAGCAAGAAGCATCACCAATGCCGTCGCAAACACTAGATGTAAGATATTACAGCAAACCTAACTCGACTCATGCTAGCCCATCCTTGGTAATGCTCGTGAGTGCTGTCTCCACCCATCAACCCGTGAAAACCGTTCTTCAGGAAACAGGAACCGTTCTCATCACCCCCAGTACCACGCATGTGTGTGCCTTGGAACCAAACCCGCTCTGCTTATCGACTTCTAGTTGTCTATGCATCCCGAGGCGGGAGTAAAAAGACTGCCCAGATGAGTTGTTATGTGCCACCTCTGCGCATAGAATCACCGTATCAGTCGAATCACTTTCTGAGCGGGACGATGGAGCGGGAGGTGATTCATAGTAAAAGGGGGCTTCGCAGGACGATCGTAGGCGCTGCACGACTTCGTGTACAAGCCTGCGTGCGATTCCTTGTCTTTGGAACTCAGGCGATACGCCAAGCGTTAACAAGGTAATCCGCAGTGCTCCGGTGCTAGTGGGTCGATCCTGAGCTCCACATGAACCAAGTGGCCCTGGCGTCGAATTCCGTGTTTCCCTGGCAGCGGAGACAAATGCTACGACGTTGCCGTTGTATGTGGCTATCCAGACACATTTGTTGAGGATGTACAAGTAGCTGCACGAAGAATGCGGTAGGGTATGCGATTGGGAGTAGTTTAGGTCTTTTGGGATTGGTTAAACGAATTGCCAGTCAGGGGCTCTGGTGTGCAAATGAAAGTGTTTCCTCACATGAAGTGCACGAACTTCTTGCATGTCCGAAGATCTCATCATTCGTATTCCGACTCCGTCCGGCAGCACAAACAAGTCTCCAATATCACCTTGAGTCATAATAGATGGCTACCTGCTGGTACTGTTGGGGGATGTGAACGAAGTTTAAGGGGAAGATGCTTGCAGGTCTAGCACCACCTTTTAAATTTTCAATCCGCTTGCATGGGCGCCGGAGATTGTCGGCATGGAACCTTCAAATATTAAGGGGATAGTGTAATCCGTTCAATGACGTGCGATAACCTAATAGGCTCATCACGAGTTTTCTTCGTGATGCAATTACTTTCCCTGTGCGCTCCGAACACGAACATAGAGCGAGGGACATTGTGCGGGTCCAAAGGAGCTGGTCGATTTCAAAAAAGAGCGCTATAGTGCAGTAGATTACTAAAGTCCGTGGGTCATAGTTCGCATATCAACAAATGGAAACATCCATGACAGAACTCTAAATGCGTCCAGCCATTTGATAGGTAGTCTTGGCTGAAGTGTCGAGATACTTCGTTGGCCAGTAGATGATGTATGTGCAAACACCAATAAATAGTGGTAGGGAGTCGAGGAGGTAAAAGTAGACTTGTCAGAGGAGAGTCAGACCAAGGTGCCTCGAATTTAATATTCCAACACTCACTTTCGTGTGTGACTAGGTAGCCACCGTTGCCTTGAGCAAACTCGACGGTACGATAGATACAGCGAATCTATATTATCAACGTCAGTAGAGATGGACGATGAAGCGTGGGCGAACGGCGTACCATGTACGCTATAGACGAAAACACCAATAACCAAAGGATCTTTCCCCATGGCTCCTGACGGGGCAGAATACCGTCCCGGAGGATACTACGCCATGCATGCACAAAGAGCACTATGAATAACACATAGGAGAGGGTCTGAAGGATTAGCCCGGCAAGTACTATATGTGCGCCCAACTTGTCGCGTGACTCGTCTGTTGATGTTTGCATAGCACCGCCTAGACCCTGTATAACGTCGTGATCAATCTTTCGTACAATGGACACAAAAAATCACCTGTATGAGGAATGTCGTGACATCACTGATAACAAAGTACTTGGCGACTCTCTCTGGATTCATCCAAGAGTAACGTCTGTCCACGCAGTTTACAATGAAACGCCCGTATAAGATGTAATTGAAGGCGAGGTATGCAGCAGGCGGTAACAATATGAAGAGTGATTGGATCATAAAAATTGGGAGAGAATTAGGATATATCGTCATGGGTATGCGCATGAAAAAACCAGCGGACATGACTGTTCCGCAGTTAGCACGCATAGAGAGAGAGAGAATACTGGGAACTTACAGGTGGTGCCTATAGGGAGACAAAGTCCCCACCATGTCTTATTCATAAATAAGCGCGTGAACAGGCAAAGGCTGGCGATAAAGTACAGTCCACCCGCCACACCCGCTGCGACTTTGCTAGGGTTATATTCTGGATAAAACAAATTAGATGCAATGCAAAAGGTGATACTGTGTGGACTGACGGAATACCACAGCGACTATACTTTGGTCCCGAGCATAGACGCTAGCACTGTTGCCGCTCACTATTGCATTTAAATATGAGTTCATCAAATATTGACAGATTACTGACCTGCCCCCGCCGCGCTCATGAGGAAGGCGGCGATCATCAGAATGTTCGGGGACTGCATGTTACGCACGACTAGGGGGGCCTAGGTATGTCCCAAAAGGCTCTGTTCAATGAAAAGTAGGATATCAAGAAGCAACCGTCGAGGGTTATATACCAAATTTAGCCAGTAGTAAATATACCTCCGCAAAGATGCGAAGGTGACTGCGGGTGTCAAGGTACTCGTCCTCATGTCCCCCACCTGTGCAAGATAGTGTGTTAAAGCGGCGCGATAAGGTACAGCGCAGTAAACGCCATTCCAAGGGGCTGGACTTAAGTGACGGAAGGCGACGTAATGCATCTCCCGTCGGAAGATGAACTGAGCCAGTCAACTGATGATGTATGAGTGCCCTTGACCCTTGGAGTACTACAGTCTGATGTGCTCCCCAAGGCGCTGAGATGGCATACACTCGAATCTTGATATGTACACGATTAAAATCGTTGATGCATAGCTAGAACGTTCGATCCTGTGCGGCAGCGCGCACTACTCTTGTTGAGTTCGGTTTGAAGCAGGACCAAAAGTACGTCAGAATGATCAGATCACACATTGCAAATTTCCAATGGAACGCAGGTTACTGCGCATCGCAAGCGCCTGCCCATTTTCCACCTGCTCTTCCAAAAATGTCAAAGATGTCAAGACATCACGGACTTAGCATTTCTGCGATGAGGAACACGACAACCCACATAACCGACGTTTACCGCCATGTCAATGGCACGAGTGATAATTGAAGTTCCTGTTCATGCTGCAACTGGCTTGCCTAATTGGCAAACCTCCTTATCATGTCTTCCAGTGAATTCCTGTGGAAATAGCATAAGTTCCGGAATTTGAAATCTAGATCAGATACTGGTTCTGGCCCCAACCCCTGGATATCCAGATACTTAGTGTCTTCTAAACTACTATGGATGACATACACAGTGGAGTGGCCCAAACCTGACAGTGCGCCTGCGTATTGCTAGCTGGAAGTGGTGAAGGCACTGCGCTACCACAAAGTCCGAGTGTGAGGTGGTGACAGGTGCAAACCATCACCGCTAGTACATTCTAGGACCTCACCTCGGGCTTTTCCGTTCCTAGCGTGTTAAATTCAACTCCGCTTCACTATGTACATCAACCCTATCATCTATGCACCGGATAAATTAGCAAGTAACCACCTGTTCTAGGTCAGTTATATTCACCACTTGAAACAGATTGCTAAATCTGTCGACGGATGTGAAAGTCAGAGATTTGGCCCCTCTCGGGCTATTCAACACTGTAGACTTTTGGGGTAAAGTCTAGGTCCTTCAAGGCCCGCAGCAGGTTCGGGCGGAGTGTAAACGCCGCGCACCGATATGTTTTGCACTAAGTAGTACTGATCATGATGGACTTACTCACTTCCCTGAAGTGGTTGTCAACAAAGATGATTTCCTTCTTCACAGGTGATATATGGCCGCTTCTGATTTGATGTCTCGCGGGAAATTATCTGGCTGCCCTCTCTCCTTCGTGAACTTGATTTTCGCTAACGGTCTGCGACACCTTATGTGCGACAACAACGGGGGATTGTACTATCCGAGGACAACTCTTTTCATGCCCGGAGACACGTCGTGTTGAGGGGCGAACGCCTCGCCGCGTGTATGGTTGTTCCTGTTCTCAGTCTGTTTCATCTGACTGAGGGTACGTCTCGTCTACTTTACCCTACTATATCACTGGACACTGAACTACTATGTAGATAGGTTGACGGTGTCTGTGTACCTAATACAGTCTGTTCCATCTGACTGAGGATGGTTATGCCTCATGCGATGTTCAAACCTTTCATTGAGCAGTGTTTAAACTCAGCCGTCGAAGCCCTAGACTAGCCCAAGACTTTGCCCCAGAAGTCTATCATGGAATAGCCCCAGAGTGACCATTTCTCGGATGATGTTGGACGGATGGCAAATCGCTTTAGGAGGCCGTTTGGACTTCGCGTTTTTCTTGCGAAGCGCTCTCTCCAATTGCTTGCCCCGTAGGTACTACCAGTACTAGTGCCTATGGTTCAAAATTGGTTGCCCAGCGTGTATCTCAACACCCCAATGAAGAAACATCAAGGATACCACAGCGCGAAGCAGGTATCGGTCACTGCTGGACTCGAGCAGCCACTCCCCCGCGCTCCATAGCGATTGAGTTTTTATTGTTCTTCAGTTTCACTAACCAGTCTATCATAGCGCCGGAAGCCGCCCTTAGTGTATGGCATTCAGAATTTTCCCCTTTGTTTCTTTTTTCTTCTGACTTTTTACAGTACGACCTCTGCAACAACCCTTTCTCGCACCCTCGCACTCGCTACCTGCCATTCCATATTATACCCTGCAGTCGCCTCCTCCCGCATCTCATTCGCCTGCCAGCACCCTCTCGTATCAGTTCCCCCCCTCCTATCTTATTAAAAGCCACTTCTGTTACTCACCGCCGCCTGCCGGCATCCTCTTGCATCCCTCTCGCATCCGGGTCATCTTGACTAGCAATTTTTTGTTCCCTCCTCAGGCTTGTTCGTCTTTTCTACTAACAGCCTAATTATGCTCAGCATCCGAAACCCTCCGGTAAGTCCTTGCTTATGTTTTCAGTCTTTTTTATTACTAATTGTACCTGTCGCAGTGTAGTCTACCTTCCTGCAGCCTACTCGGCGCCTCCTGCCCACTTTGGTGACCTCGCAATCGAGCACTCGATGAGGATGAAGACCCGTCACCGAAATGCCGGTCCCTGGTGCAGAGCTCGCGTGACAATACCGTCATATCGACGCTTGTAACTTAGGAAGTACTATATTGTACCTGACCATCGGTTGTCAAGAATGGACTCCGAGACAAGCTACAACGTCTAAAAAGCCGAAGTTTCTCTCAAAGTGCTTTTGAGCAGTTCGCTTTTGGTTTAGTTCAGGTTTGCGTTCGTAAGCACACATTTTTCGTTATGTGTTCAGCATCCCCACCAATCGTATGAGTGCGCTACTGAAGTCGTAAGCGTTCATTTCAGTGGTTTTGCAGATGAAGCTTCGTGCTTTTGTCGTTCTGATGGAAGGAGGAAGCTTATATCAGCTCTCATTAGTAGCCCAAAATGGTAGCCGGTCAAAAACAGTTCCTCCGACTCCTGAGTCGAAATTCACTGAATCTCATCCATGATGAAGTACTTCGAGGTCCTCTGGCTATTACTTCAACTTTGAGTATGAGAACACGCTCAGACACGAGGTCGCGGTCTACTCACTGTGGGTAGTACACTCGCGGAAATTCAGTGAATGGAATCACTGGATTCTCGTAGCGGATGCCTACTTAAATTTAGTGTGTCGCTCACTCAACTCTAGTGATTTCTATATCACTGAAAGGACCAACTTGACATACGTAAATTTCCGCAGAGTCTCCGTCGATTTTCAATTGAATATATCACTAAACATACAGCAAGAACATCACTGAAAAAGATCGAGGCCATCACTGGAAAAGACTGACGCAGTCACTGGAATTGTCCAATTATAATGCAGCATTGAGCTAATACAGTACAGGCAAATGCAAAGAGACATCTAGTGCATAAACAGAGACGCGAAGCAGTACAAGAGTTGCAATCGATAGAAGAACATCGTGCATGAAGAATACCAATGGAAACAATCTTGAATGAGTTGGTGGCAATTTGAGCAGAGACGGTTGAAGAACTGGTTATCGGCGTTGAAGGAATGGCAAGCAGAGACGAAGGACCTGGTGTGTATTGACAGAGAATCCAGTGAGCAGAGACAGAGAACCTAGCAATCAGGGACAGATGAAGAACAGCCGAAGACCTGGTGAAGAGAGATGACCCGATGAAGAGACGACCCGGTGAAGAGAGACGACCCGGTGAAGAGAGACGACCCAGTGAAGAGAGATGACCCGGTGAAGAGACGACCCGGTGAAGAGAGACAAAGAACTTGGTCGGAAGAGATGGTAGGCATGAACAAAAGCTCATCTGCACGACTGAAAAAGACAAATTGTCAGTGAGACGGTGCACATGAAGAAAACTCACCCTTTGCCTGGCTGGTCGTGCGCGTGAACGTTTAGGCCGCAGTACCGGAGTAGCCTGGATGCTCTCGGGCTATGCGAAGCAGTAATTCAAGGTGAAAGTTGGCAGGAAGAAGGTTTAAGAGCGCACCAGTTCAGAGAGCTCCGATTCACTGTCATCTTGATATGCTGCATTGTCATATGATCCAGGAAATTTAGAGGGACCTGCTGTTGGTTGCGATTTGGAAGCGATGGGCTAGTGCGTAACGACGCGAACGTGAGCTAAAATGAACAAGGGGCTGTCAGTATAAGCGCTAGAAAGGACGCACCACTTTGTGCACACGATGCTAGACAACAATCTGAGCACATGACCGAACATATAACATGATACGACACACCTTAGAGGAAATCTTTGCAGCTAATTCGTCGTGCATCCTCTGTTCCTCCTTCGCCTTCTCGATTTCATCATTCATCTCCTTGCGGAAGTGCTCGACCTTCTCAACACGTTTCTCGGCAGCCAAGACGCAGTGTTGGCGTGTGATTTTCTCGATACATGAGTCTTCTTCAGCCATTGGATGCAGAGCAACACCTGAATCAGCACTGGCAATCATCTCTTCATACGCCTCTTCTAGACTGCATCCGAGGTCTTTCGAAATTAAGTGGATAGCGACCCAAGGTATGAGGTAGTATTCAATGTAGGCCTTGAAGTCAAGGGGAGTGAAGGCTTCGTTGGAAGTCTGTTCGTGGTCAAACATGGAAAATATTGCGGACTGGATTATCGCTTTTCCTTTCTCCCCGTAGCTAACAAGATGTCAGTATCAATGTGGATCAAGTCATGTAAATGAGCAAATCACTATCCAGGACGAGCGTGATTTGTAACCATCGTTGGTATGCGATGTCGGCTAGTGATGGCCAGCTTGGAAAACTCTCGATCGGTGGAGTTGCTCTTCAGACCTGTGGAAGAAAGATCTTCAAGAAACATGTCATTAAAAAAACTGTAGCGCCTCGTGTTTTGATCATGAATCATGAGATCCAACTCGGCCTCCATTTGGAGGACTTGATCTGAGATGTTCTCCCATATAATGATTGTTGGCCATCCTCGGGCTTTGGCGCGTTGCATATTGAGCCTTTCTTCACGCGATCGACGAAGTGCCGCGCATATCTCAAGCTCTAGACGTAGACCCTCTGAGGTCAAGCAGCGGTTAGTGGTCTTGAAAGAGTTCCACCGCCGGAGCTGTTTGACCAGCTCAATAGTGGGATCCGCCGGCACAAGATCCTTGCAGCTGTCACTCGGACAGACCAAGGGAAGGTCGGCAAACTCGTAAGCATCATCATCATCATTGACTGGTAGTGACAATCTAATATGATTCAATGAGTTAAATGTCAGCATTGATGATAAATCACTAAACCTTGAGATGCGCAGCAGAGGCTTCTGCTGGTTTGGATTTGGTCTTGGTGCGAGTGTCACGAGGAATAGACACAGGTTTTGCTTTCGGCTTGGCCACGGCGGTTGGTGGAGTTTCCGTTGCAACCTTTGTGGTGTGCGTGCCTGATGATGATATTGGCCTTGGTTTTGGCTTTGCGTCCAGACGGCGAGCAGGAACCTGGGTCATCTTTGATTTTGGAGCTGGCTTTGTGCGAGGAGCGGGCTGTGCACGAGGAACAGACTGTGCATGAGGAGCAGGCTTCATGCGAGGAGCCGGAGCTGGCTTTGCACGAGCAGGAATGGACACCTGCCAGTAGCTTTGAGTATCAGTAGTGTAATCGAAACATCTTGAATGCTCACATGTGTAAACTTGAGCTTTTTTTGAGGTCGCGAGCTCCTCTCCTCATCGGTCTCTGAATCATCTGAATCATGTGCATGTCGGTGTCGTTTTCATCACAATGTTGGAGTTGAAGTAGCCTCATCATCATTAAGCATGTCGTCAAGTTCCCCGTCACTGAGATCTGAGTCATCCATCTGTGCGCATATATGCAATCAACTTCCAGCTTTCTATTCATTGATTAGCATACCTCTGAGTCGTCTAAATCTGCATGCCTGCTTCTTGGTGTACTGGACATGATTGCGAAGATAAGAGGCAATAAAGTCATGAAATGGCCAATTATCGCGGAACTTTGCTAGAAATAGGTGTTTGTGCTGTGCCTGAGCATGGTTAGAGTAGCATATATGCACAGAAAAAACATGAGATACTTACATATGATAAAAGGAGTGTCACCGTGAGTTTGGGCTGTTCTTTGAGAGTCTTCTCAGTATCGAGGTATCAATTCGTATATCGCTGTGCGATCATCTTATCAAAGTGTGAATTATTTTAAAGTGCTGGTCAACACTACTCACTCTAAACGCGTTGTATTTCCGGTTATTGCCAGCCAATCCCATGGCCTGTTGGAGACTGTATCCTCCTTTCAGTTCTGATCGCCCTGCTTGACCCTTGGATTTGTCGATCAGCTTCTTTATATGCCCTGTGGGGCTGAGCCTTCCATGATGATCATTTCCTACCCACACATATGTTACTCCTATCCCTTCCATAACTTCGAAATCTGACTCACGCTGTATATGACGAAGCTCAGTCTCAAGTTGACTGAGATTCTTTGCAACCCTGTCCACCTTTCTGACTGCTTTTCCTTTGTTGTAGGGCATCATTGATAGTGGTGGAAAGGCTTGCAAGTGCTGGTTAGTCGTCTGATATTATTTGTTGATGTCCTTTGTTGACGTGTTATTTGGTAAACACGTGACATATCTGTGAATTCGTGTCTGTGTCTAAGTCTTTCCTGGTGCTGGCTATACATCACAAATCGTGAGCGTTCTCGAAGCCCCCATCGTTGCTCCGAAAGAGATACCAGAGACACCAGAGATGACCGAGACCGTCATGACAACTGTGACAGAGACCGCGAACGCGACCGCGATGCTGACTTGAAACTATTTTTTCATTGCTGTATCTATGTGTCCTCGTCTGAAATATAATCTTTGTTGTACTCATCCACATCTGCAAATGATGCACAGGCAGCATTGATGGTATGATCTATGATACCCCACCTTCTGCGAGTATTAACTCGGCCCACTGTGGCTTTTATATTGCAGTACATTGCTAACAATGATTGGCAGGAATTTCTTATACTCCACAAGGATTTGTGAAGCATCACGTCCATCTGTATCACAGGGTGCAATAACTGCGAGGATGTGGAGGGAATTCTGGTGAGTCCCCCATATGGCCTTGCCATCCAAGTTGCAAAGTATGATCTTCTCAAGGCGACCATAGCCTATGACATTGATGACACGATTTCCTGTGTCATTATATTGAATCTCGTACTACAGATAGTAAGTTTTATGATCAAACAACAACAATATACTTACCCACACGAAGGTGTTATCTCTGTAGGATTCTGTCAGTCGGCGAATTGCAAAGACGGTACGAATTGTGTCCCCTCGGTAGTAAATGCGTGCTTTTCCACATAGTGGCATCACTGTGGGCAGTTGGGCTTGAATTTGATCTTGCCATCTACCAAGGATCTGGTGGAAGTATGTAGCAATGACACCCAACAAGTTGTCATCTCTAGGCCTATACTTGTAGTTGATAGGTGCACAAATGATGAATTCAGGATCTGATGGCCAACATCATTAAACTGTCTGCCATGTTGTCAGTTGATAGATAGACGAGCACGTACATGTATCAAAAACCCTTTCACCCCGTCGCAGTTCACCATCTTGTAGACGTCGAGACGTCACACGAAAGTCTTCGCCAAGGTCATATTTTACTGTCACTTGGGTCAGATAGGCCATATACAACACCCGCCGACTGATATTACTCCAAGGAAATCGGCGCGAATGCAGGTGAGCCTGGAGAAAGCCACAGTAGCACTCCATGTAAAATGTCCAGCTTGTCCATACTGGTCCACAGAAGCGTATCCCACTTGCCACGTGAAGTAGACCATGGATGGGGAGGGTGCATGTTGACAATCGATCCTCCGCATATTGGTAGTAGTACCTGAATCGGAAAGGTATCAATAATAGCACTGCATTTCGAGAGGAGATGACACTTACTCTTCGTATGTTTTGACCCATTGGATTAGTCCCTCGTTGAGTGTGTCAATCTCACCATAAGTAAGCTGGAATTGCAGCATTTTCTTCATCATCCCTGCAAGTTCACACATGTGGTCATAGTACTTCACATCTTCAAATTGATCCTTGAGTATGATTGGGGCCAGGTACATGAACCAAAATCCCCATGCTTCGGCTGTAAAATTTGAACGGTCATGAGCAATATTTCCAAGGGCCTGTACAAAGGCTGCAGGGATGTCCTTGACGGCGCCCGCTGTCTCAGCTCCAATTTCTTCCCAAATGTCATCCGGGATCTCGTAGTTCCCGAAACCAGAATCAAGGCCTTTAAAACGACCAGTCCACAGATTTACGAGGGTAGGCACAACATTCTCCAGAAACAGATGCATCCATTCATATGGAAACGATTTTGAGTAGTCCAATGATTCCACACGTCGTAGTGCAGGGGGGCCACGAATACCAGTCTGCTTGGCAATGGCCGCTTTCTCTGTTCTTGTTGTGGCTGACTGTAATTTGTCGTGTGTCTTAAGGTAGCTCTGGTGTGAGCGAAGAGGCAGATGGCGAGGGTCAAGAGATGGCCGAGGCTGGTGGTCAAGGTCTGGGGTGCTAAGAGGTGTATAGTACACTTTGCCGTGGCCAGTGATATTTCGTACTCCTTGTATCTCACATGAACAACATGGATAGACCGCATTGTGACCCTTGATGTTTAATAGCTTTTCAATAGCAACAATATCACCGTCCTCGAAGATGACGTATGCATGGAGATCAAAATGATTTCGAGTGGATGCATCAAGTGTTCGCACTCCATCAGCGAGAACAGCACACTCGTCATCGAAGGGAGCAAGGAAAGACTCAATATCTTTCGGTTGATGGGGACCTGGAATGACTCCGACGCAGATGAGATTCTCTAGGCGAGTTCGGATCTGCAGAGGGAGGTTGAAATTTTGTAGAAGGATGGGAGTAGCAGATGGGCCCCCACGACGTCTCTTGAAGAGGAGATAGCTATCAGCAGATAGCGCAAGCGCTACGTCATGTGGCTTGTGAAAGTATTTGTGTCTTCGCTTGACACCGTCTACAACAACATGACGGGAGCGAAGTTTGTGGTACCACTCGCCATCGAACACATCCCTGATAAGCCTATCACTCTGTACAAAGTTGTGCTGATAAGCCATTTGCTCAATTATGGTGGGATTATGAAAGAGAGCTTGAAGTCGAGGAATAAGAGGAATGTACATGAATGTGCGTCGAGGATGTCCTGTGTTTGGTATATCGGCCTTCATTGCAAAAGGGGCATCTTTCATCATGAACATATTGTCCCGTATAAGCGATGCAAGATTGTATGCAGCAGTGTATGTTCTGGGGTTCAATTCCAGACAGCAGCACTAAGCGGTGAACTACAACCCATTCAGAATCCAAAGTCATTTTGTGTTGGAAAGCATAACGCATTCTATCATAGGCATAGCGAGGTATGTTCGCAAGCATCTTCAGCTGAAAAGCTCGGATATTGTTGCGGTCCTCTTCCATAATGATGTCATTACCTGCGTCAAACATTTGAGTATCAGGTCAATTGAATAGAAAAACACTCATGGACGTCATAAAAATCGCCATCACCATTTGGGTCTGCCCAAGCATTGAGCTGTTCTGCAATATCCTGGAGTGAAAGGTGCAGATACTCGTCATCATCTGCTTCTTCATCAAAGATGAAGTTTTCAGGAATATTGATTGGTGTTTCTGAGGCATACGAGTGATCAGATGATTCATCACAGTCAATGTCACTACAAGCAGCCTGGCTGCAGCCATCATCGATGCTCATGACATCCTCTGATGACCCAGTGTGGAAGGACCTGCCAGTTGAACTATCGCGATTCACGATTAGGATTATCTTTGGTACAGCATGCCAAACTCACTCGTCATTGGAGCTACCACTCTCTTGCTCCATATATCTGTCTTCGTCATCTTCCTGGTCTGAATCCTCCATACATTCCAGCTCGTTGTTGATGAATTTTCGGTAGTGCTTATTCCGTGCAGACTTTGATAGCCATTTACCACATGATGGTTTGCACCTGCATGTTCCATAGTCATCAGTAGGTGAAGGATTTCTGGATTGTGACATGGCTGGTTGAAGGCACGACAGTCGATGGTGGTGATTGATCAAGGGTGTATGCAGTCTTTAATTATATTATGGTGTGCACTCGAGTCTCGGAAGCACTCGTCGGAAATGCTGAAGATGGAAATCGCAAGACAGGATCAACAATTCAGTTTAGCTTAAATTTAGTGTGTTCGTCATTGATTTTTTTCGCGCTCAATGCCTAAGTCACTGATTTTAAAGGGATCAACACCAAAGTCAATGAAATTTTCAGATATTTTATTCTCACTAAAAAACACTTGAGTGCCATTCCAGTGACAGATCTGATGAAAACTTCCGTAATCAGTGATGAACACGTGTAAATTAATTGATTCTACTGCCCACAGTGTACTGTGGCCATATACAAGTACTTGAACTACTTAATCTCTCCCAGCCTCCAGCAACTGAGTCACATTGCATATGCTTTCAGGTGCTTTCTCTTCCATACCAAGTAAGCACATTGTAGTGGGGGTTGCCGGCGGGACGAGGAGGAGCAAGGCAAGGAGTGCCAGAGGTCTCTGGAGTTCCCAGGGTCTCACTACATACAAACACATAGCGCAGTAAGAGTAGATTCTAGAAGCAAGCAAGCAAGCGGGTCAACGTCCTCATCCTCTCTAGAGCATAGCACCTAAGCAGGGTCCAACGTCTCCAATTGTCCACGACCTGTCCGTCTGTTATCTACGCTTTATAAGAAGAGTCAAGATGTACTAGCATACGAAATAAATCATGTTGAGGGAGTATCGATGCAGGGTATATGTATAGTGTCATACCCATACAGTTTCCGGTCGTGGTCCAAGTAATACATCAGTTATCAATACAATACGAATAAGATATCATCGGTGGATGTCCATAGTTGAAAGAATAGGAGAACAAACGCAGATGCGATACTGGGAGGTTGAGCCTATGTCTGACACTCCTTGGCATGCTTCTTCATGGCGTCGCTGCGAGAATACTCCTTGAGGCAATTCGGGCACTGTGATTTGATGTTGAAGTGTCGACTATATACGTGCCGCCTGATGCCGCCTCTGTGCATCTCCCGACCGCAATCCTTCCAGTTGCACACAATCTTTTTCTTTTCATTTCCTTGTACGTTGTGAGCGTCACTAAGGTGAGCGCCTAGTTTGCGCATGACATCGGAAATGGTTTGACCACATGGCACACCATTTTCAATCCAGTGGCAAACATGAGAGGTTGCTGCAGCAGGGATGATCAGAGTTTACAAGGGCATCTCGAAAAGAAAAACGGACGTCGAGCTTGAGGTGACGTCGTGACTGGTAATTTCGTCGACGGCTGTGATTCTACCGCTTCCAAAGACTGCGGCAATTGGCCCGAGTTGATCCAAACAGGGGATCTATGGCTCCTAGTAACTAGGTCAATCATTTGCGTATTGCACAGTTCGATAAACGAACCAAATATACGCGTGGGTTAAGCTGTCGTCTGCGGGAGGAGGAGGAATTTGCCACGAATCTGGAGGATAGCAAAACTGTCTATTAAATTCTGTCTCTGGGTGGAATAACAAAGCGTTCTCAGGAATGCTGTGGTATCCTGTATGATCAGTCACGTGGGGCTGGTTTCCAGAGTTCCTGAGGTTTCGTAATGAATAACCAGTGCAAGATATTTTGGCGCGGGTAAAGACATACTGCATCATTGCCACAGACACAAGATCTCCCGAGAAGTACTGGTCTAGAACATTAACATCAGGTACAGACTCCCACGCGCTCGAAGGATAATTTGAAGTCTCGGGGACTTGAGCCGGATCAGAGCTGTTGCAGAAGCGACATTAGACCCCTGATCTTAGCATGATACATTGTCAGGTCATACCTTCTAGTTCCGTTGCTTCGGAATATAGAAGGGATTGGGTTAGATGACTGCATGTGGGCAAGCGAGTGCAGTTGGATTGAAGGTGGAGGGGTGTGGGGGGGAGCCTCTGCTAACAGGTCGAATCTTTATACATCTCGCGGTTCCGAGATGGCCCTTTGCCACCCAATCCATGAAACATGGGCCTCGGTAGATCACAGCCTTTAATGGCTGGTAGATGTCCATAGAAGGCAATTGGTTAGGTGGGAAAGTATGTGCACCAATGATAGTAAATGTTAACATAGCGTTCGAGTCATAAAACGAGGCCAAGGGGTTCACTAGTAGGGACGTCAAGAGTCCGAAATAGCAACAGAGAGTTCGCACCATGTACAAGTTATCACACGAGGCAGATATCTTCAGAGCCAAATTCCACATCAAGGCTTGACAATGTTTCTGTATACCTCGTCACGAATCGACGTGTAATACAACAAGTCTGCCGACATGCAACGTTAGTAATACCAAGTACAGCAACTATCATGGTGGTTCACAGAAGAGGAGCTGCGGACACCTAATGGCGTGGGCTCGAAGCTGCGTGCGGCGTTCGGGACAGCTCATTTCAGAATGCTGGTATGGCCGCACACTGGTTACTGGGTGCGGGAGCCCCGGAGGGCGCGGTCATAGTATATGGTTGGCGCAGTCAGTAGGCGAAGGGCACGCCGACGCCTCAACACACAATGACAACACAGTGGATGGGCTCTGAGGACCGACAGAAACTCCGATGTGGGTGCAGGATAGCATTCCCGCCTATTGCTGTAGATAAATGGAAGAACTGGGTCAATGTGTCGGTTCGTACCATCCGATTTAAGATACGAACGTGAGACATGCGTTGGTTCCCCGACGCCACAAATTCAGAGGCGTATGCTATGCGGTATTACATGCACTGCAGGGCAGATGGCCGTCGATATCGTTAGCCTGACCGATCCTCAGTACACGTTCTTGTGTCGACCCGATTCTTCCCGGCCAGCCAAAGAGCCCTTGCCAAGAGCCAAAGACACAGCAGCCAGTTGGGTGTCCATTATATGTGAAGTCGTGGAAGGTTCGAATAGTCTCCCCCTATTTACTACTTAGGCAGAACCAAATTTGTAGAAGAAACTTGGTCGTTAATTATACTATCCCTTCCGGTGCAATCGGCACCCCACAGAAGTCGGCAGGTCACACATTTTGGCGGGAAAATGTGACACTTTTGTTTCAATTGGTCATCACACGAAAAAGCGTGACTGCCGACTTCTGTAGGATGCCGATTGCAACGGAAGGGATAGTACTATGTGGAAATGGATTGACGGGCGAATGCAATGAATGCATGTGATATAAGCGCCACGCGCCACCCGAATTCTCATGATGCCGTCCATCCAACGTTCAGTCAAAGTAGCCTCATGTGGGTCCCATGGATCAGACAATAATATATGGTATGAAGACAACATTAGAATACACTGGATCACAGCCAAGCAGAGACATGGGAGAAAGAGATATGCGATGCTGAGGAACAATGACAGATGCTTTCCTCTACTTTTGCTGAATGAAGTCGCGCCGCCATTTACCCCCTACTTCTTCAGTGTACCAATGACAGCATCGGGTGCATATCTTGGAATGACCTACAGCGCGAATGAGCCGAGAACAAAAAACCACGACATTGTTTCATACCTTGGGGTCGTGGAGCATGTTGAACTCCTCAGTTGCATCGCGACCAGCGTAGAGAATGATAGCTTTCTCGCCTCCTGGGTGATCAGGCAAGAACTGCATCGCGAAAGAATCAGCAAAGAAGTCACACGACCGGAAAGCATGCCACTTACGGATGTGACGTCCAGCACTTGGCCATCAACGATGACCCAGATGTCGTCCTTCTTGTTGTGCTTAGCAACGTCTGCAGTGGTGAACTCCTTCGCTACTGATGGCGACTTGGCGGGAGCACTCGTGGCAGCAGGCTGTATAGGTGCAGACGAAGAAGCGGGCTTCGACTCAAGTTGTCCTGCGAGGGCACCAAGACGTCCGCCTGCCTTCTGCACGATGGCACTAGCCGCCTGGAGGAGATAGGCAGCAGCTGAGTCGCCAGACACACGTCCGAAAACAACACATCCGAGCAGTGACGAACCACCAAGACGGTTGGCACCATGTACACCACCAGCAACCTCGCCAGCAGCGAAGAGACCGGGAATGGGCTTGCCGTCCTTGCCTATGACGCGTGACTCGGTGTCGATTTCCAAACCGCCCATGGTGTAGTGCAACACAGGGGTCATGATTGCGACGTTGAAGTAGTCGTTCATGCTCCACTCTCCTGGCGAGAAGTACTTTTGGAGGTCAACAACAGTACGATATATATTGTTAGAAATGGGCGCTACCTTCTTTCCAAAGGGGTCCTTCTGGGCCTTGACACCGGCGTTGTACGTGTCGAAAGTCTTCTTGAGGTACTCAGGTGTGACGCCCATCTCTTTAGCAAGCGCCTCGCCGGAGTCGAAGCGCTTCATGAGACCACGGCCGACGTAGTGCTTGCAATGCCATTCGATCTGGCTTGAAGCCTGGCCGTTCAAGATCAAGCGAATGGGGTACTAAGAAAGGTCATTGGGTAAATGACAAAAAGAAACAAGCGTATTCTACATACCTTGCCGTTCTCCCACATCTTCCCAGTGACGTAGTCACGATGTTGAAGCTCGTCGACGAAACGGTCACCGTTCTTGTCAAGAAGCAAACCGCCACAACCACGAAGAGCCTCTGCAGCCAAGAACTTCACTTTCGCATCGGGCTCGTTGGGGTCAACAAGGCCCGTCGGGTGCACTTGCACCTTCTCGAGGTCAATCGCACTCGCACCAATGGCCATGGCAATCTTCTGACCATCACCCGTGCAGTGGTCACCATTCGTTGTCGGGAGATCGTAGTACTCGGGACGGTGCTTCTTCAACAGAGAGTCACCGCCAGTGAAGTCGGCAGCGTAACCACCAGTAGCGAGAACGACAGGACCGTATGCAGTCTCTGTCTTGCCATTCCGGACATACTCGACACCCGTAACTGCACCAGATTCGTCTTTGACGAGCTTGGTGACACGGGCTTTCTTGTAAATCTTCACGCGGTCTGGCTGGCTCACTGACAAATCTTCCAGGCGCTCCATTTGTGCGTAAGTAATAACCTATCAATGGAGCAATGCGGAGTTAGTAGAGTTCAACAGGGAAGGGACGGAGAGTATGGTACATACCATACCAGGGAATTGAGCATCTCCTCGGTGTGTACGGGGGAAGCTGTGGCCTCCTAACCGCGAAACCTTTGAGAGGTCAAGGCCGAATACATCCTGCAGCCAGTTGACAGCATCGCCTGAGCGGCCCGTCAACACACGGATGAGGTCGTCGCGAGCAAGGTCACGGGCCTAAAATTTGTCGGTATGAGATCCGGGGCGAAAAGTGGCTACTACACTCACCGATTTCTTCGTGTCCTCGAAGAAGATCTTTGCGTTATCTGGAATACCAGCCTCCTGCTGCGTCTGGGTACCAGCACCGTTAATACCAGAAGTGGCCTTCGTGGAGTTTCCACCCATGAATCTGCAGGAATTCTGTCAGTAACTGTTTCACCTGAAAGTGAATCTTCGTACCCTTGCTTGTCGAGTAGCAATACATTAGCACCGCGCTCAAGAAGGGTGTGAGCTGCAGAGAGACCAGCAAGGCCACCTCCAACGACAATGACCTGAGCCATTAAAATAATTGTTAGGAGTGTGAGGAGACGATGGTGGTGGAGAGAGGGAAGAGTCTTGGGGTAACCGTTGGGCCAGCGCGGCGGGTCAAGTACTTTGGACCGCTAGCCAATCACAATGCGTACAGTTTAAATTAAACGCCGCATGTGATTGTCGCATTATGTCAGCTCCGGGTATTGGATAATTTGGATTTCATGCGCGCAACCGTCGGCCAAATTGCGCGGAACAAGGAACGATAATGGAACGATACCCTCCGTTGTTCCGAGCAACTATTCCCGGTGCAGTCAAACCAACAGTACAGGGGAATCACTTCAAAAATTCTATATACGCTTGATCTGTGGTATAGTACTAACAGTATTCTTGCAAAGGTCTTCGATATCTTCGAAGTACCCCCTCATTTGCTCGACCCCTCTGCCTTGACAAACTGATATAACTCCTTGCAACACCTTTCCACGACATCCGTCATGCTCATTGCTTGGTCCTCCTTATCCGGCTCAATTAAAATAAGCCCTTTCACCTTACTCGTCAGGTCCCCATTCTCAACATCGCCACCCTCGAATATCTCGCTATGTGCGTCCAGGTATGCAGGGAGCACGATCTTCTCCCAGTAGTCAGGGGGGTCTACCCATGCGTCCCCCTCTTCATTAAATTGTGCTCCATGTCAGTAGCCGCACATGTCATGAATATTGTGGACAAAGAACGGAGGCGCGTGGAGTTAAGGGGAAATTAGACACGTCGACGTGGGCACGAACATGTCATTTGGGAAGTGATGGAAGAGGAAGAGAGTCAATAATCATCGGAGCGGAATAGGAACGAGGATAGAGCGGAAAACCTGAAGGACATACTTGATGTGATATAAACCTGCCGCGCTTTCCTCCGCCTTTCTAGCGTCTTGAGTGGAACACGGAGGAAGAAGCGCGCATCTAGTTGCTCTATAAGTTCCTACGACCGAGTCACATCGGTTCCATTGAAGCATCAATACCGATTGACGCACCTGATTCCAATATAACAAAAACCCGTCGACTAAACCCCACACTATATCGATGTTGTCATTCTCCTTGATTTGATCATGCATAACTCTGAAGCGCTCAGCCAGGCGGGATTGACATTCTGCTTCGATAGGCAAATCCGTCTGCTTGTTCAAATGGTCATGACTTTTGTGATCAACTGGTATGCTTCCTGTGTCTTTCATGTGCTTCAAAAACTTGGTCAGTCGTGGGTAGTCGATTGCACCATCTGGAGCGTCCCAGTCCTGATAGCCATGCTTTATGGGTAGCTGTTCCTCAGGCTGCGCAACCGCTCAGCGAAAGATACGATCTGGTTAAATGCCTTGCCTTACTGGAGCAAAATCCTGCCACAAGTAAGCTAAAGCTAGCAATCGTTCAGAGAAATTCACCGACATCCTGGTGCACGATGACACTATTGGGGAGTATATTCTTGAGATGCTTCGCGAGCGTCGTCTTTCCTGAGCAAGTAGCACCACTTATTAACGGGGCAGTCAATTGATAGTTCCTCTACAAATGTGGAGAGTTTGTGACATACCCTAAGCCTACAAGGATAACCTTGGTCTGAAGTTCGGTCATCTAAGCTACAATGCCTGACAACTCAAAGATGGTGGTGGTGGGTGTACAGTGTTGATCAGCTATCAGCGACTCCGCCGGCCGACTCAGCCGACTCAACTTGCTCAGGGTTGTCACTGATCAGGCTATGTCTGATGAACTGAAGGGCGGGAGAAAGATAAGATAAAATCACTCGGGAAATACCGGCCACGCACCTAAAGTCAAGAAGACTTTTTATTTTCACCTTGGTTATGGTCCGCGGAACTGCCGGTACACCATCGTCGAAGACTCAGAGAGAATCATATGCGATATAACAGTATAGGGAATAAAGGTAATGTATTACAATACTTATTCAGACGTACAACTCGTCAAATGTCCATTCAAGTTCGCCACAAATTTCATACTTGCCTCTCCGCTCTCTTCTTGACATCTTCGGTACCCTCAGCAACTTTCTGAGCACCTTCGCGTTTTACTTCGCCTGTCTTTGACTGCCCCCAACTGAACCAGTTATGGCCTGTATCCTTGACTTCATCCGCGCGTTGTGCAACGGCGTCCTTCGTCTCTTCAAACTTACGTTCGGATGTCCTCTTGGCATCTGCTAGAGACTGCTCAGCTGCGTTCTTGTACTGGTTCAGTTTTTCCTGCGCTTCATGTGCTGTCTGCCGTGCATGTTCTGTCAGATCGTAGTGAGACTCGCCCACTTTTTGGCGGGATGCAGCCACTGTCTCTTTAGCTGAGGCCTACATGTAGCAGGTCAGACAACTCGATCCACTGGGATGCTCAGAGAACTGACCTTCGCAGCATCATAACTCTCCCGGCCTTTTATGAGGGCATCCTCAGTCCTTGCCTTCCCTGCTTCCCCAGCTTGCCTGATGCTTACCCCTGCTTCGCGAGCCTTCTGCTTCATCTCCTCCTCATCTCTGCGTTTCTTCTCTTGAAGACTGATACCGCGGTCGCGGTTGTAGAAATAGTACATTCCCGCAAGTGCGGCGGCGGCAGAGGCGATGATGAGACCGTTGTTGTATCCGCCACTGTTGGTGGAGGGGCTGGCCTTCGGATTGGGCGGCGCTTGCCCCGGCGGGGGCTGGGTTGCGAACATCCTACGCGCCTACAGTCGCAGTTAGTTTCGAGAATCGCGGACACAGTAATCAACTTACGACAGGAAGGGCATTCGCCGAGGCACGATCGTGACGGGCAGCAATGACGGAACGGAAAGTGGATGCTCGGTACATTGTGACGGATGCGGTATAAATCAAGTGCAAGTGAGGTTGTAGTTGGTGTTGATGTTGGATAACTTTATAACCAACGGTGGCTCCTAATGACGACAACCTCTATGACGTCGACATAGTCACGTGTGTGCGCCCCACTCGACGCGGTACTAAGTTAATCTCCCCTAGCCAGACCGTCATCATTAGAAGATCTAGAAAGGCAATCGTTCCTTCTTATAGGTCACCTGAGCTCGAGCGCTCAGACTTTCCGTCTTGCTGGGCGCTTCTTGATAATGACATCGTCCAGAACCACTGGCAGTCGTCTATCTCGTGACTGGCTGGCAGCCCAGAAGAGCCAGAACCCGTGGTCCGACTCCGTTTGTCGGCCAAACGGCTTCCTTTATCGCTCTATTATCTCATCTCGAATCACCTGCATCAAGTTATTGGCGTGCAGCGTAACTGCTTATTACCGATTTATCGGATATAAGCGGCACAGATCTTTGTCTCTCCTAGGTGATCCTGATTTACTCACAAAAGTTCGATTCTAATACGTTCTTTGGCTATAGGTTCCTTATCACACCATGCAAGAAGTCCTAGACTACTTCGACAGTGTTGTATACAACGACCTTCCGGCCCATCTCATATACGTCCCCGAGATGAGGCTGATCAATCGAGCGGATATCTTTGGCATTGTGCGCCCCCATGAGGTCATTCATAACCAGATGGTGCTCGTGCTAGACAGCTGGACTGCAAAAGCACGAGCAAAAGCCACGTTGATGAAGCACCTTAACTATGCTATCTTCTCACACCGCTGGCTACGTGAGGGGGAGCCGACATTTGCAGACATGCAGACTCCTGCAGCCAAGACGGGACCTGGTTTTGAAAAACTCGCTAGGTTCTGCGAGAAAGCTAAAGAATACGATTGTATCTTCGCTTGGTCTGATACTTGCTGCATTGACAAGAGCAGTAGTGCAGACCTAGACGAAGCCATTCGTTCCATGTTCAAATGGTATCGCAACGCATTTATATGCATAGTACACCTCGCCACCTCGTCATCCCTCGACGACTTATCCGATGATCCGTGGTTCACACGAGGATGGACATTGCAGGAATTGCTCGCCCCAGAGCAAATTAAATTTTACGGAACAAACTGGATATCGCTGACTTCCCACCTCAATGACAAGGACACAGACGAAGACACCCATACATCTATCATGCGTGTTGTCTCCAAAGTCACCAGCATACCCTTCGGACAGTTGATGAACTTCCAACCCCGGACTCACCAGATAGCGATGAAGATGTCATGGGCAGCTATGCGTAGGACGACTCGCATCGAGGACACTGCTTACAGCTTGATGGGCATTTTCGACGTCAGTATCACGATCGCATATGGAGAACGAGAGCGAGCCTTCTTTAGATTGCTGCAAGCAGTCGTAGAGGGCAGTCGCCAGGGGACATGGGAAGTCCTTGCATGGCTCGGGGAACGGAATCCCTATTGCCATAGCTTGCCCAAGTCGCCGGTTTCCTATAAGCCGCTTGCAACTTTGCAACGTACTTGGAGTTCAGGGCAGATTTCACAATCGGATATACCGTGGGCTTTCGCTTGCGGGGATCCATCGTTACAGATCAGCCCTCGAGGCGTAGAGGTCAATGTGTTACTTGTCGAGTGCACGTCTACTCTAGACGAATCAAATCTCCATCACGTCCTGTCTCCCACTGGTACCGCGGGAGAGAGAGATGATTCATACGACGAGACGGTGGCTATCCAGAGTGATTCGGATAGGCTCGCTCTCGTGGACGAGTTCGCACTTGGAGTTCTCGATTTCTGGAACGATGACATGGATGAAGGCCTCTTGAAGGCCAATCAAGAATATATCTGCCTTTTCCTGGGAACAGGGCCAACAAGCACCGCGCTCTTTAAAGTGAGAACGAACAACATCATCACGCTCAAGGTTCGGAGGGATGTCAGAAGCAAACTAACCAAGGTCTGGTTGGCATAACAGCGTACCCTGTTCTGGTGAGCTCTTTGACCAATCCTCTGATGGGACATAGAAATGATTGTAACGTCGGACGCAGTTGTTTTTAACAGGAGACGCGATAAATATCATCTCCGAGATGCTCAAGATGACCACCTTAATTCTCAATGACATGAAGAGACGTGACGAGCCCGCTGGACTAGGGGTTCCAAGGCAGGGACCACGCATTCGGGGTCTCTGTGGCCCTTTCCATGGCTTAGTCAGCATGTAAACTAGGTTCCAGCATGTTCGTAGCTTAGCTTCATCATTACTACTGGCCCCTGTTTCACCGCGAGGCCCCGTCCTTTTCATGCTCGACATTCACTGCTTCAGCAGTTGAGGGGAAACCTATCAACACCTAGTACGGGGTGCGTGACGAGGGGATCTAGACTCTCGAAGCTGGGGACAGGGCGCCCGATACGCCCAACATACTCCACGTCCAGTCAGCAGAATCTGACATAAAGACGCTGCACAGACCTTGGTATCGCACAGTACTTGTGTTCGCGGCTCCGAGTCTCGCAGATTCTACCACGATCTCTGTCACGCTGGATGCGATCGGCAGTCATGATGCCGTTATCGGCATCAGTAACTCCTCTTGCATCTCCTGCTGACCTCGTCCTCGTTGATCAGGAGCTCATTCCGCTTACCTCGTGGAAGTTATGCAGAGGTATTTGTGATACGGCCAAACGGAGTGATTGGGGCGATCGTCCGTAGTGCACATGAGGCTTTATTGCTCCGAAGTATTTTTGGACATGTGAGCAAAAAATAAATAGCCCCCACCGTACCATACTTAGTATATTGCAGAATAAAAGATAGCAAATTACAGTCGCAACTGAAACACGTCTGGATAGCAATGTAGATAAACGTACCACACCTCCTGAACATATCAGAGCTCTCTCAGAACGGGCAAGTCTTCTCTCTTGTCGTATACGTCATATTTGGGCAAGGTTCCTGCGGCCTGCAAGTCTTTCGCCACTTTCTCTGCACCCTCAAACACCCGGAGGAAATTGCCCCCAGTGAGCCCAGCTAGGTCCAGCTTGCTCCATCCGCGTCGATACAATTCGGCAATCTTAGAACAGTCAGTCATCCCTCGAGTTGAAGTGGTAAGATGTCACGTACAAGAGCAGGATACTTTGAAACGTCCTCGAGTCCCTTTGGAGTGACAGAAATCCCATCATAGTCGCTCCCGATGCCAACGCTGAGATAACCATCAGATCAGCGGCCAATCAGGTATCGATCATAACTCACTGCTTGACTCCAGCAACTTTTGCAATGTGCTCAATGTGATCAGCGACAGCTTCAATATCAGCCTCACCATCGTCAGCGACAAATGGGCCATTGAAGTTAACCTGTACAAGCATTAAAAAAACAGAAATTTGGTTATTTCTCGACAGACCATAACAACGGCATCTCTTTGCCCTTCGCCGAAACCGACGAGGCTAAGTACTTCGTCAGGCACATTACGAGCTACATTGTGGATGGCCCTGGCAGACGAATGGGACCAGATGACTGGCGCCTTAGAGTGCAGGAGGGCCTGCGTTGCGGTCATGTCAGAGGTATGAGATAGATCGACAAGCATTCCAAGTCTGTTCATCTCTTCCACGAGCTTGAAGCCAAGAGGGCTTAGACCGTAATGCCGTGGGGCACTGGGTTGCAACATCCCGCAGGAGTCGGCGAAAGCGTTGTGACAAGTGTGAGTAAGAGTAACGTAGCGAACCCCGAGCTCGTAGTACTGGCGGAGGACAGCGATAGAGTTCCCGAGTTGATGGGCACTGATGTGAATTTAGGGGAATGAAAAATCCCAGTAAATTGGCGCTCACCCCTCAACACCTAGGATGCTCGCAATTTTGCGGTTTGTGATTGCTAATTTTATGTCACTTGAGCTGACAGCGTACGCAAAATCCTGCGCCAGACACCGATTATCACTACTGGTGTGAAAAGGGGGGATGCAACTCACGTGCGGGTACTTCGATATCAGGCCCTTTGCAACGTCAATTTGCTCGAGGGTGTCTCTATCGTTACGTGCGGTCAGCGAGATACATTGAGTTCAACAATAAACATCCAGACCGGACACGCCAGGAGGCTTTCAAGAAATCAGCGCCCTCATCTTCAGGGCTTGCACAACTAACATATACAGACCTTGAGCAGAGTCAGCTTAGGGTAGAATGCGGAGATACAGGTATAGACCAAAAGAATCCTCCAACTTTCCCTTCTCTCAGACGCGGAATGTCGACATGCATGGGCATTTGGCTGTCGAGAGGGACATCTGTAACGTTGTTGCGCCAGCCAAAGCGAGCAACCATAGGAAGATCTCAAGTCGGATTGTAAGGGCATAGACAAGTCATATTCGAAGGGAACATACCAATGTGCCCATCCTGTGGGTTCTGTCAGCGACAGATCAGCGGAATATACGGGTCAAGAGGCGTACAATGACAGGAGCAATGTTAAGCAAACGTTGTGCTGCAAGCTCGGGATCCCGGGGCAACTTTCCTGACAGTCCAAAATCACTTATGAAGCCTGGGTCGACAAGTGCGACGACCACAGCAACGATGAACAGAACAGCGAGGGCAGACCAGACGATTATGCGGTTGCGAAGTATGTGAGGGTCTTGCCGTACCGTCTCGTATTCGGCGCTTGGAATTAAAGGTTCGTTTTCGCTGCTCATCGTCGTCGAAACCAACAACGGACAGAAGTCGCTCCTATACGGTATACCGTGATCACATGACATGCTAATACGACCGATGGCTAAATATAGTATTCATGCCAGCCTCATGGCCCCCCGTTCCTTTTGCTCACACTTGCCAAGTACACGTTGAGTAGTTCCTTGTTGCTACAACCTAACGTCCGTGCTCTTCGCCAACAGGATTTTTCACATTCTAGGAGGTTTCATTAGTATGTACCGATTTGTCACATTCAAGTACATGACACCCGAACCAGCTTCCACATGTCACATTGTCGTTTACAGAATTCCGAGGCCGCAATTAGCCTTACTGCATGTCTCAACACGGTCTCAATCCTCGACTCTGTCATTTGAAAGCTCATGTGTGATCACCGATTACCGTGACCAGTGTCAGCTTATGTGTACACCATTGGGAGGATTCGGGCGACCCTCGACAAGGTCGCCTTGCGCACGCAAGTGCACCTCTGGATTTTAGACTATCCCGTGCAGCCCGCGGAGCATGAAACCGAAGAGGACAGGAAGCACCAACTTGTTGCATGTTCCCTCCTGTCCTCTTCGTGTTTACCCCACTTCAAACCTCGGCTCGGGAATACTTGGCCAATCAGAAGACCTATAAATGTTTGTACAACTTGTTTCATATCTGGGGTCGCAGATATCGCTTGGTGTTGGCAACTTCTTCCTTTGGACTTCCCATGGAGCCCTGGTGGCAGGTGTTCACGCTGTCATGGACGACGTGAAGATTTCACGTACTATATTCCCATTATCGTTGCCGCGCCCATGATCTGCATCAAACATCACCGAATCGCCACGAGGGCTGATGTTTCTTACTCGTAACTAACCGTCGACTGATTGCTTGACATTTACTTGACATGTTCCTCCGTTGATAGGTCCTGAATTATCAACGCTTAGCAAAACGTGACTCACCTATATTTTAGGCACCCTTCGAATATGATTCAGTCAGTCCCTCAATTTTATTCTATCAAGGATGTACGAGTCTCTGGCTCAGATGTATATCGCTGGTATCTGGCTGGAAGCGATCTTGTATGGTACGTATCAGAGGCATTTGCATTGCGTTCGCTAACACACTCACTTCTTATTCAGGTATCAAGTGCGCTCTGCCATGGCACTTGGGGTTGTTTCTGTTTCTGATCGACGTTTTAGTTGTGTACTATTCTGCGTTTGTCTTTTCATCGTGCTGGCCCACGATGGAGCATCTCGAAAGTGAGTGGAAGCCTACATCTTCTCCAACGAAGGCATGACTATGGAATAATGTCTAGAACGCTCTTGTTGTCAAGCATCGTCCAATTTTCGCTGGCCACAGCACATGTCATGATAAGCTTGCTGGAGTTGATGGCTGCTTTCACAACTTCAACCAGCGCTGCTAATCAGTACTTCACCAACCCCGGTGGCAACCAACTGTTCGTCAGTGGCTTCTTTGTATATGTCGTTAATGTCGGTGGCGAAGTGTCAACATTTCCAATGTCGTGTGACTGATGGCTATCCCCCTAGACATTTGCTCAAGAGCTACTCCTAGTGGGTTTCCCGATCCAAGCTCAATCGCAACATGGAGATGAACATTTACCTTTCAGATATGGAGATTATACATTATTTGGGATCGAAATTTCAAGATTTGTATCATCCCAGTACGCTGACATTGTCTTTTTTACCACCTCTGCAACATGAATGTTGATGACCTTTACTCCATAGCTCATTATCTGGATGCTTCATTGCAGTAAGCTACATAGATGTTTAAGTCAAGGAGCTATCGGTGGTGACATCCTACGTTTCAGGTGTAGCATCGATCGCGGTGTCTGGCTTTATACCTGCAACAGCCACAGCGCTCTCGCGCGATGTCCATTCATACGGACTTGCCGGGTGGGGTCTCGAGACTGGTGTCAATTTTCTTGCATCAGGCGGCATAGCCTATCGTTTATGGCACGCAGGACGCCGTACGGCCATTCTCACTGGACGACCCAACTATAAGGCTAGCTTTCTCATCGTCATTGAATGCGGGGCTCTGATCACCACATGCACCGCGATCATGTTTGCCCTCTACGCATCAAACAAACCAGAAGGACTCGTTGGGGTCGGAGCAGCTACTCAAATTGCGGTGGGTTCAAAGTAAGCCACCCATGACGTGTCGTTTGATTTTTTTTCTCTCCATAGACTATTTCGCCATTACTAATCATAGCACGGGTGGGTTTTGCTGCATCCAAGAGAAAGACACCTCCGTCGGCGGCTACATTTTCTACCTTTCCGAATTCCTTGCCAGTTAATGCTTCCAGATCAATGGATACATATGGGGATTACCCACTGGATGATATTTCTGTAGCTGGGGGAAGTGAATCGAGGGACAGGACAGATACAAAGATAGTGATTGCAGCTTGAGTTGTGAATTGAGTATCAATCATGGTTTTCTGGTCTTACATTAGGTTTTCGATCGCAGATATCAGCAGAAAATACATAATAAAGTCTCGAGGGTAATCCCCTACGACATCGAGATTCGTGAGGTAGCTGCAGGATCCAAATTCCTTGGAAAGAGCGCATGCACTTGTCCTCATGTCGAGTCTATCGGCATGAGTTAAGAGGTAATCCAACTAGCAAGAGGCCTTGACCGGTCTGCGCCAGCTCGAGCTCGAACGTGGTTTGTATCACGACAAACCATCCGAGTCTGGATTTCAGATGTTAACGTGTTCTGATCACGTGCAGAGATTTTGGCAGAAGCGCTGGCAGCCCTAATGCATCTGAGGCTGCACAATGCAGCCGTGACCTCCCTCGTTTACTATTTCCACTCGTCCAGCATGTCCATACAGTGTCATTAATTGTACTTTTCACCAATCGAGATACCCTAAATATGAAGCACGATAAGCGCGAACAAGAGCCATCACCTATATATGAGTCTCAACCTCCGCCCTGGCTGCCTAAGTCCCACAGGACTGCTGATGTTGGTGAGGCCCTGCACCTACGTATCGAACCCTGATTATCCTCATGCATCTCTTCTAGGATACCCTGGCTTTCATCCGCCACGCCCAGGACAGGATGAGGATGTATTGTCTGACAAACATATAAAGGATGGCTTCTTATTACCGCTTCCCGTGTCTGTAAGTCTGAGGTTCACCAATCCCAAGTTTTAAATGGCTGATGATGATCAGGATGAGTACCAAAGTGCTGCAGTTACGTTCCTTCAGCAGGACGCTAAAGGAGGCCGCATGTTCGACCAGAGCATGCTCACAGACCTCGAGCATCTCATGAATGATATCTTTACTCGAAAGGCAGACTGTGCTGCTGCTATACAGTAAGCTCATTATCTTGGCGTTGAACTTCGTCCAACATTTTCGCAGGTTATCAGCATTCAAGATTCCTTCTCGAGTCACCATGAGTGATACCAAGCGACAGACATGGTTCGCCGAACTCGCAAATCCCGACGTGCCATTAAATAAACTCGGGAAAAGCGTGCCACATGGCGCAAAAGGACACGACCTACTTGACCTTCTTCATACCAACAACGTTGCTATACCCCGTGCGGTCTGGTTTCTTCGAGTGTTCGGTGCCAATGAGACTGTAAGTGCTGATGTGGTATATCTCAAACTGCGTGATTAATATGATACAAGGCTGGTCTGAGAAATAAACCGTCTTACAATCCTACTCAGTACAGCATAGATTGGGCGATAGTAGTAACCAGCTATATCAAGAAACAGCTTGCCGACATTGCTCTGCCGAGTGCCCCTAGACCCGGAATGAATATCAAGCAAACATTTAAAGGCGTCCTCTCTGACGCAGAAAGCCGGGACCGATGGGTTTCTCGTTTCACGTACTGGTACAGTGTTTGATTCGACCGTTCAAGCATTCGCTAACAAAGTCAGTCTGAAACTACTGCGGCCGTTCTATGATGAAGGCCTCGTAGATCATCGCACTTTCCTTACATGGCTTGTGGTCCAGATGGCGGCCTGCAATCTTGCCCAAGCAGGATTTGTAGCACATCTGGCTGATGAGTATCTCGACGGAGTTCTGGAAAAGCGCCCATTTGCAAAGCCCCTTTTAGACGCGTGCATTGCAAAATTGAACGAAGTAAGTTTTATGGCTGTATGCCTCCACCCGTTATTGACCATTACAGGTCAGGACGACTTCTGCTCAGGGTCACCTCAACAAGCTTGAAGAAATTTTGAAGTCTCTGATTCAGGTATACATCACGCTCTGCTTTTAAGCGCTATATAACACATAAATGATCCTCATTCAAAACCAGCGCATTTGCATGACCCTTCCGGACACATTGGTTTCTCCCAGTACATGGCTAGCGCATTCATCGCTCTTGTGTTCTGTACTTGCGGATGCCGCTGGTGATGAACCTAGTGACTGTCGACGACGTGATTTTCAGCAATTGATATCGGATAATCTAATGGATATTCAGCGTCGCAACGACGCCATGTTATTTCGCAACCTGCCACCGCGAAAACTCGAGCGCCTTGGGTCTTTGGTTGTTGATATCCAAATTCTAAACTCGATCTGCAGCACCACGGACATGTCTAGTATATCGTTTTTCTCTTCTCAAATTCCTGATTACACATCAAGCTCGAACTTTGTCGACAAACTGGACACTTTGTTAACGTGGGCTGTGACACCATTGCAGTATGGCTCACATCGACCTTACGCGGCTGTGACCCTGCTCCAAGCATATCACGAACGCAACGCGCGCCGTGAACTATCTTCAGCTACACTTCACGACCACCTTTTTGATTGGCTCGACTCCAAACCTGTCGCTAGGGAGGCTGGAAATCTCAGGGCAATAGCAGTTCTGTTTCGGGAAATTAGTTAAGGGTGGGCTCTTTGATTACGCAGCTTATGTGCAGAGGCTCGTCGCAAGAGGCGAACAAGGACTCTGTTTTAACGAGGTATATTGTGTGCCATATTAACGTTGTTCTCTAACCCATAATGTTCTTCAGCCTATTGAGATGGCTTCCCCGCATCGCAATTTCCTTCGCTGGATACCGCTACACAACGCGACATCATCTCTTTCAAATTCAGCGAAAAGTCATTGTCTACGGTGCGCGTGCACGCCAGACCCCTGAAGATGTCTGCGAACGCGAGATGCGCAGAGAAATCCGTGCAATCTTGCCACTTGTATTTGGTGGTAGGACTAATGTTTTAATTTGGTTCCACATTGCTAATGAAGCATAGGCGATGCCCTTCCGCCTTCGGTTTCTATGTCATCTCTCCGAACGAGCTGTCCTACTGTGCTCGACGCACCATGTTTTGAGCAAGTGCGAACGTTTAAACAGTGGCTGCTGCCGAATTTTTACAAATTCGCTTCAAGGTGTGCAAGGCCAACCCCTCCCTCGCATTGGCTGGTTTGACGGAGTGCGCAGATCGGAATCATTAGATGAGATCAGTGCTCTGAAAACATACAGCACAGCTGTCGAAATATTCAGGTACACTCACAGCTACGGCTCCTTGCTGGAGGTGTGTGTTCTGCTCCCTTCAAATTTTGAACTATTGACAGCTCTTGTGCAGCTGAGTCTCTCGGTCTTGTCCCAGACATCCCACGCAGAATTACTGACCGCCGTCGGGGAAGTGTTCCATCGCTTTGCAACTATATGGACGGCGATGAATGTCACTGGAAGTATCACTTCCGCACTTTATTCCGCTCATTTGCTTTGGCGAACGCGAGGGGGGAAAACCAGATCTCTCCTGACCTTGGTTATTGAGATGGACGATGGACGCCATCTAGATCCAACGGCCAGAACACAGGTGGAGAACGACATCGCGGCGTTCACACACGCGCTGGCTCCTAAGACAGACCATCCAGAGGTCGTCCCATCATTCATGCCCGAAATTTTACTTTTAGCTGAAGATTCCAAGCTGGACGCTCCATCAATTCTCGCAAATAGCCTCTGGTACAAATATCGCACGTCCGGAGACTGGGCTTGGAAAGTCTGGGACAACACTGTTGCTTCGTTACGCCAAGTTCCCGTCATGAGTGAGGACCATGAGCGGCGTCATACGTATGCACTCCGCTATGGTCAGTTTCTCCTCAATGTCGACCACCACCTTCCTGGCGGCATCGACAATGATGTGCTCCAATGGTTTCTTGGTACTGGAAAGAGTGAAGTGTTAGGATTGACGCCCGAAACGTGGGATGTGCTTAAAGTCGTCCTTCTCTTCCTATGCGTCCACGGAGCGCTATCAACAACTACATTGCTTCAAGGACTAGTCTACCCTGCCTGGCAGCTGGGAGCTGATGCAGGCCCACTCTACCAACTACAGAACGCGGAGACATTTATTCAGGCAGCCAGCAAACTTTTTGACGCACTTGTGCTTCAGGAGGAGTGTTTCATTAGCCCGATCATCCCACAAGAGCTCCTTGATGCACAACGGATCCACACTTGGAGACAGGACGCCTTCCGGGAACCTCATTTCACTCTTCTGGCCAGCAATATACCGACTTTGGTGCTCCTGGAACACAATGGTGTAGTTTCAGATGACCTTCGCGGATTTGCGCGAGACCTTCGCCTGCGGACGTGCGAGAATCGCGACATCAGACAATCATGTTACCGCAATCTCGATGCTGTCCGCAGGGGCTTCGAACATCCAATTCAGTCGGGAATGGTCGCAGAAACGCTTTGTGAACCGCTTGTCAACGCATTGAAATTGATTCTGAGCGAATCTAACGAAGGTGCGTGAAACCCGCGGTATGGAATGAACCTCGAGATTCACGATCAACTGAAGATACAGATGTCAACTCGTTCTTAAGCACTGGGATATCATCCGTTCTGAGTCCGTGCACACTCGCAGCGACTGCAGTTCAGCTGCAGTTTGGGCTGAGGCAACTTGGACGGGCGCTTGCTTGTGATTCGACAAAACAGGGTGCAAGTGCATCACTCGACAAAATGACATCCTTGATCTTCCACCACTCGATGGCCTCAGAAGAAGCATACTTCATCGCGGAGATGGCAAGGGGCGTCGATGGACCGGTGGCGATTAAAGTAAGTGAGTTTGTGCTCGGATTGACACACACTGAAAACGATGAGTAGTTCATAAATAACGGTTTCAAGAGTATCGTTGACATTCTTAATCAAGCCCCTGCTCCTTCTACTCCCGAATCATTACTGGTGCGAGTTGGTCGTGCAGGTGAGGTGCTTCGCGTACTATCACACGTCTCAGAGCCACTGCGAGAGGAAGGAGCTGGGCTGGATCTTGACATTTCAACGCAAGAGCGGCTTGCGAAGACCATTCTGGAGTTGCTTCAAATCGCCATGGTGACATTCTCCAAAGCGACTGGACAGTCTCTGCACATCGTCACTGAAGCTGTCATATTTTTGGCTCGTCTCCTTCAATTTGACCTCGGTTTCCCCGGGATATGGACGACACATTTTCGAGAAACATGTGAGAAGATGGCGCCAATTCTCTTTGACCTCGTCGTAGTATGTAAAGCCGTATTCCGTGTGCGAGCTCTGAGATAACGCAATTGCAGATTCATGCATGCGGCCCTGCACACGATGCTGTCGCGTTTGTGCTTCTTCTTGATACTTTGTATTTCCTCATAGATGGTATGCTCACATGCAGTCGCGGTGTTCTGCCCCGTTTAATCGCACTTCTCATAGATCTTTCCCTGCACTCAAAAACGTCATCGCCAGACCCGTTCAAGTATTACCCCACAAAACTTCAATCACCTCATCTCCACTCCCTCCCTGGCTCACATCGTGCCCGGCTTCTGACTCTCTTCCCGCATCTACGACCGAACGCAGTTGTCGAAGACCTTGCCCATGCTCATCGAGACAGCACAGGCCACCTCGTTTATGGCGCACCCGTTCAAAACCGCCCATGGGAATGGATTGAGAACCTTGGCGGAGACGACAAAGACGACGGCATAATACGAAACACTGCCTCGCTGTCGCTCGAACTGTTCGGAGCGAAGGCCACGGGCGATCGTCTGATCGGCTCTGTGCAGGATGAAGAGTGTCGCATACCATCGAGACTGGAAGGTGTCTTCGAGGACAAACTAACGGCTGAGAGCGTCTTCCGTCGTGATTGGCGCGAAACTCGATTTCAGGCACACTCTGATGTCCGTGCTGGGGAACGAGGGGTAGGAGAGGACATCAACGAGCTGGGCAACTTGCCTACTTTTGGAGTGCAGAAGCCGGGGTCTAGAAGGGTGTCGCCTGCTTCGTCCGTGCGTTCTCGGGGATCGGTTAGCTCGGCACGTCGTAGTCCCGGGTTGCTCTCGGGTAATAGAACTTCCGTTTCTACGAGGGAAGGCACTGGGGAGAGTGGGATTGGTTCTGGCCCAGCGGGAGGGCAGAAACGAAAGGCTTCGGTTTCTGTGGATGATGACGACGAGGTCGAAATAATAGAGGGGCCGGTTCGAGCAAACCCGAAGAAACTCAAAGTGAAGTCGAAACCAAAGAAAAAGTAGTTGCCTATATATGTTCCCAACTCATCTTGAATTTGCGTCAGCATGTTGTCTTGTTTGCTTTGTCTGGTATAATAATGCCTATAGCGAAGTGCTGTACCATAGTTTAGTTTACAATATACATATGTATGATAAAAGTTACAATAACGTAGGACGTTGGGGTAGCGGTCAAGTACAACAATGATTTGATTATCGAGAGAAAAAACCATCAAATGGACCCATCTGCTGCCCGCGGCCAGAAGTAGAAGACCATTCGCGCTGAGTGTCCGGTTGTCCAAGGACACTCCCGACGACGGAAACGATGTCCTTGATTGCATAATTTACGACTGGTTTCCCCGTGACCTCCTTCCGACAACCCGGACAAGTATACTCTGGTTGCTGTTGCCGGAAATTGTTGAACGTTGCGTGTAGTTGTGTCCGAAGCTGAAGCGAGATATATGGAGCAAGAGTCTGAAGAAAATGGGGGAAATTTGGAGGCACGGGATCACGGTCCATGATGTAAGTGGGATGGGCGCGAATATATTTGGTGAGCGTTTCGTCGAACCAGCTCTTTAAGCACCTCTCGCAATAAGAGTGTCCGCAGTCAAGGAGCCTGGGGCAAGCAATTGGTCGATGGAAAGCGACCGAAAATGGGAACTTACAGGTATGGAGAGTACATCAAATGTGCGCATATATCGCAAGATACCATGTCCTCTAACTTGGTAGCATCCTGCACGGGACAACTGAGAGATCACGAGGAAAGGCAGAAAAGAGCTCGTACAATAGTGCCTTTCGATTGCAAGGTAGAAAGTTTCTGCTGCTGCAATTCGATCTCCCGACGTCCGGCATCAATTTCTTGGTATTTTTCGGCAAGCTCTTGACTTTGTTCTTTGAGCTGCTTCCTCGAATGGTCAAGTTTTAGGCGATGGTCAGCAAGCTGCCGCTCTAGGTGCTCGTTTGTCTAACCTCGTCCCATCAGTGGCTAAATTGAAATTCCTAATTGCGGAGACGTACATGCTTCAACTTTGCGATCTCCCGCTGCGAAGCTGAGCTTTCGGATCCGTTTGCCTTCACTTTGGGAAGGACCGGCCCTTCATCGGATGAGGATGACGATATCTCCAAGACCTCACTCGTCGAAACGAGTTTCTTGGAAGGCTTCCTTTTAGATCTTGATGATGCACCGGCTTTGCTTGGTCGGGTATTCTCATCATCCGAAGACAAAACAATGACTTCAGCTACAGTAGCCACGATTGGTCTTGGCTTCGAGCGAGGTCGTGTAGGTGATGTATATGGTTCGTTGGCGCGTGGGCGAGAACGCTGTTGGCTTGACGAGCGAGTAGCAGGCATTCTGAAGTCTAGAAAGGGAAATGAAGGACGTAGGAAGGTACGTGAACCGGTTATACGTTGTAGAAGAGCTATGGTTAGAGTTAAGGAGTAAAACGACCGGAATGATTTTGGGATCACGCCTGCCACGTGACTTTAATCGTGATGGCATAGATGGCCAAATATAGAATCCATTGTGCGCGTGATCGTCGGTGTACAAAACATCAATGCATCGAAGCAAGGACTGTCTTCCTTCTGACCTCATTCTCTTCATTCTTTCACGGTTTGACTACCAAACGTGTCAAGGCTTCCTTCAGCGTTTAGATACGAGGCAACACCGTGGCCGCATCTCGAGTGCTGTGACCGTCAATTACTTGTAGGTAGGTACATAGTATTTGCAACTCAATGTCGAACGTGGAAAGATTTCTAACATTCCTGCTGGCACTGTAATCTCCACTATAGCTTATCCATTGATCCCTCAAATCGCCGATTTCATTCCATGAAGAATTCAAAGTATAACAAACCAATTCAATGATGATTATCAATGTTCGTCAAACCGATACCGGCGGAGCTTATAGTAAGCTTTCCAACGTGGCAGAATCAAGGAACTCTCGCGTCTAATCCCTCCGCGCTGAGTCCGCGGCTACTTGTGCAGTATGTTTATGCCGCGGCCGCAGGGCTGCTTCTTTATAAAGGGGGAGCACATGGTCTAGGATAATGAACCTCTCCAACTGGCTGTTGCACTCCACTTTTAATCTTCAGTGCTCCTCTAAACGCATATAAACTCTGGATGGAGTCATCACTTGCTAGCGGATCATCCAAAGTTACTAATTGGGATCCCGAACCTGTTGTCCGGCGTCCCACTCTTTCTAATGCGCACAGATATACTCTGCTTTTGATCTTCTGCATTACGCAGTTTCTATACACACTCACTAACTCAGCATTATTCTCCGCCCTCCCTTCCCTTGTCCGGAAGTTTGACTTCACCCAAAGTCAGTCAGTTTGGATCATCAGCGCATACCAATTGTCTTTTGCATCTTTTCTCCTTATGGTGAGTTTTTTTTGTAGATCGGTTGATATATATATTTATCATAGATTTACAGAGCGGAAAAATTAGCGATATTTACAATCCTAGTCAGTTCACTTCAGGGTGTCCTCGCAAGCGTCGAACTAACTTTTCACGAAGAATACACCTTTATAACGGGAAAATTGATCCTTGGGATAATCTCCATCGGCCTTGGTTTTGTCTCCGATGGTATCTTGTTCCTTGCACTGAGAGCCCTAAGTGGAATTGGTTGCGTTCTTTTGTTCCAGTCACAAGCTTGAAGACTCATTTAATAATTGTAGCCGCGTCGCTCACCGTACCATCGGCTCTAGCATTGGTCATCGGGCTCTTCCCGGAGCCTAGGCATCAAGCGGTGGCTATTGCAGCACTTGGAGCTTGGGCAGCAATTGGCCTCGGTGAGCAACCTCTGCCACGCAACGCGATTTTAATATTCACGATGGATATTTTAGTACTGGGTCTAATTACCGGTGCCCTTTTTGTTGAATATGTTAGCGCGAGCTGGGTATTTTGGTTTGTGTCGATAGTGGTTATACCATCTACGCTCGTTTCTGCGATACTTATTCCTCCACAAACAAAACCGGCGGTCCGAAAGAGCGGTATCACCAAATTCAAGAGTCTTGATGTCACCGGAATATCCATTCTTACAGGTCAGTCATTTTAGGTCATTTTTATCACACTAACGAGCACATGGTCAGCTGCTATTATACTCTTCATATTCGCTGTCACATCGGGATCGACTGCGGGCTGGGGATCAGCCATGACACTCGCACCTTTGATCATCTCCTTCGCCATGATTTCTGGATTCTTTTACTGGGAGACCCTCCTCCCAACTGAATACGCCGCCGTGTATGTCTACTTGAATTTTCAAAGTTTCCCTGGTTTAGACTGATTCACAGACCGTCTTCCACATGGTTTATTCCGAATTTTTCTGTTTTGTTCGGAACGGCTCTCCTGCCATATTTCTGGTGGGCGAATGTCTTCACCACGTATGTGTCCCTGTGGCAAGACATTTATCAATGGAGCCCCATGTCCTCTGCTGTGCGCATGTGAGTAAGGACCGGTACAATGATGATCTGACGACGCTAACGTTCTTTAAGGCTTCCAATAGGCATCACTGCCTTTCTCTTCAGTTTCGCTAATAGGTGGACGGGGGTCATCAGTGCCAAGTGGTTGATACTTCTTGGAGCAGTGATGATGATGGCGGCACTCATGTTATTTGCCTTTGCCGACGGACCTGACAAGTACTGGCCACTGGTGTTCCCCGGCTTCATCGTTGGTTCTGCTGGCGCAATGTTAATCCACATGTCTGCAAAGTATGTGTCAATCTTATTCTCAGAACATTCGTATCTCATCAATCACGCAGCATCGCAATATTCCGAGCCACGCCCCCCTCCATAGCGGGCACCGTGGGCGCCATGTTCAATTGCGGCCTGCAACTCGGCTCTGCTATTGGGTTGGCCGCCGTCAGCTCCATCCAGGCGAGTCTGCAACAGAAAGATGGAGGCCCTTCGAATTATGAAGGCCAGTCTGCTGGCTTTTGGTTCATGCTGGCGTGCATCTGTGTTGCTGCACTGGCTGTTCTAGTCTTCTATCGTGTGGACGTGGCCCCGGAAGTCGTGTCATTGGTGCTGTTGCCTATCGGCGTGAAGCAGGACGCGGCGGCATTGCAAGGGGAGTTGGTTCCTTGGCCTGCGGAGGAAGTGAAGGTGGATCTGTCGAATGCGATGTCAGAAGACGTACCGATTGGTCTGTGCTTCTCTGGTGGAGCAGTGGTGGAAAAGAAGTGAGGGGGTACTAAATGACAGGCAGGAGCATCTGTTTTTCGGATTGCCAGGCTGTGCAGAATGTATTGATAGGTTCGAGATGAAGCATGAAGGAATTTAGACCCACGTGCAAAGGCACTCGGTCTAATGTGTCAATTGCTTTCAAGTTTATTAGTACAATATAGAGGTCGTAATGTAGAACTCCGATTCCCTCCGTAGAAACCTTTGAAATAGTGTGTTGAGTTCATATTCGCAAACCCTGATGTCCACGACACCTATCCGAAAAATGCCTTACCCAAACATCTCCATCAGTAAACCGGTGAGACTCAGATATTAGTAGATTTTGTAGTATTTTGTAAGCCCAATCATTGGTTTATTACGTCATGTATAGGAAAGAGCATTTCGGCGTACAAAATATGGGAATATCGGTGGCTCACCGGTTTACTGATGCTCTGTGTTCGGGGAGACCAGTATGGGCAAGCTTCCAAGTCAACCGCGAATCCGAGTCGTCGACACAAATTTGTGGTCATGCCAAATCTATGATACAGTCAGTTTGCACAGGTCTGAGCAAGATCGCCTGGGGAACCGTGATGTGTTCATGAGCCTGTTGTGTACAGCAGAGTCAGAGATAAGCTATCTCGTGGCAGGATTGGATATTTGCCTTGTATACCGCGATACCCGCCGTTCCGGAATAGGGTAAACACTCCTCAGATTGGATATACGCAGTGTTAATGCGAGAGACATACCTGAAGTTCATTTGCATCTGAAGACCGATCACTAAAAGCGTAGATTTCGGCCGATAACTGGGAACGTTTTCAGAATTCAGAAGGTGCACGCGGGTTCCTTAATACGATACAACCCCAGCTCAGTCAAACCGCCAACGCGGAGTCTACATCTTGAAGAAAGTAACGGCATGGATTACCCCAGGGACCTCGAATCGAATACTTGCCAGGTGAGCAGCATAAGTAACGATGGATAGTGTTTCATGACCCTGAGGACAAGGACATAGGAATGGATATATCTGTACATACAAATACAAACTGAATTGTGGTTGAATTCAGACTAAAATGAGACTGAGAAGGGACACACAGACGTGTGAGCCTCGAACAAGCAGGGTGTAGATATGGAAGAGGAGATCGGGCATGAAACGCATAATATGATATCGATGTCCGAGGGAACATATGTTAAAAGCTGGTAGTACATGTTTCAGCTTATTTGGACGATCAGGAAGCGAATGTACGTGCCAGAGATGGTCAATAGCCACGACCGTAACCACCTGGATTGCCATTTCCACCTTGCTGACCATAAGCTTGCTGACCACTGTAGCCAGTCGGAGCGAAACCGCCTGCATAGCCTCCGCCTTAGAAGTTGTATTAAGAATGAAAAGACACATTAAGGTGACGTAATGCTCACTTGGGTAGCCGCCATAGCCACCTTGACCATAGCCTGCCTGACCTCCAGCAAAACCGCCCTGGCCTCCATAGGCAGGTTGCTGGCCGTAACCACCACCACCTAGAAGCATGTTCAGCACCCTTACTACATCTGCAGAGGCTACGAACCAGAATAGCTGCCGCCGCCGCCGCCATAACCTGTGAATGCAGCTCCACCGCTGGCTCCGGTTCCCGAGCTGCGAGGATTAGCGAGATTTACTTTGATCCTCCTGCCGTCAAGCTCCTGCTCATTCATGTTGGCAATAGCATGGTTTGCTTCCTCAGTCGACCCATAGGTGACAAAGCCAAAACCTCGGGAACGGCCAGTGTCACGGTCACGCATGACGATAGACTGAACGGATCAACTCAATTAAAAAGATTAACTCGGTAAGATAACTCGCGCACATCAAGCACTGGTCCATATCCGCTGAAAGCCTATATTGTGCAACGGTCCCAGAAACAAAAACGCGTAAGAAGATGCATCTCGAGAACAATTTCAGACGAAGATGACATAGCGAAGCAGCCCAAATCAACATGCCCGCCCGTCACAATGGTATATAACTGACATTGCGCAACGTGTCATCAGTGGTGTTCCAACTCAAATTGCTACATGGAGAAAACAAGGAAGGCAACGAATCAGTTTTGCTCTCCTCCGTCGCGAGACGAAGTCAGACAATGTAGACTGACCCAACGTAGATTTTTGCACTTGATTGTGATGGTTGAATTGAAGACATAGTGAGGGAGATCACTGGTAATACAATATAGTCTTGAAACCTGTTACACGAGACCTGAACGAAACGGAGACCAAAATACAGAGCAACGGGACGTGGAGGTTTGAATGAGAGCTTGAACGGAATTGGGATTCATCGACGATTGCCCTTATATTCGAGCCCCTTTATTTCAAACTCCGGTCTGAACTCTAACGACTTACTCTAGAACAATTTCCTTTTTCAGCTTGTAATGATCGAGCTACCTCCGCGCTCCTAATTAAGAACACCACAAAGAATCAACTTTATCCTTGGCAAATGGTATGTTTTTTCTCTCACGACATATGGACACAAGCAGATGCTAGTTTAAAACGATTGTCAGAATCGGATTTCATCATCAACGCGAACAAAAGGAGCTATGCTTATCTGCATTCGTTCAATCATTGAATCAGTCCAAGACGGAGACTGCCATTGTTCTTATCGGAGGTGCTTTTGGACGCCGGTAATCTGTTATTTTTTTTTGACCTTGACAAGCCCGACGGGTTGCGTATCTCCTATCCTGCGTTCATGTAGGGAGACACAAGACGCGAACCTGCCGGACGACGGCGCAACTTGACGGGCTGCTCGCGCGCACGCGCTTGCTAATGGCGGTATTCTCCGAGTAGAATGATTCCGCGGCGTTGAGGAGGACTTGCAGAGACGGTTATGAACAGAAACACTCGACAGAAATGTCGAATTGATAGGTGCAACGGGTATTCGTCGGTAGCAAGACCCGATCCATCATCAGCCGATGGGTGCATATATGGGTCTCGTGGACGGAGGTTCCGAATTCGCCTGAGTACCTGACAGCGTCAACTTGCGGGACAAACAAAAAATTTGAGGGTCAATTTCAATTTCAAATCAACGTACTGACTTTCAACAGATCGCCGACTTGGCACTTGATTCTCCCGCCTCCCACGCACGGGTTATACCGTTTCATATCTCGCTGGATGACCGTCTTGGGATCCTCAATTGTTCCGTTTCAGACTCGAATAGGAGCTGCGCCCGTCAGCAGTTGTTCTCCATGATCATGGTCTCTCATGGTCTGCACTTTTTTTTTGTCTGGGGTCAGTACAGTGCTTACAGCCTTGGTTACCCAGGTCGCGGCCTTTTCCCAATGGGAGGGAGGCTTTCCTTTGGAGCGCTTCCACGGCATCTACCGCAGTGTTGTGTGCCTGGCATGAGCGCTGGGTCATGCGTGGGTGAGAAATGCAACAATAAACGTCTTTACTTGCGTTTTCGTGTTCTTGGCTTGTACCTTTACTCTTTTGTTTTTCTCCACAAAAACAGGGGCGCGACGTGAGCAACCGATTAGAATGTGGACATATTAAAACTGCTGCTGGATTTCATATGTGCGTCTGCTCCATGTACGCGTGTCATTCTGTCAGGCAAGGAGTCAACTGCCGTTCGGCGGGTGTCACGACAATGCTCAAGTTGCCGCCTCCTATCAGCCAAGTACATGTCTTTGGCATATACGTCCCGAATGCGCTTCAACAAAAGGCGGAAGAAGATAAGAAACAGCCCAATATATGTAGGCCAACGTGTGTCATCCCTAATCGCATCATGTCACTTCGAGCGTTCTATCAATTTGTTAACCATGGTTATCCAGGACCTCACCGCTTCAACTGCTGGATTAACGTAATAGACAAAGGTAAAGCTGGGGCAAAACCTCCCACGAGGGCTTTTTGTTCAGAGGCATGTCTGCAAAGCAGCCAACGATTATCCTGGCTCGCAAGCGGACGCCACATCTTGGACCCTACTGGTAGCGCGAGCGTCAAAGCCACCGTAATGTCATGATCAGGGGAAATTTCATTTACGCCAGATCGGCGACCACCGGATGCAGTCCCACGCCTGGTTGATGCCTACATAGACAGATCAATCGAAGGTGCAGAGGGCTGCAGGGGCGCAAGAGCTCGAAATATTAGACTATGAGAGTTTCGGTACCAGCGACCATCCAGCTGTCCCAGTGTCCGTATTTAAAATTCAACACCTCGCGCAATCTTTTGATTTCCAGTGGTACCCTGCGCCATTGGACGTCGCCAACCAACGTTTGCGCCCACATAGATCAGCTATTCACAGCGATGATAGCCAGAGTAGCGCAGCGTGCGCATCGGTCCCTTCTATGAAAATAAATTGATTGACCACCCCGCGCACTTTTTGTGAGGGACCGGTGATCGTTTAGCAAAATCACAGCGAAGATAGTAACTAATGATCTATTCTGGCCACGTTGATATGTCCAACTTTCTAAACCTTATATATGGATTTAGAGAAAAGTGAGTCCAGGGGCTGTTGTTCTGACAACATCCAACATCGTCCTAGGAGGAGGGGATCTGATTCTAGCTCCTGACCCGCTTCTCGGCGTGATTTGAGAGATAAGTGCCACGGCCATCAAGTCAAGGACTTAATCTGGCTTCCATCCCACGCCGAATATCACAAGGGTCAGTATACAAGAGTATACCACGGTCCCCGCAGGATCACAAGTCGAGGGGCTGATATGACGGATCATGACTCATCAGCAAACCTGATCCATTGAACTTTGAGTGTGCGAATACGCTCTGAGTCATGGAATGTGAAGTTCACCGTAATGAAGATACTTAGACGCGTGATGGTCGGGAAAGGCCCAACTAAGGAAGTGGTTGCGAGAAGGTCACCATTTGAGTCCTCCCGGTTTTTCATTTAGTGCACGCCAATAACTTTGATTGAATTGCACACGTGCAATGGTGGGTCAATACGAAGGTGCTTGCCGCGGCTTGTAGTATCCGAAGGTCATCTATCGCACCTCCAAATGTCACATTTTGCATCCTTGAAGCCGCTCGGAGTACTCACCGAATTTCCACCCCAGTTGACGCTCTGATATTACTTCAAGTTGGGCACTGTATGCGTACTCGACCGATGGCCCAGTCCGAATCAGCAAGATTGGCAAAGAAGCCGATGGAATGTGGAGAGGTCGATTTCGCACAAGTCGGGGGGATGATGCGTATGTAGCTATAGGTAGGTAGGAGGGACGGGTCCTTAACCTTACTAGGGGGAGACATGATCCACGTGAATCAACAATGAAGGCAAGTCAGTGATCTGTACAACACTACGAACGTGAATCGTGATAACTCCCGAAGACACGGTCTCCATATACGACCCTGAACCAAATGAAGATGACTGTAGTGGAAACCACAACTTGAAGACGGAGTCATGGTCTAAGCTTCGCACCGAATCCCAAAAAGGCAAGTCCAGATCACTCACCCACATCTACAGGTGGTTTGTGAAGGACAATGAACTCGAGGTTTGGTCCACCACAGGTGGCTTTATGCTGTGGATGGTTTGCTGCTACTTCAATGACCGAGCATTTGCGTCCTCCTTGACTTCCAATTTATTTTCCCCCCGTACTTACTCTTGATTACTCTCCAAAACACTCAAGAGAACACTTCTCTCGTCATGACTGTCGTTCGATGCTGAAAATCAGAACCCAACGCACCATGCACCTTCCACCATCTCAGACACGAAGGGCAAGGGCAAGGGTGATGAATGCAATATTTTTATCCCCTACGTTGAAAAATCCGCAAATATATTGGGCGGGTACCCTTTCGAAAAAGTCCCTTCGCCAGCATGCCACGTATTGTGGGATGCACAAGGTGAATATGTCGCCACTCCCGCTACTGCTGCCCCCATCGATCCGCTTCTCATAGACATTGAAGCGCCTCTCATGAAGCTTACCAATTCCCCTCCACCCCATCTCGCCGACGGCCCCATGTGGTGCGCACAGATGGTCGGCAATGAGGATGACTATTACATTCACCTCGCCGACAAACTTGAGCTTGCAAAAATCGAGGACGCTGATGCGCTGGCTGAAGTCAGGATTGCAAGAGTCGAGCTCATGTCTGAGATGGGTCAGACCCAAGATGTCTTGGACCAAGCGACCATTGTCGCGGGGAAGGATTTTGTGCAGAAGATGACGAGGACGGTCCAGTGGCTGATGGAGACTGGCGATTGGGACTTGGACGAGGAGAGTGAAGAGCAGGAGCAGTATGTGGGCGATGGGAATTCGTGCGACGGCGATGACGAGCGTGAAGAGGGGGAGCAAGACTGAGGAATGTGGATATTGGAGCGGGGAGGACTACGAGTGTGAAGATTACCAGCAATACGAGGAACACGAGTGGAGCGGCGGTTCTGTGGAAGAGTACCAGTCAGACATAGAAGATGAGTGGTACAGCCGCCCCCTCGCGGACCCGTTTTGGGGCCCCACAACGTGAGTGATCCATGCATGTGATTCGATTGTGAATCATGATACTTATTGTCAATTGAAGTGTCCACGAACCATCGGTGTTATTTACAGTCGGAACAGTTGTTGCAAGATGCAGAAGATGCAGAAGACGAGTTTCGGAGTGGCAGTGCTGGGGAGGGTGAAGAGTACCCGCAGGCCATGGAAGGTGATGCATTAAGTCTGAGGGGCTTGAAACGGGTTTAGGATCCCAAAACGTGAGTGATCTGCTGAGCCTCGAACGTGAATCGTGATACTTACTGTCAAGTGAAGACTATTTATGCCGTCGGTATGATACTAGTATGGCTTCCTGTAAGGCTGTTCCAGTACACAACAAACTCGGCGACAGTATCGGTCTTGCGTCGGGCCTGTTGGGCCTGCCACTCATTAATATCATAGGTTACGCGTTGTCGCCGAGCCAGAAATGGGCTTGAAATTTTTGTTAGAAAATGTTATCTCAAGACCTAAAACAAGGGAAAGTAAAACTTACAGCATCAGCAAGGTTTGAGCAGGCGACACAATAGAGCTACCTATATTAGTGAGTTGTGTGGTTCCAGTATACGGGAACTCGGCGACAGCACCGGTCCTGCGTTGGGCTTGTTGAACCTGCCACTCAATATCAAATGTACGGTGTGTCGCCGAGCCTGAATTGATGGAAACAGCAGGTGCGACATAAGAGATAAGGAGAGTCGAAGGATGACTTTTGACAACGTGGAATGTCAGAAAAGTCGCATAGCACTGAGGTAATGCGCCACACACTTTATCCTGGCCACCATGCGTAGCAATCACCTATACGTTATCAGTGCGACCACGACGCTGTCGTGCAGTGCGTTAGTGAGGCCCTGTCAATTTCAGGGCACCGGTCTAATGGTCGACAGACGAGCAAGATGGCAAAATAGGCTGGCATCAAGTCCGACGTATTGGCCTGTACACGAGCATATCTGCATCAGGCTGTAAGTTGGAGGAGAAAAGCTGGTTGATCGTTAGTCTTTCGGGTACGGAGTTGGAATGACGATCGGTGAAGATCCGAAGCACGATTGAAAAGAGGAGTGGAGTGGGATGTAAACTTCTGAAGAGGTGCAGTGATGAACGGATGGACTTGGCTAGCCATGGAAGAAGGAAGACGTACTTGTATTGATGAGGTACGTACGCAGCATAAAGATTAGAACGATGGGATCATCAACTGATAATAATCACTAAAGGAAGACTAAGTAAAGAACCTACAGGAAAAGGTGAAGCAAGTCGATTAGATAGCGGTGCAAGCAGCCACGCGTTAGGGTGACTGACTGATAAAGCTGGCCGTGCTTTGTATGCCGCCGAACTAGATCGACGGGGAAACGTGAAATTAGTATGTGAGGGATATTGAGAGAGATTACTAATTTCACGACAGCGAATAAGCACTCGTCAGCAGAGACTGCTGTTGCACGCGCAGTCTGGGAGAAATCTGAAGTAGGCGTTCGGGAGATCGGAAGACGAAGAAGCCGGGGACAGAAAATGTGCCAGACCCGCCGTGCTGAGATCGGTTCCGAGATGCGGAGAGAATGAACTTCGACCGCGAAGACAAACCAGACCTGGGCCAACGTGTGGCTTACAAAGCCCTATGTTTGCGACGGCTCGCATTCGGCCGCGGAAAGAGGAAAGAGACACCTCTTCGGGTGTAAATGCTATTGGAATACTGTTGTAAGTAGAAGTCTAAGAGACGAGTCTCAGCGTTGATGAAAGAACCGCTATGACATTGAATAGTACCTAAGAGACGAGTCTAGAGACAAAATAACATGAGTGAGAGACGGCGTGCAAAGTGAACGAGAACTATACCTCAGCGTTGATGAAAGAACCGCTGAGGTACAAACAGTGCGATACAACGAGTTTAAAAGCTATACTAAAGAGTCCGTGATGGCGAATAAAAGAAAGGAATACTAAGAAACATGATGTCGATGTTGAACTTCCAACAAATACTGCATGAAGATCGATGATGAGCTAAAGGTTTATATAGTAGGTAATCATATAAGAATACTATGCGCTGTGCATAGGCTACCGAATCTTATGTTCATTATGTTCACATAACGTTTGCAAATGGTGACCGACTACTCATCCATAAAATCTCTCCGGCAGCGCATCGAGTGGGTTATAGCGGTACAAATTTTGGGGAGGCACTCCCACAATTCCCGTGTTTCTGCGAAGAGTTGTGCAGCTAAAGTGGAGCCATCACGCGCAAAGGCACGAATGCTGAATGACATGACCAGCCAGTCGCCTTGCATATCGCAACCTTCAATCGTGGCGGTGAAATGAAACACAGCCCTGTCGTACTCGCTTGCAGTGAGCTTGATGGATGCAGAGTCATGAGATCTGTGGACAAATGTGCGCTGCAGGCGAGGGCGAGGTCGAAAGCAACTACATGCTCGATGGTTAGGTGATCGAAGATCATTGAATACCGTTGGGCAGTGTCATAATGGAAGGCGCGTATCTCTCGTAAACAAGCTGAGTCAGGGGGTAGCAACAAATCTCGCGCATAATGTCGAATAGGCGCGAGCATCTTAATGAAGTTGTCTTGACGGTAAACGAGAGCCTGTATAGAACATCGCATACAATGTTGATTTGCAGGAGCGACGGCAACAAATCGCGAGCGAGGGGGCCATCAAGACTCTAGGGCGAACGACGACGGTCAGAGCACGGCGACCATCATCGCCGAGATCCTGGATGGATGGCGAGCTGAGCGACAGCTGCATGGTGTTTGACAAGCTTTGGAGCTTTCCGTTTCCGGGATCGAATACCTTGCTTTGCCTATTGCCCTATCTCTTTAGCAATGTCGCTGGAGACCAGCCGTTTTACTGTACGGCATTTTCGAGTAGGTTGATGGAAAGAGGGTGGAATTTCAATTCCTTGAGCAGGTCCTTTATGTCTTCCTCGGCATCGCTACGACTGGCGCGGTGATATAATTGAAAGAATGCTGCTTGAGCAAAACTCGAGTCCAGTGGTAGAATATCCTTTGTTACCCATAGCACGTTCGGTGCATGCCTTCTACTACGCGACGTGAGAATCAAAATGACATCCGGGATGTCTGCAATTTTAGCAATTGCGGGTGGTATTTCTCCGAGCGCCGACGATTCACGGGCCTCCTCGAAGGTCTCAGCAGTATCCAGGACAACGAGAACGCTGGCAAAACGGGGAGATGTTGATATCTGACGCACAGGATGAGCGCCAGTAAACTCTATGCCAAGGGCTCCTACAAAACGAGTCATAAATGTTTAAAAAGTGATGGTTGACGGATCCAGGCCATCGTTGATCACAAAGAAGCGCCTATCAGCAAATTTCTCTATGATAAGCAGCTCGTGGAGGATAGCTTTGGCAAAAGAGCTCTTCCCAATACCTCCGGGACCGATCAACGCGGTATGCTCATATTGACGACGGGGTTTGTCAACTCTGCTACGGGATACTCACGCCCATAAAACATGGGGGTCCGTGGTGGTAGCACTGGTGGATAAGACCAGATTGCATTTCAAAGATGCGAATCGACCCACGAAAAGACGACGTGCGTTACGACATTATCGGATATTAGCAACTTTGCCCTCGAGTTCGGATGCCATCTTCTTCACAATCTTCATGTCGATCCCGATGCCAGCGGTTGCTTCAATCTTTATTCAGCAGGAGAAGTTTGGGTGAAGTTACAGATCCGTACCTTGAAAAGTGCGATGAAGCGATCTAAGTCATTTTCCCATACAACAATCCGGTCGCGATCGATCGTGACAGAGAAAAGCCTGTGCTAAAATCGTTTCTCCTTCTTTGAGGCTACTTCATTATTGATGCTGTTTACTGATCTGCACGGCATCAGTTTTCGATGGCAATTCAATCGCCTTGGCTTACACTCACGCGTTAAGCTCCTCCAAAGCATCCTCGTAGATCGTCTTCGGTAGCATCCTTTGGTTGCTCTTTCAAAGACTTTCCTGATATTTTCGCACTTCCTGACCATCGCCAGGAAATAGGACTTGTTCCTGATTCACTGACTGTACAGATTAAGGATCCCTTCATGAAACTTGCCAGTATTCCGCCAATGCACCTGTGCAAGAGCGAGTCTAAAGTTTGCGATCGTTCCAATGATACCTTTCGCGAGGTCGATAGGAACAAGGTCTTTCGTAGCATTGATGGCTGATATAGTGACGCCTAGCAGTGAAATCACGTAGTCGTCCTGGGTCCCTGGTTTCAGAGGCAGAATTAGATATACACCATGATCCATCGATATGCGCCTTCTTGCCTTTGGGATTCTAGACCTTCTAGAATTAGGCTTGTCATTGGTCCAGGATACCATCGCCTGAGTCCTTGTGGAAGAGCGTCACAGATCAACTGCGCGCCTCAGCTTGCTTCGAGCCAGTCCTGGAGGGCGAGAAACTGCACAACATACCTAGAAGGAACACCTATCTTCCTTCTATTGGGTCTGCCTACGGGAGACTACAGCATACCATACCAGCGTTAGCTACCATATGTGCTTCCAAGCACAAAGAACTCCAGCGAACCTGTTGTCACGTCATGTAATGTCACTTAAACGCGCATGTCACATTGCGTTGTCACGCCTCATCCCCATGTTGGATGACGCGACGTTGAATCTCAGGTCATAACGGCAAGTTCTTTTCGCCCCCTTACTCCCTTGGATACCAAGTGTCGCCAGCGCGCTGTATGGCTAATTGCGGCACGTCGTGATAAAAATAAAATCGACATTCCTGACTAAACCCGTCAAGTCCCATGAGGAAAGAAGGATTGAGTAGGACAACGTGTAGGGATGGAATTCAGTTGGCTCGTTCTTCGAGAGCACTAGGCCGAAATGCTAGCTGGAATCAGATAGATTACTCAGAAGCATGTCCTCAGGGCTCAAGGTTTGAATCAGAAACTCAAGCCGTTCAGCATACTCAGCAAATTCCACCCCAGTTGACGCTCTGATGTTGGATACCGCATGCGCACGGGGCCGACTCCGAATCAGCAAAGAATATGTTCGACCACAACCTACGGCAACCAACGACTGTAGAACCAGCGCTTGTATGCGTACATACACGAGAAGAGCTTCATACCCGAAGACGAAGTGAACCCGTAGATGAGGGCGAGCTCAAGGCTGGATCATGACCGACTGGAATCGGATTGATATGGAGTCATTCTATGAGCTCGGACATGAAGTGTGAACGATTTGAATGCGGACAGGTTTGTCAGGGCTCAGGGCTCACGACTGGTTGACTATCAGGGAAAGTCCAAGGGATGAAAGCAAGCTGGTGGGACGTGGAGAGGTCGACTTTGCACAAGTCGAGATTTGGTGCGCAGGGAAGTGGAAGTGGAGGATGTGTATGTAGCCAGAGGTAAGCGAAAGGGTCCTTGGCCTTAGAGGGTGACGTGAATTAGCAATGGCGCCTCGAGGTAACGCGAGTGATCCGGTACGTACGCACTTCGAGCGTGAACCGTGATGACTCTCGAAGTACAATCTCCCTTGACAACCTTAAACCATGGCTGGAACCTACAACTTGAAGCCGGAGTCAAAGTCCAAGCTTCAAAGACAACCACACAGAATCCCCCAAAGGCAAGTAGGATTGGACTCCATAGTTTTGCAGGACAATGAACTCGAGTTTTGGTCCACCACAGATAGCTCTGCGCTATGGCTGGTTTACTGCTGCTTAAATATGTTGGAGCATTTGCATCCTCTTGACTTCCAATTTGTTCCTACCCCAGTACCTGATCTTAATTACCCCCTGAAGAGAATACTTCTATCGCTATGATATCGCTCGATACTAAAGATCAGAACCAAACCCAAGTTCCCGCAACTTCCACCCTCCCAGACGAGAAGGGCAAGGGAAAGGAAGTCGATTTTTCTGTGGTCTCCGACACTGAAGAATGGGGAGATATGTGGGCCGAGTGCAACGCTCTAGGAACATTTCAATGTGACATGGTGAATGTACCAGCCGGAAATGTCGGTACTACTAGCATAATCCCAACCGCTGCTGCCTCCCTCGAGTCGTCTCTCATGGCCCCTTATCCCCCTCCACCTTCTCTCCCCAACGACCCCTCGTGGCCCCAGATCCATAACTTTCGCGATCTGTCTCTCATTCCCACATACCCCTCTCCACCTTCTCTCGTCAGTGACCCCGCATGGCCCCAGAATCTCCGCAATCTCCATGAATATTCCCCTCGCCTCGCCTCGCAATACGAGCTTACACAAATCGAGGTTGACAATCAGCCGCCCGAAGACATTCTTGGACAGTTCCAGCCAGACATGGAATACGAAGGTTTTCCCCTCATAGAAGAGTTTTCAGGCCCGACGATGTAAGTGATCTGCGCTTCGATTGTGAATCATGATACTGACGGTCAACTGAAGTATTTACGATCAATTTATGGTCTGCCCATACACAGCCATGCAAGGGGCGGAAGTAAGCCTCAGCGACTGGATATGAGATAACGTGAGTTATCCGTGCTGCGCTCGAGCGCGAATCATGGTACTTACTTTAAATCAAAGTGAACCGTGACAATTGTTTATGATTCTATGAGATCAGCGGTGATGAAGGGGTGTGAGGTTTTAGCGGAGACGTGGATAGAAAGAAGAACAAGAATACTTGTGTATATACTTACATTGAACTCATAACGCTCACAAGGTGTGAACAGATAGTGCGCTGCGACTGGTTGGCTTTGAATTCGGCCTGGCTCGCATGAGAATGAGCGAGGGAAGGAACACTTCAAGATTGGCATTTGAGCGAGCAACGTAGTAAGGCTCCCTGTATTGGTGAGTAAGGCTGTTCTAGTATGGCACAGTACCGGTCTTAGCGTTGGGTTTGTTAAACCTGCCACTCACTCAGATGACGGAGGTTAGGGCTGCCCGTCCCCCGAAGTACATAGTGTCCCCCGACAACCTTGCATCAAATGAAGATGACTACAGTTGAACCGACGACGTGAGGCGTGAGTCAAGGTCCAAGAGCAACCAACCACACCGCATCCCCAAAAGGCAGTAGTATTGGTCCTTTGTGCAGGATAATGAACTCGAGCTTTGGTCCATCGCAGGTGGCGTAGCGCTGTGGCGCTTTGTCGTCTGTTGTTTTAACAGTCAAGGATCTGTCTCCTCGTTGACTTCCAATTTATTCCTCCCCCGCACTTGATCTTGATTACTTCCAAAAACGCTGAAGAGAATACTGAACATCAGAACCCAACGCACCGTGCACCTTCCGCCATCCCAGACCCGAAGGCCAAGGCCAAAGCACTCGATTCATTTACTACCTCCGACTCTGAAGAACCCAGAGATAATAAATGGGCCGAGTACCCTTTCCCATGCGAAATGGTGAGCGCACCAGCCGAATATGCCCGCTGCTGCCTTGCTCGATTTTTCTCTCATGCTCACCTGTCCCCTTTCACCTTCTTTTCCCGATGACCCCTTGTAGTCCCAGATCCACAACTTTCGCAATCTGCCCCTCATTCCCACATATCCCTCCCCACCTTCTCTCGTCAATGACCCCACATGGCCCCAGAATCTCCGCAACATCCATGAATATCCCCCTCACCTCGCCTCGCAACACAAGCTTACACAAATCGAGGTTGACGATCAGCTGCCTGAAGACATCCTTGCACAGTTCCAGCCAGACATGGAATACGAAGAAGGGTTTCCCCTCGTGGAACAGTTTTCGGGCCCAACAATGTGAGTAATCTGTGCTGCGCTCCAATTCAATCATGATACTGACGATCAATGGAAGTATTTACGACCAATTTATGGTCTACCCATACACAGACATGAAAGAGGTGGAAGTAAACCTCAGTGGCTAGAGTATCCAAGAACGTGAGTGATCCATGGTGCGCTCGAGCGTGAATATTGATACTTACTTTCAATCAAAGTATATACGCATCGCAACAGTCGATGTCGTCGACATGATACTATGAGATCAGCGGTGATGAGGGGGTATGATTTTTCGGAGATGTGCAAAGAAGGGGGAAGAGATTAGGGTATGATGTGTTCCAACACTTACGGAAGAAGTGGCTACATAGAAAGAAGATCATGAATATGTATAAACAATGAGAAACCCGTAACGCTTACGAGGTATGAGCAGATAAGACGCTGGAGCGTTGGTTTTGAATTCGGCTTTTCTGACATGAGCACGATATCACGAGGGAAGGAAAACTTACAGGGTCAGCAAGGCTTGAATAAGGTTGTTCCAGTATACAGGCACTCAGCGACAGCGCCGATCTTGCGTTTGGCTTGTTGTACCTGCCACTCAATATCACAAAGGTCAGCGCTGTCGCCGACGACAGTAACTACGAATATGAAGAGGAGGGGCAAGACGAGGATGATGACTGTTGGGGGTGCGGGGGCGGGGGCGGGGGCGGGGACGAGAGTGAGGAGGAGGAGCCATCTGTGTATGAGTCTTGGAATGGCCCTCGTGGTGAAGAGACGGAGGGACGGTGGTGGCGAAGAGCTTACGCGAGGGAGAAGAGAGCTCTGGCGAAGCAGAAACCCTCGTGGGCTTGAAAGGGGTTCGGGATCCCACAACGTGAGTGATCTGCAGCTTCGAAAGTGAATTGTAATACTTACTAGTCAAAAGAAGACTGTTCATGTCATCGGTGTGATACGATGGGATCAGCGGTGATGGGGGTGCGATATTTGAGCGGGAGATCTGGATGGAAAAGGGGATAGATTAGAGATAGAATTCCCGTGATGCGTCCGAATACTTACGGGGGAAGAGCATGGATATGTGTATGTCATGCGACTTGGACGAGGAGAGTGAAGAGGAGCAGGATGTGGGTGGTGGGAATTCGTGCGACGGCGACGACGATTTTGAAGAAGACCAGTAATACGAGGAATGCGAGTCTTGGAGCGGCAGTGCTGGCGAAGAGGACCAGTCAGACATGCAAGATGAGGAATGTAGCCGCCCCCGCGTGGAACAGTTTTTAGGCCCCATAACGTGAGTTATCCGTGCTGCGCTTCTTCTCCAATACCTGTATACCTCGTTTTGACTGGGATCCGATCAGGAAGAAGAAGACGAGTATTGGAGCGGCGACGACTACCAGTGTTAAGAGGGCCAGCAATACGAGAAGTATGAGTGGAAAGGTGGTGCTGGTGAGCATGAAGAGGATCAGTCAGACATGCAATTCCACGAGGGGGCGACTATATTCTTTATATTCTGCATACGAAGAAATCGCCGCCCCCTCGTGGAACAGTTTTTTGACCCCGCACACTTCAATTGACTGTAAGTATCACGATTCATGTTCGAAGCGCAGAACACTCACATTGTTGTGGAGCCCCAAAGCGGTTTCAAGCTCCTGAGGCTTGATTCCTCATCTTCCATGCCATTGGCTGGCTGGCCTTCTTCACCGTTTCGACACAAACAGTAGTGACGGTTCATGCACACTTCATATCCTTCAATTGAGATTGAGCGTCGGTATGACGATTCATGTCTGAAGCGCAGCACAGATCACTCATATTGCACGAGCCGCTACTACTGTTTATGCCGTCGCGATGATACTATGGGATCAGCGGTGATGAGGAGGTGCGATGTTTGAGCGGGAGATGCGGATGGGAAAGGGAGAGATTAGAGTTAGGGTTCTTATGATGTATTTGAATACTTATGGGGGAAGAGCCTATGCATATAGAAGAGTGAATATGTGTGCGAAACCGATGAGGTTCGCGAGGCATGAGCGGATAGTGTGCTGCAAGTGGTTGTCTTTGAATTCGGTCCGACCGAAATCGAAGTGAGCGCGGTGTTACGAGGAGAAGCAAAACTTACAGCATTAGCAAGGTTTGAGTCGACATACATAGTAGCGCTTCTTGTGAGGCTGTTTGAGTGCACAGCGAACTCGGCGGCAGAGCACCGATGTTGCATTAGGCCTACTATTCATTAATATCAGAGGTTGGCGCTGTCGCCGAGCCCGAATTTGGCTCGAAAAGGATGTGGAAAGGCAGTTCGTTGACTGCTGTGTTGCTGATGGGAACGTTATCGAAGGACGACTGGAATGAGGGATGTCAGAATCAGAACAAAGAGAAATTGCGACATAGCAAAAGAAGTAAAGTCACGAAAGAGGAATGATAGAAGTTGCATAGCACTGAAGCAATGCGCCACAGGATTGGGCCTGGTCACCATGCGCCGCAATCACCTGTAGGATGTGAGTGTGAATGTGAGTGTGAGCGTGAGCGTGAGACATGAGGAAGCTGTGACCACGATGCTGTCGTGCTGTGCATTAGTTAATCTAATGGGCGACGGACGAACGAGATAGCGAGATAGGTTGGCGTTGATACTAGTTATGCACTAACTAGAGTACCGGCGCTAGCTCATCCACCGCATCAGGGCTGTTGAAGATAGGAGGAGAAAAGCTGGTTGATCGTTAGTATTTAGAGCACGGAGATGCGGACGCTGATCGGTGCCGGTGAAGATCCGAAGTTGATGAGAACGTAGTGGAGTGGGATGTGAACTTCTGTGAAGAGGTAGAATGAAAATGAAAGGAAGGGCTTGGCTGGCCATGGAGAAAGGAAGACGTATTTGTATGGGCGAGCCGTGGATGCCAGGTACGTACGCAGCACAAAATTGATTGGAACATCAGCTGATAATCGTCACTACATAAAAGAAGACCGAGTAAAGAACTTACACGAGGAGAAGGCGAGGCGAGTTGATAAGATAGAGAACAAAGCCTGCAACCACGTGTTAGGGTACTTGACTGAGACTCTGGTCATCGTCGGTCCGAGACTTGTTCGGATGGAACTACGGAACTCGATGTCCGTGCTCATATAAATCAAGTCAAGCGACTTTGCACACGACTAGTATATCTCTGATCGTTATCCTTGATGATGAGCTAAAGGTTAGCGTAAGTGCCTCGTTGTTGCGGCGCGGCGTACCTTCTAATACATGATAGCACAGCCACGATATCACAGAACAAAAAGCGCTGCTGTCAATTGAATATTCGCACGCCTCTCTGGCAGGCAGACCGTGCTTCGATCTTAGTTTTTTTCTCTCGTTGTACTGAGAACCTGCCATTGTAGTGCACGGACCTCATGTTCTCCGTCGCCAGTGCCGCCGACGCTCTTCTCGGTGTGCGCGTCGCGTCGCCCACCGTCGTCCTCATCGCCACTCTCTCCCTCATTTCCTCAAAGCGCATCTGTCCACCTTCTCCTAGTCCAATAACGCCCGTTATCGTAACATCACGTATTCCCCGCAGAACTCTCATCCTTGCCCTACTCAGTCTCACCGCATTCACCTTTCTCGCAGACGGTCTTGCATACGTGGTCGATGTTGTCTTGAATAAAGTCTGGCCCCAGGCCACTGGCATCGAGATTGCAAGCTTGCTGGGTTTGCTGGCCTATGCTGGTTTGGCAGCTCTTGGCGCGTGGAAGGACGCGAATGACGCCGAGATCTGGAATCGCAGACGCGTCAGGGCTGCAATTGCTGTCGCTCTCGCTCTCGATATCGTCCAGGTCGTCTTCGTAGCCCTATCCTTCAAGGGGACAGGTACGTCGCTTCCATCATCAATTCATTTACCTTATCAATCAAATTCCCTTTTTGTCCAACTCTATTACAGACCCACATCACATATGCACGTCACCCCTCCGGTCGTGCATACCCAATATTCTCCATGGTGTCCTGCCTCTCGCACGTGTTCTCGTGCTCTTACCTCTCCTACTCACTTTCTTCTTCCCCCGCGTCATATACCTGTCCGTATCAAACGGTTACACAGCAGAGGCAGATGAGACCGCACCTCTCATATCGGAGCGTGACTCCTGCGTGCCTCATGATTCTCTACTTTTGCAACCAGAAGATAACGACAACGACCCTGACGGTCCGAGCACTGCGAAATACGGCACCTTCACATCCAGAAGCGGTCCTACAACCCGCAGCCGCGTCCCCAGTTCCAGGCGTGCGAGAATCAAAGAAGGTGAGGCTCCTTGCATCCGTAACAGGCACAATCTAACTCATTCCCAGACAACCCCGCACGAAGTGGTCGTTGATCCTTCCTGGCGTGAACTATTCATTCGTATATCTCACCTTACGCCTCATCTCTGGCCTTCCCGCTATCCAAAGTTGCAATTCGTCGCTGTAAGTAATTCCATGCACTTTGTTACCTTAATTAAAGCTTTCTAGTTCATCTGTCTGCTCATCCTCGTTCTCGGACGCATCGTCAATGCATTGCTCCCACTCACCCTCGGTGCGCTCATCAGCACATTCGACACCCCTGGCGCCGCTCCCTTGCCTGCATTCGGTTCCAGCCCGTGGCCATACCTCATCTCATACGTCCTCCTCCGCTTCCTCTCCTCCTCTGGCGGTCTCGCAGCCATCCGCGACGCACTCTGGATCCCACTGATGCAATACTCGGACAGAAGCATGAGCATGCTCTCATTCAACCACATTCTCGCTCTCTCCCTCAGCTGGCACACCAAACGCAAGACCGGTGAATTACTCCGCATTCTCGACCGAGGAAGCGCAGTGAACCGCGTTGGCGAGCTTGTTGGGTTCACTGTATTGCCTGCACTCGTGGATGTGGTCGTTGCGCTGGTTGTGTTTGTCGTGAGGTTTGAGCCTGCGCTGGGTGTTGTGGTTGGGGTTGTGATGGTTACTTATATGTGGGCAAGCGTGGTGTTGACGAGGTATCGGACGAGGATACGGAGGCAAATGAACGAACGGGATGTGGTGGGTGCTCTTCCATCTTTATTTTACATGAAGCTGATGGACATGCGCAAAGGTCACTCGCGGGATTCACACCGACTGTCTCCTTAATTACGAGACGGTTAAGTATTTCGGCGGTGAAGAGTACGAGGCTCAGAGATATACTAACGCGATCGGAGAATATCAAACTTTGGAGAAGAGAGTCGTTCGTAAGTGCTACTTTCTTATCATCGCATCACAAACTTGAACGCTAATCTCCTTCCGTAGTTTCTCTTAACCTCTTGAACCTTGTGCAAACTCTGATCATAACCTTGGGTCTCTTGGCTGGTTCTTTGATCGTTGCGCTGCGCATCACGAGGGGCCAGAGCAATACGAGTGATTTTGTTGTGTTCATCACTTATTACGCGCAGGTGGGTCCTCTCGTAGGCTTTCATTGGCGGATTGCTGATATCTTTTTGATCACACTAGCTCTATTTCCCACTCTCGAATCTCGGTGGCGTATACCGTGCTATCAACCAAAGTCTTATCGACACTGAGAAACTCCTCAACCTCCTTGCTGAGCCTACCGAAGTTGTCGATGCACCCGATGCAAAGGAACTTGTAGTCGAAAATGGCGAAGTCGAGTTCGGTATGCAACCCACCCTTCCTTTCTCAATACCCATGCTAACCACCACCATCACACAGAAAACGTCTCCTTCTCGTACGACGACCAAACCACCGCACTGCACAACATCTCCTTCAAAGTCCCCCGCGGAGGCCGCGTAGCCCTCGTCGGCGAAAGCGGCGCAGGCAAAAGCACCATCCTCCGCCTCCTCTACCGATTCTACGATCTCCAACCAGGTAACGGCCGTATCCTAATCGACGGACAAGATATCCGCACGGTTACGCTCTCAAGCCTGCGTCGTGCAATCGGCGTAGTACCCCAAGACCCCATCCTCTTCAACGCCACTATCGGTTACAACATCGCCTATGGCCAACCCTCCATCCACCCACCCCCCGAAAACACCATCATCACCTGTGCGCAAGCTGCGCAGATGCATGAGCGGATCATGAGTTTCCCCGAGGGGTATGAGACGAAAGTTGGGGAGAGGGGTGTTAGGTTGAGTGGGGGCGAGAAGCAAAGGGTGGCGATTGCTAGGACTATGGTGAAGAACCCGAGGGTGTTGCTTCTGGATGAGGCGACTAGTGCGTTGGATAGTGCGACTGAACGTGGGGTGCTGGAGGGTGCGCTTGGGAAACTTGTTGATGGGAGGAGTTGTTTGAGTATTGCGCATCGGTTGAGTACGATTAAGGGGGCTGATTTGTGGGTTTTTTTCTTCTCTTCGCTTTGGCTTTGGGCTTTGGAACGGTGCTGATTGTGTCATGCAGGATTATGGTTCTCAAAGACGGACGTATCGTCGAACAGGGCTCACATAAAGAGCTTGTCGGACTCAACAGCCTTTTCGCATCCATGTGGGCAGACCAAATCAGCGCATCCGAAGATCCCAAACCCACAGCAGGCTACGATGCCGGTGTCGGTACCGATGACGATGCACCTGTCGTCGACATCCCCGAGTCCGAAACACTTAGCATGGCAGTAGTCGAAGATCGCATTGCCGTCGACTCTCCGCAGGTCGTAGCAGCGTCCCTGGAATCCAAAGCAGACTCCCCTGCACCTGTAGCATTCCCCATCTCAGACGACGCACCTTGCGCTTCCTATTCAGCTTCAGGTTCTGATCCTACAGCGCTAGCGTTCCCTACGACAAGCATCTACTTCCGACACGCCTTCTGTCCAGAGCCACAGCCATCCCGAGCGGTCAGCTGTTCCTATACATGTCCAAGGCGCGAGCGTTACCTTCGATGCGGGTGTAGCTACGCCCCCTCGCACCGGCACGCCTGAACCTGGATCATCTGGGAGTGGAAGGAGAGGACTCTCGACGCAGAATATCCAAAGACTTGCGAGGAAGATGAGTTTGAGCGGAAAGGCTCCGAAATTGCCTAGTCTTCCTGGGGTGTTGAGGCGGGAAACGAGCGTGGTGAGCAGTTCTGCGCCTGTTACTGCTAGTGGGAGCGCGAGGGAGAGTGTGGATGAGGGGCATCAGGAGGTTTCAAAGAAGGACGAGAAGAAGAAGAAGAGGAAGAGTTTTATTTAGATGACGCGTTGATTTCTTTTATTTTTTCTTTCTCTCCTTTCTTCGAGGTTGCCTTGCCTTGTCATGTGTTCTTTGATGATCATTTACTTTTGACGACCTGCGACGACTCACATCATCTCATCATTTTTCTGACATGCATTTTTCAACCATCTGTCGTTTTTTGCGGCTTGGATTTATGTTTTCGATACGTGCTGTATTGATATCACTCGGTCAAATGTCTGCTTTGGCTGTTCACGTGGTTCTTGCATCGTGATTGATTTACATAAATTGATGTTGGCTGGTAGCTTGCTCTGACGTCGTAACCCGGCTGCTGCTTGCTTCAGCGCTGGATTTCACCGCTTGCTGGGTCTAATACCAATAGGTCTCTAAGAAGCAGCTTGAGACTGCAGTAAGAAGGAAAGACTACCTTCGTTAATATTAAGTCGTCCAGTCTAGGGATCGATACTAGGCGAAGTCCTGTCACCTGTTAAGTCTTCGAATCACGTCTTTTGCTAGACTCTCTTCCATCCCGCAGCGTTTCGTGAGGACGCCGAAAACGTCTGACTTGCTTGGACGCCCCGTTGAGAGGTCTTTCGACTTTCCAATGAACCTGCTAAGCCACCCTTCCCCTCCATCCCTGCTAAGCCACCCTTCCCCTCCATCCCAGTTCTCCACCTCATGCACATGGCGTCTGATCAAGTCGCCCACTGCTTCTCTGGACGTGTTGTACTTCTTCTTGTATCTTGGGTCCATATTTTCGGCCGCAGTGATACAAGCATGATCAATACACTTGACCGCATGGCGCTCGAACGACCCCTTGTTTCGCGTGTACCACTCATCCATGGGATCCTCCCTCTCCAGGTGAGTAACGACGAGCGCAACTGGTATCTTCTCCTCGAAGAGAAATTCATAGAATAGCCTGTAGATGGCAGCAAACGATGGTTGTATCCTGCCCGCCTTCATGCAGTATAGCAGCAGATGGGGTCCTCCTTTCGTCTTCAGCTCTTTCATCAGCTTGTGAGCATTCGTGACGGCGTCAAGAAATCCGACAGGGTCCATGCGGTCGTCGTCGATCCCGGCAGTATCATAGATGCGATATGGCACGTTGCCGATGATGACATCATATGCTTCATAACGCAATGTACAATGCCTGGTGTCTAGAGAGGTCCTAGCGACCTTCCTCCTGGCGAGGAGGTTGATGATGGAGCTTTTCCCGACGTTACTCTCTCCAAAAATGATTATAGTTTTTATGCCAGAGGATCGAGTGACTTCTACTGCCCCTGGACGAACATTGTTCATTGCAGAGGGTCGAGGGACTTCTGCTGCCCCTAGACGAGTGTTGTTCATTGCAAAGGGTCGAGTGACTTCTGTTGCCCCTGGACGAATAGTATTCGTTGCAGAGGATTGAGTGACTTCCGCTGCCCCTGGACGATCCACGGGGTCCCAAGACCAGCATTTTTGTATTAAGTTCCAGTGATTGTCAAGAATGCTGTCGGGACGCGCATGCATGGTTCGTTTCGATAGCTCAATCGTAATTTGATGCGAATGCCTCTTCTCTTTCCATGGTGCATCACCCGAGATGATCTGAGTAGTGAAAGCTTAACATAGAGCCACACGAAAAACGAAAAAAAAACTCGCACAAAGAACATGACGCTACCAAATGAATAGACGTCACTCTTGAAGGTAGGTCTTTCAGGGTCACGCTCGATTCCAATCACTTCAGGCGCACGCCATCGGGAATCTAAAGTGCGGGTCGCAGTCATCGTGGACAATTGCAGGTCTGCGTCTCCTGGGACTGCCGCGAGACCAAAATCAGTGAGACGCGGACTCCCCGAACCATCTATGAGCACATTCGCCTGTGGCATATGAATGAGTGCGACATCCACGAAGAGGCGACCAGACATACAGGATGAAGGTCACCATGAACGACATTCTCTGAGTGAACTGCCAGGACAGGAATCAAGAATCAAAATAACGAGATGATGGGAATCAACGAACGATATTTCAGACCTTCAGCGACACCCTTGGCCTAGTTGCATCAAAATCGATGAATACTTGTTGAATGTGATTGATGCGAGCAAGGAACCCACCAAGCCATCTCTAACGGAAACGGTAAGGGTTGTAGCTTTCTCGAGGTAGACATATAATGTCCCAAATGGCATCCATTGTGAAACGAGAGCCGGAAATGGAGAGTCAACGTTTGCAGTGCCGAGTAGTGGCACGATGGTCGCGTGTTTCAGTCGAAGCCACACCTTGGTTTCTCGATGTATTCCCTACATAGACCATGTTGAGTGATTTGATCAGCGCACACCAGAAGACTGACTTTGTTAATTCTTTCCATTTCTTTTCCGGCATCGATCTTGAACACCTTCACTGCGACCTGATAGATATTAGATGGACGAGCTCGGGCAAGCGGGGCAGACAAACCTCCATCGTGCCTTTGCTGGACTGGATGGTACGCCGATGCACCACGCCAAAGGCGCCAGCGTCACAAGAAGTTTCGAGGTTCAATGTCCCAGAAATTTGAGATGTAAAGTCACTAGGGGTACTATTGCAAAGGATGATGAATGGTCAAGCTTCGATGATTGTATGGGAGTGGACTCACTCATCAGACGCAGGTTCCGTCATGCGAGGCGTCAGAGTACCAGAAGTCGGGGGTGGTACGCGAAAGCCAGCCTGACTCTGAGCGAGCCAACTCTCATCAGGAAGTGGGTCAATCTCTTCTACAGGCACATATATCCCGTCTGGCCCTCTCTGGACTTCGGAGAAATAATGCGCATCCTGTGTAGCGTCAGGCTCTTGTGTGAATCACTTCCGGCCTCAGGGGAAGCATAAACTATCATGACTCACCTTACGGGCTCTGCGTTGAGCATGCCAGCCCGCGCTATCCATGAAATGGGAGGGTCAATTCGTATGGTGTCAGGTGGTTGGTAGGCGGGTTTCAAGAACTAATTTCGCGATGCGACCTTTCAAGTCGATGCCAGGCGCTCACCGTGACCGGAGTTTATACACTCATAAGGCATGTTTGCAGTACGGTGCCCATGCAGCAGTGATGTGGTAATTTACATACTTATGTAAGCGTCAGTTGTTCGCTTCCTCATGTAGTGCTTACTTCAATCCATGCATTTTACAGAGTCAGTCATATATATGTTATAACTACAGACTCCGGAGCAAAGTACAGACGGTCTACAAATTTCGAACGAGCTCTAGGAAAAGTACGATCCTCCCATTTCAAAATTGTCCTTGCTAACAAGCTGCGGTTGTCACTGAAGACAGGAACTTTGCAGGGACTTGGTGAAATTATCCACGACACGGTTAGTGTCAATAGTATGCTGGAGCTCTCAAGTACATTAATGTTACGCTGCTGGCAGCTGATTAGTAAAGCATTCAACCCCTTTGAATGGTTTTTTCCTATCAAAATTGTTCATCGCTCCGACTATGACTATTCTTCCCCTCAGTCTCCCTAACTCCAACTCCGTGTTTCATGGTGCGTATAACCGATGTCTAGGCTCGCATACTCGGACCGCCCGTGCTCACATGCGCTCGACTACTGGGTTGCATGTTAATATATGCCCTAAGTGCCTTTGTTTATGACAATATCGCCAGCGACATTCCTAGCTGTGCAGATGACTTCTCTATGTTGAAATTTTTTACTTTAATCATTTGCTCTGTTTGTGAGTGTTACAGTTAGTTTTGTGTGTACGAACTGACATTTTGAACTTGCAGTCAATTATCCCGAGGAGTCTTAATATTTCGGATATTCGACCCTTCCACTTGTCGAGGTAGCATAACGTTGATTGCAAGTCGAGCACAGCTCGCGCTATCGTTGGCTAAATTGCAATTTTCTCTTGAAGCTATGACTGGCTACATGCCTGCATGACTTGAGCCGCAGCTTCCGAGCAATCTGTCCAAGGCTGCGCGTGTTTTGCTTTCAGAGCCTTGGAGGCTACTGAGTGATGTTAACTTGTCAAGCACCATGCCGTTTGCAGCTTGATCATTTTCATGTTATATGCATCCTGAGGCTCCATCTTTGGTGTGACGATCTCTGCTATCATCATAAGGGGCACAGTGAAATTCGCCGCCAGTCAAGATGAAGTCATTAGCTTAGGCTAGCTAGCTCGCCTGTACAACGGTAAGTAGTCACGATCTGCATGGGATACGGAAATAGCTTCTGAGGATGATTCTTTGCCAGTGAACACTGAACCGGCCTCTCGCCCTGAACCGCCATATCCTTAGCTTCACGAAGGAAGGGTATCTCATGGAGTGGCTTCCTATAATATTTTGAGACTCTTATCTCATTATTAATATCAGTTACGGAGAGCCTTCTATCCGTCTTATCTCTTGTGAAAAGTGTTAGGCCTCAATACCTTTTCGCCCTCGTCCAATTCCATCTTCAACGAGCCACGACATGACACATTGGACTGCACTTGTCGCAGAGAAGCAGCAGAGGCAGCTGAAGTCCATTCCACAAGACTGGCTTGTGTCTCCGCCTCCAGACTCTACTCTAGACGTGACCGGATTCCCGGATGCGTGCGGCCTTCTAAATGCACGAGAAATCGAGATTACTAATACTTCGGTGGATGCTTTGTTGGACAAACTTTCGTGTGGCGAATGGACAGCTGTAGACGTGACCACCGCGTTCTACAAGAGGGCCATTGTTGCCCACCAGCTCGTGAGTTAATCTGCGTTAACATTCACGATGTTGCATTAACCGGCCAATGAGGTCAATTGCTTGACGGAAATTTTTGTTGATCGTGCATTAGCCCGAGCGGCTGAACTCGATGATCACTTTAAACAGACAGGGAAGGTTGTTGGTCCCCTCCATGGGCTGCCAATCTCTCTCAAGGACCAACTATGTATCAAGGGAATAGAAACCACTATGGGTAAGCAATGATCAATGATAACCCGGGCCCGACGCATTATGAATCGCTGGTCCTAGGTTATATCTCGTGGATTGGGCGGTACGCAGAGAAAAACGCGGTGCTGGTCGACATTCTGATCGAATGTGGAGCTGTGCCATTCGTCCGCACAAACCTTCCGCAGACAGTCATGGTGAGCGAACACTCGATACGATTCAAGTTGCTACTCAGGAGGCTAAAAGTATCGTCAGTGGCCAGAAACCTTCAATAATATCTTCGGCCGGACGACTAACCCATACAACCGCTCTCTGACCCCGGGTGGGTCATCTGGAGGAGAGGGCGCGTTAGTTGCCCTCAAGGGAAGCCCTTTGGGGGTGGGTTCTGATCTCGGGGGGTATGGAATGGATTTGGAAGTACCACTGGTAGTAACCTTCTGACGCCCTCTCAACAGTTCTATTCGTATTCCATCTGCATTCTGCGGCTTGTACAGCCTGAGACCGTCGTACGGGCGTGTACCGTACTGTGGCGCCCTCAACTCACTTGAGGGTCAAGATTCGGTTCTCTCCGTATTCGGTCCTATGGCGAACAGCATCGGCGGCGTCAAAGCCTTCATGAAAGCTGTTGTCAACGCTAAACCATGGCTCAAAGACCCTCTTGCGGTTCGGAAGAAATGGGACGAAGACGAGTACAATCTCGCAGACCATGGATCTGGCAAGGATTTATGTTTTGCGATCATGTGGGATGATGGCGTTGTCGTGCCTCACCCGCCTATCAGGAGGTCTCTAGAAGTCACCAAAGCGGCTCTCGAGAAGGCGGGCTACAAAGGTTTGACCGTCTAAGTCACTCTGTCGAATTATGCTCATTTAGTGGTAGTTGTTGACTGGAAGCCCATCAAGCACAAGTTGCTTACAGATACCACGGCAAGGAATTATGACTCTAACTATGGTGCCTATTGACCTAGCAGCTCCGTGCAGCGGAACATCCGGAACGCTGGTTCTGCCGAGGATTGCATGATCACGACCTCTGTTACAGGCGAACCAATAATTGCAACAATGGACCTGGACAACTCAGATGCTGCGGCAGCACCCTTCCGTCCGCCGAAGATGGGTATCACCGCATACCAGCTCTGGCAAGTGCAGAAACTGCGCAAAGATCTTCGGAAAGAATATCTTGACCACTGGGAAGAAACTGCGTCGGAGACTGGTACAGGACGGCCTGTCGACGCGATCATCTGTCCAGCCTCGTCGTACACGGCAACTCCCCTATGGGAAAAATAGGTCAGTGTCTTTACATATTCGGAATTTGGAATTATCAATGAGACACAATGCTCAGGTACACTAACTACACCGCTGTTTGGAACGCGCTCGACTATCCCGCTGCGACTTTCCCAGTAACCACTGTCGACCCCATTCTCGATGCGAAGAAGCCTCGTCACGCTTTTTATGACGACTTTGATAAGGGCGTTTACGAAATGTGTGAGTAGTCTACCAGCATTCAGTGATTATTTAATGGGCCGATGATTGATTCAGACGACCCGGAGAGATTCAAAAACACACCCGTCTGCTTGCAACTCGTCGGTCGGACTCTGGAGGAAGAGGCGGTTATAAAAATGACCGAAATTGTTGATGCGGCGCTGGCATCCGCCAAATAAATTCAAGGTATACCTAGAACATGCAACGAACGACACCTCACACTTAACATCACCCTCGATACATGTACATTCGCGATCTCCACAAATCAATCGTTGAGATAAATCATCATTGGGTATGGCTAGAAGTCTTGATTTATATAACTGAGACAGACAGACCAGCTAGAAACCTACCTGATCGGCAATTCTGCCAGTGTTTTCCATGTACCATGCGGCTTAATCAAGCTCATCACCTCCTCTAGGTATCTCCAATACAGTACAAGGCGTATAGAATGGCTCCCGGGAAGCGGGTGGAAGAATAATCCATCAGCTCGCTGTAAAAGCAAGTCAACCGGTAGTCATCTTGAGAAGTGCCCTCAATTAGCTCAGCCGTGTTGTACAGCACATGAGTGGTGCACGATGAGAAGCAAACAAGGTGATTAGTTGCAGGAGGTTGGTTGACATGATGCTACTGTCCTCGGCGGGATGCATGGTACGACTCTCGTGAGTCATTACCAGTGACTTCGGATCGAAGTAGCTGGTTGTGTCCACTTGGAAGACATTATACCATTCTTCATTCAGCAACACTTGTCAAGGCTCCCCATCGTTGAACGATTCAATGAAGCGCGCTAGCTTCGTCAGCTCAGGTGGTTGTTGTAGCCTAGGTGGTAACGTATGTACGTGCGAGGGAAGAGTCTATGAACCATGATAGCAGCAGTGGTAAGATTATACTAGGATTGATTTTCGCCTCTATTGATCTGCTGCGCCACCTGCTGAGCGACTTTCTTGGTCATTCCACATCGTTTTGTGAGGATCCCAATGATATCTGTCTTCTTGGGACGTCCAGCGACGAACTCCACGAGCTTGCTACCGGGACGAAGCAAGCCATCCTTGGCCTTCGGTCCACCCTTCCATTGATGCGTGGCAATGAGCCTGAACAACACTACAGGAGTAGTTTCTCGCGATTCCTCATACTTGTCTCTATGCCTCTCGTCGAGAAGATTCGCCGCAGTTATGCATGCGTGTCCTACGGACCGGATGTCATGCTTCTCTAAGTGGCCCATATTCCGCGTGTACCAGTCTTCCAGGTTCGTCTCTCTTTCGAGGTTTGTGACGACTAGCGCAAGCGGGACCTTTTGCTTCGCAGAAAAATTCGAAGAACAACCTGTAGTTGCCTCTGCATGGTTGCCGTGACTCTGCCTCCGCGTATACAGAAGAGCAAGAGGTTGATACCTCCACGCTCTTTCAAGGTGTTGATGAGGCCATATGTGTTTGTGATTGCGAAGAAGTGCTCCCTGGTTTGTAGACGGGGCCCCTCGAGGCTGGCCGTGTCAAACACCTGGTATCGAGTCCCCACTTTCGAAGGTTATCGTGTACTCCGACCAATGCAGAGTGCAGCAGGTGAGAGTCGGGCGATATGTGCGCTAATGTCTCGGCCGGCCATGAGGTTTATGACGGAGCTTTTGCCCGCCCCTGTCTCTCCGAAGATCACGATGTTCGTGCGTCTAATAACTTCCACTGCCCTTGGGCGACCCCCCGGGTCCCGAGACCAGCATTTTTGAATCAAGCTCCAGTGATCGTCAGGGATGTTGTCGGGACGTGCATGTATGGCTCCTTTTGATAGCTCAATCGAAATTTGATGCGAATGCTTCTTCTCTTTCCATGGTACATCCCCCGAGAAGATCTGAGAGGAGAAAGGTTAGAGTAGAGCTGCAGGAAACAGATAGGTCGCACAAAGAACATCACACTACCAAATGAATAGACATCACTCTTGAAAGTAGGCCTTTCAGGGTCACGCTCAATTCCGATCACTTCAGGCGCACGCCATCGAGAATCCAAATTGCGGGTAGCGGTCATCGTGGACAACTGCAAGTCTGCGTCCCCTGCGACTGTTGCGAGACCAAAATCTGTGAGACGTGGATTTCCTGAGTCATCGATGAGGATATTAGCCTGAGGCTTATGAATGAGTACGACATCCAAAAAGAGACGACCATACATACGGGATGAAGGTCTCCATGAACGACTTTCTCCGAGTGAACTGGATATGCATCAAAAACAGGAATAAGGACTGGATTGGAATGGACCAACGGTAGTCGAGGCCTTCAGCAACACCGTTGGCCTAGTTGCATAAACATCAATGAATGCTTGTTGAATGTGATCGGTGTGAGCAAGGGACTCACCAATTCAACTTTAGAGGAAGCGGTAAGGGTTGCAGCTTCCTTGAGGTAGACATCCAGTGTCCCAGATGGCATCCATTTGGAAACGAGAGCCGGAAACGGAGAATCGACCCTTGCGGTGCCAAGTAGCGGAACGATAGTCGGGTGTTTCAGTCTAAGCCACACCTTGATTTCTCGACGTATTCCCTACATAGATCATGTTAAGCGAAGGGCGACTCGATCATCACCCTCCAGTTAATTAGAAGATTGACCTTTTCAATTTTCTCCATTTCTCTTCCAGGATCGATCTTGAAGACTTTCACTGCGACCTGAAGGATAAATTGGGTGGACGAACTCGGGCACGTTGACCAGACAAACCTCTACTGTGCCTTCACTAGACTCGATGGTTCGCCGATAAACCACGCCAAAGGCTCCAGATGTATATGGATATCCGAGATCTAACGTCCCGGAAATTTGAGACGTAAAGTCACTGCGGGGGTCAAGAGGCTTTGATTATTGATGGGAGAAGACTCACTCTTCAGGCGCGAGTTCCGTCATGGGTAGGGAGGCAGGACTACTTTGCGGGAGGCGGGTTTCAGGAAGTGGAGTTTGTGATGTGGTCTTTTCAAGTTGATGCGCTACTACATAGCTAGGCGCTGACTAGAGTTTATAAGACGACCTGTAAAGCCATGCTGCAGACCGTTGTCCGAGAAGCGAAGATGGTATCATGATCACCTCGAGGCATATGCATGGATCCGTAATTAATGGTCGCTGCTGCAATTTCATAATATAATATGTACCGATCCATGCTATAGACCCTCTTACGTGTCCTTCATGACTCGTTACTTTTGCAGTGCATGAGGCCTTGAAAGAACACTCAAATTGGAGGTCGATAGAATTTTAACCTTCCCGTTATCCGAAGTTGTAATTCGTCAAGTCATCGTGCTGTGACCCGTCCAAAGATCTTTCCATCTGTGTCCCAGCACTGAACATCTCCATCTCCCTCCCGCACGCAACCATCTTGCCGTCCGGTGATAACCCCAGTGTAGTTATGCTTCCGCCCTCGCCTTACCAGAGCTCTCCAGCAAGAAGTTCTCTGTCGCAGTCCCATTTACGCATTTTGCCGTCTAGCGAACCACTCACGATGTGGAAGCAGTCGTGCAAGAAGACGAAATTGCGAATGTCATTCCCATGGCCTTCAAATTTGTGCTTCGGTGTTGGTCTTTTGATTGCGCTGGGGTTGAAGCTTTCTCGGGGGTTGGTTTCGTCGAAGATCCAGAAGCCATGGCTCGATAAGGTAAGGCGATGATCAACCTGGCTCTGACACGGTTCGTGATCAATCATGGGGGGAAAACAGTTGACCAGTGCTCACCAGGTTATCCGCTGGTCTTTTGCTGTGTGGCAAGCCAACAATGCGGGCGAGTTTTTATATGTATGGATTCCATGAGGGGGCGCTAATTGTCCATTGGCAGGCTATGCAGCCTTCCTCCATTTCGGCTGGTTCGATGTTTCGTAAATTGTGATGTGACCACTGTCCTCTTCATAAGTATCATTCGCCCGGGTCACGTCATATTGGCATGGCGAGCTATGCTCCGGCGCGTGGGCTCGGGGCAGAGGCTGCGTCCTTCAACTCTTAACATAATTCTGGCACCAATTCATTCTCTGCTTCAGAGCCCACATCGATGTTCGTTTTCAATCATCGTGCTTCGAGTCCCCGGTATCCTGCACCAAGCAAAATATAACATACCTCGCAGTATTAGCAGAGGTCTAGATGAGCTAACGTGATACTCACGAGAGAGGATTGCAGGTGCGAGAGAGACAGGGCTGCGCAAGGGGAATCTCATGCCAGGTAAGTTCATTTTGCTTCCGGTCCATTGCTATATATTGATTTTATGCCTGCGCTTTCAATCAGAAGTGACTGCGAGTACACATGACCTTCCCTTATTTCCTGCATGCATTGTCCAATCAGGTTTGTGACCCATCCCTCGCGATGACCGTGGACACTCGTTACACGCCTGTCGTAGTTCACAAGCCAATTCGACGGTAGCTTAGGGGAACCTATCGATATCCTACGGAAGGGTCGTTTCTTCAGTGCGAGCCAGGAAGGAACGAATAACTCTGAGATAGAAGCATGGAATGAACACAATTGTTGATGTCCGTTGTAATAATGGGTGCGTTTCTCCACCTCACCTCACCTTATCGAACCAACTTACGTGTCTACGTGTCTATATTGACTCATCCTAATTTCATCTGCACCAACACGTCAGTCTCAGTATGCGTCTCACCAAATACGGGATAGGGCACTCGTTCAGCGCCCTGCTTCTTTTCCTTTGCCTGCCACCTCAACGAACTCTCTCTTTCCATGGAACCGAGCTTTATCTAGATGCCTAGGTGAGTTCTTTCTTCCCGTTGATTCCCTCTCTCTCCTTTCCATGCGTTCTTTGTAATGATCATTTACTTTTGACGACCCCTACGACGACTCACACCATCATTTCTCTGACATACATTTTTCAAACATCTGTTGTCTTTGCGACTTGGATCTTTTAATTGATACTACTCGGTTGAATGCCTAGACTTCGGCAGTCAACCATGGTTCTCATATCGTTGCTCTGATATCGTTGGCTTGTATGGATCTTCGATCGTTTTCACACTGGCAATTGCAACATGACCTTCGCACATAGACTTCCCGCTCGTCACCTTCGCACTATATATCACAGCAAATTCAACCATCTCAGTCCCAATCTGCCCCAGTCATGGGCTTGCACCTCCTGGGGCTACTGTTGACGCTAGTCCTGCCCTTCAATTATGAGGAACAGCACATCATGGTTGTCAAGGGATGATTGTGCTCGCATGCGTGACCTGAAGACCATTACATTGCCCCTCGAAGTGGTGGTCATAGACTAAGGTTGGTACTACTGTTTGATTTGTGCCCCCGATTGCGCGAATAATTTGAGCATTCTTAGTGCTGCGTGAAATTCGTCTAGACTCGATCAAGGGAAGGTAAAGTAAGGTGCAGTTTTCCTGCCTGTGGTCCGCCTTCCTCCTATGATTTTCACGGAAATGGGTCCTCATTTCACCCAATAAATTACACTACTACAACAAAGCAAATTTGAACATAATTCGTCGAAGAGGAGAGTCGTGCAGTCATACCTCGTCTTTCTTGATCATATCAGCCAAGGATGTTGCGAGTTCTCGAGACATTCCGCAACGCTTCATGAGGCGAGGGATAAGATCCTTCCTGCTCTCAAGCGGATTCCGACCAAAGAAGCTCCGGAACCGACTGTCCCCTCCTATCCATACTTGCTTCTGACCGTCAGCAGCATGTTCTTTGACAAGGTTGCGGATTATGACGCGCGATTCGTCATAAAGATGTGGGTGTTTGAGTGTCTGTTTATCAGCGGCAGTGACGCACGCGTGACCAGCAACATGAATATTGCCTCGATCGAAAATATCATGGTTCCTCTTCCACCAGTCCTCCATCGATTCCTCACGTTCGAGGTTCGTGATCACAACAACAATGGGAACCTTCTTCTCGCAGAGGAATTCGTGAAAGAGTCTGTAATTTCTCTTCACCGTAGTAGTGAGTCTGCCTGCGCGAACACAGAACAGAAGCAAATCAATGCCACCGCGTCTATCCAAATTCTGGATGAGCTTGGAGGCATTCTCGACAGAGTAGAGGTACTGTTTTATTCCCAGCTGCGGTTCCTCGAGTCCAACATATCGAACACCTTATAAGACTCGCCACCAAATTCGACAGTATAATCTTGCGAGTGCATCGTACAGCGGCCCACGTCAGGGGATGTGGGTGCTACTGCTCTCCCGCCATGAGGTTGACGAGTGAGCTTTTGCCTACCCCCGTCTCCCCAAAGATTAAGATATTTTCCTTGCAACGCATCCAACGGCTTGCACTGCTCCTGGGCGATCCTGCGGGTTCCAAGACCAGCATTGTTGCATGAAGTTCCAATGCTTGTCAAGGATGTTGTCGGGACGCGTATGTTTGACTCTTTTCGATAGCTCGATCGAAATTTGATGCGAATGCTTCTTCTCTTTCCATGGTACATCCCCCGAGATGATCTGAGTGGTGAAAGAGTTAAGAGAGGTACACAAGAAAACGAAAAAAATCGCACAAAATACATAACACCACCAAATGAATAGATGTCGCTCTCGAAAGTTGGTCGTTCAGGGTCGCACTCGATTCCAATTACTTCAGGCGCACGCCATCGAGAATCCAATGGCTAGTCACAGTCATCGTGGACAATTGCAAGTCTGCGTCCCCTGGGACCGCCGCAAGACCAAAATCTGTTAGACGTGGACTCCCCGAACCATCTATTAGCACATTTGCCTGAAGCATATGAATGAGTGCAACATCCACAGAGAGTCAACCGGACATACAGGATGAAGG